GATATTACTAACTTTTTAATAGAATTCCTAGGAATTAAAATTAATACTATAGAGATATATATTTAATTCTTAAAGGATAAACTCTAAAGAGCTTTAATAAGAGTATTTTATATTTTTAATAAGAAATTAATATTATATAAGGATTTTAACTTTTTTATTAGACTTTTAACTTTTATTATAAAAGTTATATAGCTTAAATACTTTTTCTTAAGATATATATATAATATTTTTATAAAAAGGAAAATATAATATAAAATTAAAAAGGATATTTATTTAAACTTAAAATAGTAGAATACTTTATTATTCTATTATAATAATTATTATTTTAAATATATTTTAAAATTCTAATAAAAGTTTTCCCTTTAGTTAAATATTATTTTTATAAAGGGGTTTAAATACTTTCTATAAAAAGACTAGCAATAGCTATTATTAGTAAAATAACTTTATTTATTACTATTTTTAATATTAATTTAAAAACCAACTAGCTAGTAGGAAAAACAAATATTTTAGCTAATAATCTCTTTTATTTCTATTTTAAAAAAATTATTAATAATTATTTTTAATTAATAGGCTTTATAAAATTATAGTTATATTAATATTTAAGCTTTTTTACTAATAATCCTAACCCCTAATTTTATTAAAGCTTATTAAGGTTTTTAATTATAGCTTAGTAAAGAATATATATACTATATATATAAGTACCTATAATAGCTATTTTAAGTTTTATATATTTAAAGACCTAAAGCTTATTATACTAGTAATTAAGGAAAATCTATATAAATAATTTATTAATTATTTCTATTTTTAGATTTAGCTAAAAACAATAAAAGTATATTTTATAAGAGTAAGGTTAAAGTATATAAAATAGGGATTTAGTAATAATTACCTTAATTATAGATTTTTTAGCTAACTAGTTAAATATATTATTAATAAAATTTATAAAACCTATTATAAATATAATATTAAGGAATACTAACTTATTACTAAAGATATATTAATTAAAATTATTTAAACTTTAAATATAGTTAAATTTAATAAAGCCTTATTATATACTACTTTCTACTTAGTATTTATAGGCTTTTTATATTTAAGTAAAATTATATATAATATTAAAGACTTAAGATTTAACTTCTTTTACTAGTATTTAATAAAGTTATTAGTTATTTTATATAAAAACTATTTTATATTAAAATTACTAAACTTAAAAAGTAACTTATATTAAAAAGATATTATTTTATATATTTTAGCTATTATTAAGCCTATTTATATAAAAGATTATTATTAATAAGCTATACTTTATATTATAGAATTATAGCTTATAAAGCTACTACTTAAAACATTTATTTAAAAGAAAGACAATAATTTAAGCTAAAAGAAATAGTTTATTAAACTATAATATTTAGCTTTTAAGCTATTAGAAGTTAAAAGCTTATCTTTATTATATTAATTCTTTATTAAATAACTTATTAGCTATTTCTAAACGCTTATTATTACTTTATATAGCTATTATTAAAAAGCTATATTTTTTAGCTTTATTTCTTTAAAATAGTTACTTAACTACTAAGTCTAAAAATAGGTTTAGCTAGCTTAAAAGTAGCTATATAACTTTATTAATAAGAGAATTAGTTTTTAACTAGTATAAATACTTAATAATAAAGGTTTTAAACTTTTAAACTTTAGGCTAGTATAGCTAATATTAGATTTATAATTTATTATATTATTATATTTAAGCTTATTAAACTATTAAAAGATTTAACTAAATTAAAAGTTAATAAGCTAAAAACTTATTTTACTTAATTTTTTAAGCTTTTATATAGTATTTTAATAGTTTTTATTTTACTATTTATATAATTATTTCTATTAATTAGAGGGCTTTTAAAATATTTACTTATTGTCCTTATATATAAATCTATAGATATAGACTTTAAAACTATATTAGTAAAAAAATTTAATTAGCTTAAAAGTAGCTATATAGCTTTACTAGTAAGAAAGTTAATTTTTAACTAGTATAGATATTTAATAGTAAAGTTTTTAAACTTTTAAACCTTAGGCTGTCACAGCCAATATTAGATTTATAACTTATTATATTACTATGTTTAAGCTCGTTAGACCACTAATTCCGGACTGTATAATTGACCGGAGCGGAACAACCTTTTTACGAGCACAATTATGCGTGTGGGAATTGAGCTCAAAGTCTTCAACAACAAGCCTATATCTATCCCCATAGTCATACTTTGCGAATATCTTTCTCGTGCCGTATCCAGACTTTAGCCCTTTGTTGACCATGAATTCTACAGTCCAATTCACAACGCAGCCAACGGCATCGAAACAATGACATCATTTCTGTCTATGCCACCAATAAGTCATTGTAGCACGAGCTCTCCCCAAATACCTTTGTGATTTCATTGATGTTTTCGAAGAAGTCTCTCTTGCCATACTGACTGCCGAGATTACTACCTTCTCTTTTCTTTTCCTTCAATATCATTTCACATGCCACCCCCAAAGGCTTCCAGCCACTCAGATCAAGATCAGGTAGACTAGCCGACCTTTCTTTTCCCTCCCCACCAAAACTTGAGCTGACATCAATTCTTGGGTAGCGTACTCGCGTGCGAAACAATCAACGCAACTCCCGGGCCAGGCGGCAAGCCTACGTCAACGAACTCGAGCAGAAATGGGATCACTGCGTGCAAGTTGGCGCTCGAGCCAACATGGAGATGCAACAGGCTGCCAGAAAAGTCGCGGCCGAGAATGCAGTACTCAGGCATCTGCTTCACGAGCAAGGCATCAGTGATGAGGTCATCAATTCACAGCTGAAACAGCTCCAAAGGACTCAGGACTCGGCCTCAAGAGGGGATGATACGGCTTCGTCTTCCTCGATCCCACGTCCTGGATCTACCGGGGCTCTAGATTCTCAAGTATGCCATACATCTCTGGTCTGGTCTGGTCTTGTGTATATGATCCAGCAATTGGCGGTCCCAAAGTATTCATAAGTATAGTAGGATTTACTAACGGATGTTTGAAAATAGGCTCTGCATTGTTCGACGTCCCCTTGTGCGCAACGCACAACAAATCAGACCCAAGATCAAGGAAATACGGTGCAGCACCAAGAAACATTTCCTCAGCCGACTACCCCAAACGCAGGTAACGATATACTTGACATACCTAGCGCGGCTTTAATAGAGGATGTAAGCAGCCCAAGCCAAGCCTTTGATGGCTGGCTGAATGACCTATACGACGCCAATGGCATTCTCAGTGAAGACCTAGGAGTAATCATTTCCACAAGGATATACCATCGCACTACTCTGCTCACTTTGTTTAGGATGCTCTTGACTCTTTTATGGTAGACTCAAAGCTTCCTTGACACATGTTACCACGCCATAAACGAAGAAAGATAGTATAAATCAGAGAGCACTGTTTGACTCGAGGATATCGAAGGTCGCGAGCCCAATTAATGTCATGGCGGTAGCTAATCCCGTTGCATCCCTCATCGTAATTGCGGCCGGGGACCGTCACAAACCTCCAAGGGTGCGAATGGCTTCTTCCGTTAAAAAGAACGCACTCCTCATGCGCCTTCATTTAAAGCCCTTGCAGAGCCCTTGTATTTTCAAAAGCATGACAAGTATAGCCAGACGGCCAGAAGCGACGAGTTTTTCAAAGCGCCAGGAGCCAATTTTGCTATATCTAAGAATCTAGGGAATGCATTCACTTCCATTCTTCGAAAAGTATAGTCTTGCGCGTGGCCAAAAAAATATCCGCGTTATGACTTTGATCCGTATTTTCGCGAGACATTTCCCTGGCTATTTCAATTGGAAAAGATACTCGCCGTTCAGCGCCACGGGGCACGTATAGAGGGATGATCCACTCCGCACTTTTTATGATTTCACGTCTCATAACTAAACGTTCAACAATGCCATGCTTAGTATTGTTGATATCAGGTTCATTTTCGTCGATAAAGCACTGGTAAAGAGACTAGTGCAGCGAGACGTAGATCCTATGGAGCAGAAATCAACAAGACGCTGTACATCAGTCCGAGGGCTAGTGTTAGGAGAACGGAAATGCGTACCAGAAATCAAGGATGTCTACAGATCTCCTTATGTCTCTCATGTAGATGTAGAGTTCATAGAGGCTGTAAGGCTCCTAGCTCTGTCCCGTCAAGACGTCGAAGAGGGTAGGCAACTCGATCTTTTTATACAGCATGTTGTTGGTGAACATGAACGCGCTCGAGAGAGCATTAAGGGAGTCGTCATGTTCGTCGTGATTGGCTACCGCATTCTGACTGTTCCGCATAGCCAACTGGCCCCCAGGCCCCAGCGATAACTTAAACTCAGCAGACAAAGGCATAGCTACGGCGGCGGCGTCATTCAATAATTTCGCCCCCCAATCTGACTCTTCAACAGATGGGTTAGATCGAATGGAAGGAAGGGACGAGTCGAAGTCGGCTGCAGGGAATATGTCGGCAGAGGTGGCGAGGGCATTTTGGTCAGGCTAGGATAAGCAGGAGTCGAATGCGGAATGAAGGATAAGGGACTAGCGAAATAGAAGGAGGTAGCATATTCTTCTAACGTCACTTAATTCATTCTTCAACAAGGAATGTAGTATTGTAAGGGAGAATGTCACTTAGAGAATAATTGTTAAAATAGGGAAGCATTCAGTCTCAATATCAGTAGAACTTTTCTCCTATTGAAAGTACGCCCCTCCACTTCTTTCATCATGACATTTGCATGCTTTGGCTTCTGGCAGCCTAGTTATAAGTGACTCTACTCCTCTTTTCACAGCAATGAAAGAATAAGAGGTTCAGAGGGACCTAACCCCCTCCTGCCCGCATGCCGCCAAACCCTAGACAGAGGTCAATGTCTCCCTTTCCCTCATATATGTAGTTGTGTTTAAGGGAAAACCACCACAGCCTGCTCACGCACACATCGCCAAAAAAGAACGTAGACAATAATCTCACGACCCTAGCTTTCTCCTCCCCACACCTCCCAACCCACCCCCACCCCACTCTACTTCCTCGCAACCGTCAAATTGACCATCTCCTCCTTGACCAACCGGCCCCCCTCACTCCTATACTCCCTCTCCAACTCCCTCCTCATACCCTCCCTCAATTCCCCCATCTCCCCTCCAAACCCCTCCTCCCTAAGCGCCTCATGCCACCTCCCACAAACTGGATTACCCCCATCAAAAAACCATCCCACCATCTCCTCCGCGCTGCTCCAATGCCAATGCGTCTTCACCTGCTTCGTCTCCACATCCTTAAACCCCGCGCTCTCGAGATTCTTTTTGATTTGCGCAGCCGTCGACCATTTCGGGCTCGTGACTAGCGGCGGTTGGAAGTTCGGGTGTAATTGCCGGCAGGCTTGCACCCACGGCAAGGAGATGGCCGGGTGGTACGGGTCGGCCCAGGTCGTGAGGCCGATGATGCCGGAGGGGGCGGTGACGCGCGAGAGTTCAAGGATGCAGGCCGTGGCGTTGTGCGCGAGGTCGATGTAGGTGCAGGCGAAGGCGTGGGTTATGCTGGCGGAGGGGATGTCTGGGGATGGGGTTAGCGATTGGCTCGGTGCTGTATGAATTTGCGCGGGGAAAAATGGTGATGTTGAGGAAGTTGTGGGGGAGAGGCAAGGGGATGGGGGATAGGGATACCAGTGAGATCACCGCCGTCCAAGAGCTTCGTCTCCACATTCTTCCAATCATGGTGCTTTGCTTTGCGGTTCATGACTTCGAGCATGCCGGCTGAAGAGTCGATCGCGATGACGGAGATGTCTGGGAATGATTTCTTGACTTCGGCGGTTACGGTGCCGAGGCCGCAGCCGTCGTCGAGGACTTTGGAGGAGGGATCTGGGGGGAGTATTTCGGTCGCCTGGTGCGGAATGACAGTTAGCATTTCATGCCTGTGGAGACTGGCTGGGTTTTTTCCCTGGGGGGCAGGCGCGTTGTATTTGGGTCATTGGATTGTCGGGGCTGCTCTCGTAGAGAAGAAAGGAAAGCTAGACTAGCAAGGAGTACTTGCCCATTTAATCAGCTCTACAATGACTGGGTGTACAGTACGTTCAACATGATGATGGTGATTGGAAGTGAATGACCAGTCGTCTGGATGGTGCTTGATTTGAGATTCCGTCTGGGTGGTCATGGTTGGTCTCGAGATGTTGATAATGGAAGTCTAGCTAACAAAATTGAGGGTTCAACAGAGTATGAGAGTATGAAAAGTCTGATCAAAATACTGGTAGGGTTGACCTCTTGACAATATTTCTTCAAAGATGAAACCCCGCGCAGGTCGGGCGTGTGTCCCCTCTTTAAAGCTCATGTTCGTAAGCAATGTCATTATGCCTGATCTCCAGTCGTGCATTGACGAGAACTTTACAATCAAGGCAGCCGCTCAACAAACAGCCTGTATGATGTCGGAAAGCCGAATATGCCCGTTTACCCCTCTCTCCTCTGTAGGGTTCTGTAGCGTATGGTCATAAGGACCTCCGCGACGGCTCGAAGCTGCAGAAAGACGCACAGTCTCCGTGGTTCAACCGGTTACTCGGCCCGACCAATATGCATGGCGTCTTTAGACTATCGTGATCGCCGATGCAGCGAGATCCCTTCTATTGTTCTCTGTGCTTGTACATAATTTGCACCAACTATCATCGGCAGAAAACTCCCCGCCTCTTATATTGAGGATGAGAATCACTCGATGATACTCGGAGGAGAATTTGAAGTAGGTTAGGCCGCGGTCTCAACCTAATCAGTAACCGTCCTTATTGTTTGATCGCAAAGAGACAGTAAGGAGACGAGCTTCGCTGAGAGCCTCACTTATCTAGGAGTGAGAAGTCCTCGTACGTATGACTAATATTGATCTGGGTAACAGAACACCCACCACATGTGACTGAACGACGTCTGCAATAATCCATGAGGGCTTTGCAAACATGTAGTGCATGAACACAGCATCAAAGCAACCCACTGGAGATCAGGGGCCGTCCGAATCGTGCTTTTCACTACAGTAGTAGGACGGATGTCAGCTCTAGTGACCCATGTGTAACTCTACAGACACTATGGCAAGCAAGTAAGACAATCGAAGTCGTAAAGCTCGGGAGTTTGGACCCCTTCGTGGATGAGGAACATAGGAATGGATCTGACAGCTTAATGATGTTCGCATCAGCCATAAGAAAACATATCACTTGGCCATCATGACTGCATCTATGTTACATCTGTGTTGCAAACTCATGTGGTGAAATCTACGCAGCTCAATCGTATTGCCCAGTGGCTAAGCGCTGTAGGAATGGGGTTGCATGAACTCTGTCCGAGAGGCTTGATCCAAGCCCTGAATTCCTCCGAGATCTTGAAACATCCACCCTTTCCGTCTGCGCTGAGAAGGCGGGAAAGAGGGTGGGCGGAAGACACTGTTGGCTGAAATGGACCCCCTGCAGCTGCTATTGTTAGGGGCCTGTATACGAGCGGCGTAGCGTGGGGCTAACCAGGGGGACAGATACATATTAATGGGGCTCAGTCGTTGGGTAGCACGAGGCTGAGATTCCGTACACGGTAAGCTCAATTTAGGCGACAAGGTGGGTATTCAACATGCTTCACCGAGGAAATGAATATATAACAGCGCTGTCGAAGCGTCATGGGATCGCCAACACCTGTTCAACATACATCCCGAACCGTCATTCAGCCCATCTCAATCAATAAGCTCTGGTATAGAGCTGAGCCTGCAATAGATATTGGCGCTTTACACATCTGAGTGTTCTCTTCGGTCATGCCAGTGCTACGCAGGATACGCCCAATGCGAAAGAAGTGGTCCTCGGTCCGATCATTAGGCGATTATGCCTGTCCCACAGAGGCACAGCCATCATCTCCACAGGGCAGACTTTTTTCTACGCATACTGATCATGACTCAAACTCAATGAACTCATTAGCAACAGAGTCAGAAACTTGCATCGTATCTTCACCTTCAGTTGAGCGACAAGACGGGCCTGAGGACACAAGCTCTACGACCGTGCTGGAAACAGAGGTCAATACAGTCGCACATGAATGCCCTCAGGAAGTTCACTTGCCCAGATCATCATCGCTGGCCCCCAAAAAGTCGTCTGCTGTGGATACTACAAATCCAAGGATCGAAATAATTGAAGCGTCAGAGCAACGAATCCCGAACATCGTTCTCTTTAATCATGACCAAGTCATCGTCACGCATACAGAAATCGAAAGCGGAGATGAAGACCATGAATCAGATGAAAATAATCTCCTTGTGGCGAAAGCAGCTGAGCCTGAGGAGATCGTAGACGTCAAGACGGAACACAAAGACTCATCAACCGTATGCAATCGAAGTGAGTTACTCGACGTTCCGCATGAGTCAGAAATAAGCGCGTCCGCCTCATCAGAACAGCTTGATCAGCTGTCTGAAAAAAGCGGCATCCTCGGTGAGCAGCGAGAAAACAAGGCTCCCGATCTTGATGGAGAGTCAGAATACGTCGAGGAAGTCGCGATCGATGAAAGAGATACTGATTGTCGAATTTTCGATCTTCAGATCTCCACTACTAGCGAGAGCACAAACCATAATCCAAAGCCTGTATTGGAGATCTTCCTATCAAGCCTCAAGCTAGATCCGTGTCAGCTCAGATGCTCTGCCATCAAAGCGAACGGTAAGATCTGCGGTGCAAAGATCCGACAATCCCCAACAAACGACGCCTTCGCCATACTGAAGACCATGATTCTCAGCGATGATATTGACAAACAGACGATAGCAACAGGCTTATACAACGCTGCGCGCCTATTAACCTGCGGAAGGCATCAGAAGCAAGCCAACACCATTGCCGCAAATTGGGCAACAACAATCTGCCAACCTACAAGCAGCTCCTCAAGCATCAGCAATCTCCAGATCGATTTCGTACCCGGAGGCGGCAAATTCTCACTCCGACATCTAACAACACCCCCCAAAAACAACGATCCGATCGCCTCCTCACCCTACGAGACCGCCTAAAGTCAATAATCCACGAACCCTTCCAGCCCACAGACACCAAGAAGGGCTACATCTACATCTACACCGTCAACAGCAACTTCGGGCTGGTCAAGATCGGCTGGACGGCGAAAACGCCGGCCGAAAGACTCGCCAAATGGGAGCAGCAGTGCAAACGGAAGATCCGCCTCGAACACCCGCTTCCCTCCCCCTCCCCCTCCCCCTCCGCAGAATGTTTCAGGATCCCCCACGCCTGGCGGGTGGAGAAGCTCGTGCAAGCCTCACTGCGGCCGTACAATCGATGGGAATTCGGCTGCGGGTGCAGAACCCGCTCTCATAAGGAATGGTTCGAGGTCGCGCTCCCGTACGCGATTGAGATGGTGAGGTTCTGGTCTGCGTGGATGCAGACAAGGCCGTATGAGGAAAGAGCTGGGGAATGGCTGGAGACAGGGAAGGGGAAAGGGAGGGGGAGGGGAAGGGGAGGGGGAGGAAAACTGTTCTTCCTGCTTGGAAGCTGAAGACGACGCAGGAGCCGGAATTGGAGCGTGTGCTTGATGATGTTGAGGAGAGAGTTAGAGGATATCGGGAACGGCAGGGGCGGGCGCGGCCTTGTGAGCGGCGCGCCAGGAGTGAAGGGTCTGTGGGAAGGTCGCTGGGGAGGAAGGCGAGGTCCGAGACACGCAGCCGTGTGAGGACTAGGAGCCATTCTGGTCAGGCTGCTAGTGCGGGGTCGGAGGGCGGTCTAGGTGCCGGCTGGGTAGATAGCTGGTCGGGCTGAGGGGCAAAGGGATTCATTTCATCAGGATGATGAGTGAGGAATGAATATCGGAATTGAGGCGTTGGCTACTCATCAGCGTCCAGCCATCAGATTTGATTTAGGCGAGATCTTGTATGGTTTGTTGTTTGTAATTGGAGATATATTGGATGGGTGACGTTGTAGGATTCGAGCATAAAGGAGACTTTTCAGATTTACACATCATTAGGGACTGGTCAAGGGGGATATTCGTATTTGCGTCGAGTCAAGGTGTCTCTGCAACTATCCTTGGGCGGTCCGCTACATTATCTGCTTCATTTGATCGGCGTATAGCGGATTTTTCAAGTATTCGAGGGGTATAGGCCTTCGTAAATCTCTGCGTTTGTCTTGGTGGCAGTGATTCCCTCGATCCTGGAGCTTGTGTTTGCTTGACTGCTCTATTACTCCCTTTTGATGCTGATGCTGGCTGGTGCTCTCACTGATTGTTTCTTCGTGAGATGCGACACAAGGACAAAACGAGGTGTCAGGGCGAGTATCATCCAACGAATAAGCTAGTATGAAGTGATACTGATCGATCCAGAGATTCTTCAGCATACGAATGATTGTAAGTGGCATCATTCATGAACAGGTGTCTAATGATATATGGCAAATGAATCTAAATTAGGAGATAGTCCTACTTCCCAGTACGTGCACCGGACTTCCACTTCTTTTCCAGCCATTACTGCAATCTGGCTACCTTACGATGATGTCATTAGTCTAGCTCGGTTTCTGATCGAAATCTGAACGATGGCAGCCTTGGGGACCGCTCTCTGTATTGTCTTCCATTCTAGCTCTTTCTTTCTTTCCTCATGTCAACTCGTTCACACAAGTGTTTGATCAAGCGCTATCTCATTCTCCATCTTCGGAATCTTCGTCATCTTCGGCACTTTCGTCAGAAGAATTGCTGGCATCGCTGCAGAGTTGGTTAGCTCTTGTTCAAGCATACAACAATCCTTTGAGAAAAATTAGATCGCTCACGTTTCTGCATCCGTCTCTGAGCCTGTTGTTTCCGTGTACCAATGCTCCAAGCATTCAGTAACCCACGGTTTGAAAATTCTTAGCGCCCAGAACATAAGCTGATCGACAATGCGTCTCAACTGCACAGCGTGAAGAATGTGTTCGACGTTACCGCTCCATATGCAAGCCATACGCTAGTGAAGAGATCTGTTAGTACAATGAAGTACGGAGGCGCAAACGCAGCTTACGTAAATGGCTCTTCTATCTTTGTACATGATGAATATCTTCACCTTGGGTCCGACCGATGTGAAAGCAACGATCGGCGACACTGGAAGGTGTCCTTTCGCCGCAAGACGTTCACCAAGCCTGTAACTAGTATAGCTGTCGTTTGCAGCTTGTCTCAGGGCTTCCTGCTGGTCTCCGAGTTCTTTTTTGAACTCTACTACCATCCAAGGAAATCCTGCATCTTTATTTGACTTCGAGGGGAGATGCAAGAATCCGTTCGGATGATCGCGGCTGAGACATCGTAAATTGTCTTGAGTAAAATGATCAACGGCTTTGCCGGACTTTTCAAGACCTTGAAGCCGGGAAAGCCGCTGGTCGCCGTAAATGCCTAAACCGAACCAAAGATCGGGTTTTGGTCGGTGGTCTTCCTTGTCTGAGAGTTGTCCTCGAATGGGGACGGCATTTGTAAACAGTTCATCCGAACCCCTGTGCAGCGTCAACGTCATAGTCGGGCGCTGGGGGACGAGGATGGGACTCTACCAACAAAGCAGATCTACCATAGAAATACCCTGACTGTTTCCATGAGCTTCTTGAGACTTGGGTTGCAGGACTTGCTCGACTTACTCAGATGATTGCTGGTTGATATCGTGAAAAACGAAGTTCGTCATTAAGGCATTCCGCTGCGACTCTTTGTGCCTCGTACCGAGATGTTTCGCCATATCTCGCAAGTTCGATGCTGCTTGCCATCGTGCCTCATACGTCGGGTGAAGAGAGTCAAAGAAAATGTTATCAGCCGGTTGAACGTCGCCTCTTACAAGATGCTCGTCTGTAAGGCAAAGTTTCTTGAGATCGATCTTCTGCATAAGCCAGAACAAAGTCTTTCAGTAATGCAACCTCTCACGACAAGGTCTGACAATACCTTTTGTTTAGGCAGAATATGCTTGAAATTTAGTAGAAGCTGTCGTAGCTCTTCTGCATGTTTTGGCAACGGAGTAATCCTTCTGGGGTTGGCTTCGATCTCGATATTACTTTTGTTCAGTGTTCGTAAGGTTGGTGCCATTTCCAAAGACTTGACTTATGTGATATCGCTTGATAGAAGTCAGACTTTGACGTGCTGTAGACGTGCAGTTGAAGCCATTATCTACTCTCATATCTTAGCCGCTGCGGTTGTGAAACATGCAAGCTTACACGAGTTGTTATTTCTGGAACGATTGGCCGTACTGCGGCCAAAGATCTGGCAAATTGAAGCGAGTCCTACCTTAACCCCCGAAACACCGGTCTTGGCCCCCTTGAAGCCAGCCTTACAACAGAAGATCAGCTCTCATGCAAATCTATTGGCAGGGTATCAACGATGAGAGAATGACACAGACACCATCATCATGCAATGGGGAGACCCTGGAAAGCGTCTCCGAACCATTGAAGACCAATCCCGATGTTTGTCCCTGGGCCGATCCGCAGCACTGGCCGCAGCAACTGCTACGCCGTAGGGTGCCCCATCACGGTACGAGCCTTCTCAATCCCTGAGGTTTGGGTGACAGTGACATCTCCGTTGCAGTTCCATTAAGTCTCAATTGTGGCTGAGAATAATAAGCTGGTCAAGAGATCCGACAACCAAGCGTAGCCACAGGTTGAAGATTTGTATTTCCTAAGGAAGCGCTTATTGAGGTGCTTTGGATACGTATTCTTCATACTTCAACAGAAGACCATCGGAGCAATGGCTTCAAAGCATTTTCCTCCGTTGCATGGTCGGGAAAAGCTGTGTGCATGCCAGTGTAATGCACAATACTCTGTTTGTGACGCAGCCTTGTTGGAAAACACGAGTGAATGCTGAAGGAGGGGACTTGACGCTCTCATTGCTCATGAGATACAAGATCGTTACACCTATCAGTCTTGCAGGCATACTTGTTCGTCCCGCAACACATGACGCGGCTTTCAGATGACTGTCATAGTGGAACAGAAAGATTCGAATCGTGTTTGCAGGCGGAACGGATAAAAGTATATCCGGTAAGGCCTTGGCATTGCGAGGAGGTGACCACTCTTCTGGACAACAGAGAACTCCACAAAAAACTGAAGTACGGTCTCGGACTCTTCTGATTTAGATATTGAGGAAGATTGATGATAATCCGAAAGTTTGAGCAGTCTCCGTAGGCTTCCAACAAATCCCCTTACTCCTCTCACTCCTCTAGTGACCATTTGTCCTCGTCATGCAACATTTTGATACACCCACGATCCAAATCCTCCATCGGCTACAGTCTCGGGCTTACAGATTTGCTTCCATTCACCACAACTTCCAGCTTGTTGCTCGAACCATTCCACATCTATCAACCATCGCCACGTAAGCCTAACTTCCACCTTCAACTTTGCAACGGCCTCCAAGTAGCGCATCTCTTGCTCGGTCCATCGAGAGCTTGCCTCGCTCTGATAGTTCATTTGCTGAATAGGACGCCATTGCCTTATTGGTTGTAGCGGTAATACCGATGTATGAAGAAGTGCAAGACCTGGCAACTTCTCTCTCAAAACCTCTACTACGTTTTCCCCATTAGTGCCAGAGATCTTTTGGCTGTAGTTGTACGTGGCTTGGCAGATCCGTAAGTGACCAGGTATGCTTTTCATGATAGAACCAAGCTTTATGAGAGCCTCAAGATCTTCGCCGAAATCTAGAATGAGTCCAGCAATGACTTGTGTCCCGCATTTGGGGCAACGAGTCCCGTGCGGGTGGGTGTCTGGGCAGCAGCTGACCTGAAGTCTGTTCTTGAAGCTCTGGCTCTGGAGGAAAATGCCATGGCTTGGGTCGGCGAGCTTGTTCGATAGTGATTGAAGTTCTGGCATGACTCTGCGAGACTCAGCTGGGATTCGGCTAGGCATGATGGTGTTGCGCCAATCACCACAATTCTTGAGCTCTCCCATGAGGCTTTCAAATTTAGGCTGACCAGAGGTTCGTTTCAAGACTAGAGTTTCCAATCGTTCTATCAATACCGATATATCCTTGCTTCTATCGCTGCCGTTTCCCTCCTTGAGGTCTCGGCTGCTAGTTTTGATCTCTAGCCATGGAGTCAACGAAGATACATGATTTTCCAAGTAATGCCCTAAATCCAGATTTTTTGACGCAAGATCAGACATAAGATCATATAGAGCCTCGACGATGAAGTGAATCTCATCGTCGACCTCTCTTGACGATATTTCCCGAGGCAAAGTTCCAAGAGCAGAGGCCAATGAATGCAAAGTATTGCAGACGCATCTCTCGACATCCTTTAATCCAGCCTTAAGCACCTGTATGTGACTCGAGATCTGTTTTCTTTGTACGCTGTACCTTCTTCCATTTGGAGCACTTGAGTCAAACTCATATGTCCATAATGCCAGTCGTTCGTTGGCGCCAAGTCCATCAAGCTTCACAGCATTGTGCGAACTTCGTACGCTAGATTGCCATTCCGCGGTCACAACTCCTATGGCTTATTCGCAGTCAAGTTAGCGTTTTACTTGGGAGATTTTAGCAACTACAAAGCTTACCGCGGAAGAACGCATCGTCCGTAGAGGCTTTCCACATAGATCGGGCTCCATCTTCAGCTCCATCGTCGCGCTTTTTCCAGTGATAAAGTCGATAAGCAAAACAAGACCGGCCCTCGGCGAATCGCTTCAGCTCCACCAGCCTAGGATGTGCCCCAGAATAGGTCGATTGGTTCACGACTCGGAAATGAAGGCTGTTGTCAAAGAGAGCAGCAAGACAGGAGAAAATCCTCGTTTGCAGCTCATTTGGTAGAGCTTGAATACGTTCATCGAGCATGATGGAGATGAGGGGGGCACCATAGGAACAGTTCATAGAGCCTGGGGCTTTTGTAACCCGAAGTATGTCTTACTATGGAATGCATGCAGCTGTACCAGCACACTGCAAATCCGCCCCTTGCGCCATTAATGAGAGACATTTTGCAAATTTCTCGTGAATGGATTTGGAGTAGAAAGGATTTGGAATTGAGGCGGAACAAGGATAATATGGTATTCTTGTACCACATTCACGCGTAAATTTATGCTAGCTAGCGAGCCTTTCGTGGCGTCAACAACGGTCATAACGAGTTTTACACCATTCTCGTGTCTGATCAGCCCATACCAGCAATTTGCCACTTCTTTGCACTTGATTTGGAGAGCAAACGCCCGTTAGGCTATCGCTTGTGCCACTGAACGTTCAGTTTGTGCTTCAATCTGGATCGTTCCAACCGGTCTATACTGCCAATGAGTTATTCGACGAGCGTTCATGTACTTCCGGTGCAAGTGTCCCAGAAGACTTTTCCTGCAGATTTGATACCTCCCGCCGAATGTCCGTGATAGCATGATGCACTTGAGAGAGCGAAAATATCTCCTCGGACAGCCAAGGCGCTAATTTGGATGCCTTTGTCGGAGAGCGGAATAACATATATCCGAATGTATCTTGGCATTGAAAAACGATAAGCGGGAACATCAATCATCTATTCAATTCAATACAAAAAACTTGAGAAATCCACAATGTCTTCATATATATCTAAAAGGAAGACTAGGCATAATGATAGAGCTGTAAGTTCTGGGCAGTTGCCGCAAGATACAGCGAGGGCTTGATGGTTTTCGCTGAGTGCTACAGTTTATCAACTACATTGATCCCGAACGATAGCAGTCGGATCAAGACTCTACAGCATTAGTCGATCTGCAGACTAGGACCTGAGATACTCCCTTTATTATATATACGATACATTCGCGAGAACACTTCTAATGTAGCGATTGATTAGTGGCCTTGAGCTCAAGAAGGACCACCTTGATAGCAATTATCCTCTTACGACTACGTCGAGGCGCTCAATGCTTTCAAGTTGAGTGCCCTGATACTAGCAATGGATCCATTCTCTGCTCTTGGATTGGCCGGCAATATCATACAATTCATCGACTTTGGCAGCAAAATTGTATCTAGTAGCTTCGACATCTACAAATCCGTTGATGGATCTTCATCCGTGAGTAGAGAATTAATATCATTAACAGAAAGTCTAGAAGAATCATGCGATAGTCTCTTGGAGCACCAAAATTCTATGACTAGGCATCGATCAATTAAGGCCGAAAAGGATCTCCTGGACTTGTCACGCTCCTGTAAAGAGCTGGCGGAGGAGTTTCTTGGTCGTTTACAAAGCCTAAAGGTGAATGGCGGTAACAGAAAATGGCAAAGCCTCCGACAAGCCGTCAAAAGTGCCTGGAAGGAAAAAGAATCTCAAGTCTTTGCTGAGAGATTAGAGAAATATCGATCTCAGATACTTCTTCTGCTTGTCCAAATCCTAAGGTGAGAAAAAAGCTTAGCAAGTGACAACTCATTGACTCGATGGAAGTGGCCAAACCTCAAAGACTCAACGGGCGCAGTCAAAACTTCTATCTCAGCAGTCACAAGCTGCGGGCGCATTAGATCAGCTCGTTGAAAGCCATCGTCAGCTGAATATCACAACAGCAAATGAAGCGAGCCGGATGAGGAGAGACATTCTCAAAGATCTAAAACAATTGATCACTGAAGATAATAGGAGGAACCTGTGCCCATTAGCCTCGAAACTGTCGAGTCTGATGTCAGAGGGTGATGTGAAGCTCAAAGAGCTCAAGATCATCGAAAGTTTGCAGTTTTCAGCGATTCATGAACGAGAAGAGCGTATAGTAGGAGCGCATCCAGCCACCTTCGATTGGCTTTTAGAAGAAGAGTCCTCGGAGTCTCAAGAAAGCGCAAGAGTGTCCATGCTAGAGTGGTTGAAAACACGTAATGGTATTTACTGGATCACTGGGAAACCGGGTTCTGGGAAGTCGACGCTAATGAAGTATGTTTATCAACACCCAAAAGCTCTTGCGGCACTCCGGCACTGGTCAGGCGACAAGCAGCTTCTTACTGCTCATTTCTTCTTTTGGAATGCCGGTACAGACATTCAGAAGTCTCAGCAGGGTCTCTTACAAACTCTACTCTACCACGTACTGAGACAAAGCCCAGAGTTAGTCTCTACCGTATGTATGAAACAGTGGTCGGCATTGGAGGAGGGTCGGCCAGCCATTCCCTGGACACGCATAGAGCTTTTGGCTGCTTTCGAAGGCTTGAGAATGCAAACAATTGAATCTGCCAAATTCTGCTTCTTCATCGACGGTCTGGACGAATTTGGTGGTCAGCATACGGATATCATCAAGAATTTTGCGTCCTCGGAGGATGTCAAAGTCTGCATCTCGAGCCGACCATGGAACGTCTTCGAGCGTGCCTATGGGACTAATTTCGGCATGAGGATCAATCTTCATGACTTGACAAGAGAAGATATTACACGATTTGTCGCTGAGACCCTCACAGAGGATGCGCTATTCCGAGAACTGAAGGAGAGCGACAGCCGGTACGAGGATCTAGTCTTGGATATTGTGGATCGAGCAGAAGGCGTTTTTCTTTGGGTATTTCTTGTCGTTCGGTCTCTGCAGCGAGGGTTAACGAACTCGGACACCATTTTTGAGCTACAAAAACGCTTGCAAATGCTTCCAACGGATCTGGAAGTTTTCTTCAAAAATATGCTTGATTCTGTGGAGAAGTTCTATCATGAGCATGCGGCTCGCATATATCTCATGTGTCTAGCAGCATCAGGCTCTTTGACAACAATGAGTCTTTCTTATTTCGATGAAGAAAATCCCTCCTTTGGATGTGTCAGGAACATCAAACCTTGGTCCCCACATCAGGTCGACCGCAGATGCAAAGCAAGTCGGACAAGGATACTAGCACGCTGCACAGACCTTTTACAGATTTCCAATGATAACCGGGTCGATTTCCTACATCGGACTGTGAATGACTTTTTACAGACGCGAGACATGACAGTGCTATTGATCGAACGGGCAGGCGCTGATTTCAATAGCCACTACCACCTGTGTAATGCCATGCTTGCCCAAATCAAAACCATACCTACTGGTGCTACATATGACGGTCAAAGTTCACATGCCGAAGACCTAACGAGTCTAATCGACCATCTTATGTACCATGCCTACCAATTAGAAGTCGAGACAAGGTCTCCAGGTCAAGATTTGCTCCTTGAAATGGAACATACCGTTGCCACACTACGAAGCGCAAATGCAGATGGGAATTGGCGGGCACTAGATCTTAAAAATGGATTCCGAGAAGGGTGGATATTCTCCCGAGCGATTCAAGAAGGGCTCTATCGTTTCCTCAGCAAAGAACTCACAGGTGTCAAAAAGCTTATTGAGAATGGAGGTATTGGCAGACTACCACTTGATATTGCCCTCCGGCCTAAGTCCAGCCATCATTCAAGAGGGAGCGACCCTCGCATAATCCGATTACTTCTCGACCAGGGTGCTGACCCGAATCAACAGTGGGAAGGCGTCATAACCTGGGGGCTATATCTCTCGAACGCGGCGAGAGAGCTATCTGCAGCAAGACGTCGCAATAATTTCGTTATTGTTGAAATGCTTCTCATGCATGGAGCAGATCTCAGTCTTCGTGACGGGTTTTTTGAATTCGTCAGAAGCTGTACGCCGGTGGAAGCTGATCGTTTGAATGACCTGAAGTTTCGAGCTAATATCCAAGATCAACAACGTACGTCTGACATAGAAGCTACCTGACCAAGATTCATCCAGCACAAAAAAGGTCAAACAAGTGTCCATGAGCATTTCAGCCCCGGCTGCTACATTGACCCTGGCTTTCTGGAGCCTCAGATGCTTTGGAGCGCGCCAATACCCCAAACGTCCTATATATCTACGAGAAACCATCTACTGCAGTACTCGCAGCACTAGAACCGTTAAATTCCATCTCTTCCTTAACAGAACGTTCATACGGATTTTGAGCACACAGCCCCAAGCAGTCGGACTTGGTGTTCGACTACCGATAAGCAGCTTTGCACTTCAAAGGAATATCCTAGTATACAGTAACTTAGTTCACCCAGGACCTTTTGGTGTCTCGGCCCACTTGAACCAGACTGTGAGAAACAGCGTCATGAATGTCCCAACCCACATCATAATCCAAGTCTTGTTCGCCAGTGGTTGTGGGGCGGTTGGAGCCTTTGGATTCACAGGCGGCAGTCTCTGCAGATATAGACTGACAACAGCGACAAGACTTCCCAGAAAATACAAAATCAGGATGTAGAAGAGAAGTCTGTGGACAGCGAAGCCTTCTTCAAACAGAAGCCCCCAGACTTCCTCTTTTTCTTCCTGGCCAAGGTCTGGCTCGATTTTTTCGCCGATCTTTTTTGGAATGGCAACAATGGCATATCGATTCCGCTTGGAAGCTGTACAGTCTTCTCCTTCAGGCCTCAGCGACGGCGAATAGATTGAGCGGCTGGGCACCATTTCAGGATCTCGTCAAGCGGCTATCTGCTCGGTGCATAGCTGTGGTATAGGGAATAGCCACTACCTGCGGACTCCGTTTCGACTGATGCAGCTATCATTGAAAATGCGGCTCCATGATTTAGAGGTGGTTCACTACTTAATGCATATGCCTAATTCATACAACGGTATGTTTGAAGGCCCTACATGTTCAAGACGTATACGTGCTTAGTCGTGTCATGAGGCTAAGGGTGGCTCTTACTTACCAGCGAAGCATGAAATCCTCAACTTGAATGACCATGCCGCCCTGAATCAAAATGAAGGCTGTGGCGCTTCATTCCGAGAGAAGAGATGCCATTTTGAAAGCAAGTACAGGCTTCTAATTCTTACACATTCGAACGCTCTTACTGTCCCCTTCGTTTCTTCGTAAATTTGTCAGATACCGTTCCTGTTGATCAAGAGTGGGGCTAGAAAGTTGTCTTACGCAACCAACAATGTTTTAAAAACTACCGTGAGCAAAAGAAACAAAAGCACCTCCGAAGGCGACAATTCGTCTTTTCTTCTGACATACTCTAGACTACGACTGCATTTAGCTCCACATCGGATCGGAATAAAGGCGTTTGTTTTCAATGAGCCACGCAGGCAACAGGCTCTCTTGATACCAAGTAGACCACATGCCACATAGTGCAAATTTTAACAGTACCCTCATTCAGCTTCACCCCTGTTACCACCAGATAGTCATACTTCACGTGTCACTGTTAGCACATGCTGGTCATCTAGACTTGTATTCAAAAACCACCTTTCACCAAGATTTGACGGGCCAAGTAAGACTCTAGATTCGAATCGTTGGTTTCCTTTACGCAAAATCATGACCATGGACTGAGAAAACCAAGTTTTGGGTTCGCAAGGTTGGCGCTGCCTCATACCGATTCCCCAACAAAAGAAGTCGACGGTTGATATGTTGATAGGACACATCATGAGGGCTGATAGGTCTAATGTTTCTTCCCGTTTCCGTTTTGCCAAAATAAGTAACGGCATGACAGCCGACCCGCCTTGAAACATCCTGTGGTCGGACAATAACTTTGTTTGTGAGCACAAAATCCCAAAATATCATGCCTGCGCTTAGATTCATCATACGCGCGAGCATACATTCAAAAGCACAGGTTGATCGAGCGACTGAGGCTGTGCACCAGCGACTCAGCAACAGACATGGCTAGGCAGGAGATCTCACTCTACCCCAGATATTTGGAAGCAATATAAAGATTTCGAAGTGCCCACAGACGAACATATACCAATAATCCACTTCCAAAGGACATTCAGACTCTACCAGAATAATTCTGCTTCGAGATGCATTCACCGATCAGCAACCTCCTCCCCATCCTCCTCCTTCTCACCCCCGCCTTCTCCCTTCCCGCCCCAGAAGCAGCCGCTCCAGCAGCCCAGCTCGGCTCAATCTACCCACCGTAAAGCCCCTTTCCCCTTTCCCCCTCCCCCCTTCCACCATTTTCCATCCCCACCCTCACCGCATCCCACCCTAACACCCCCCAGCCTCGGCGCCGACTACACCGCCACAATCCCCTCCCCCCTCTCCCCCACCGACCCATCAAAAGCACAATCATTCCTCCTCCGCTACCGCGCGCAATCCGCAGACGAATCCCACCACCTCCTCCCTCCCACCTCGATCCTCGCCTGCGCCACCGCCTTCCGCGCCCGCATCGCCGCCTACGTCGCATCCGGCCGCGCATGGGACTCCCCCTCGCCCCCACCATGCACAGCGACGAGCGCGATATCTCCTCCCACGGCGTCTACATTTCCATAAAACCGGCTATATTGAGGTTTTTGCCTGTCACGCTGGAGGCGGCGGATGGGCTGTTGCAGACGGTTATGAAGGCGGCGGTGGATACGGGGGGCGCGGCAGGTGGGACGGGATTTGTGGAGGAAAGTTATATTGATAGTTTTACGAAGTTTGGGGAGGAGGGGGATTTCATTGCGCTCGCGCCTATGAGGCTGGCGAGTGGGAATGCGGATGGGAGTGCGGTGGTGGATACGGTGGGGTGGGTGGATCCGGTGCCAGCGGAGGGCGTGAGTGCGACGGGTGCGCTGGTGGCGGCGCCGACGGGTGGGATTACGTTGCCGGTGGCGGCGAGTCAGTGATTATGGTGACTGAGAAGGATGGGGGAGCGGGGGAGTCGTGAGAGCTGAGAGGAAGTGTGACTCTTGGGGTTGGTAGACGTGGATTCTTCTGTTGAATATCGAAGTGTTCGAAAAGGCCTTTGGTCCATTGGGATTGATGTGCGCAGATATCAGATACTGCTTGTGCAATGATCGTGTGTGTGACGTCCATGACCTTTTCTATTGTTGTTACAACCGTGAAGTAATGCTAGCTACACCTCGTTGGCCTATCAGACTGCCAAAAGCTCCTTACACTTTTACCTCTTGTAATTTGATCTCAGAAATGAAAAGCCAATCACCACCAAACCCCATAGATTTAGACCACAACCCATCTAAGTTTCCTGAGACGCTTTTAAGACGCATCACTTTTGTAAAGCAAGTGTCGAACATCGAACAAGATCCCGAATAAAACAGTAAAGATCTTGCATGGCTATGACTTAACATCCATCATGCCCTCACCAAGATCTCTCCACCACTAGCCGTCTGTCCCGCTTGAGGGATTGTAATGATATTAGCTGCTAAGAGAGCGTCGATGAGAGAGAAGAGGAGGCCGTCGCATCCGCGCGCCGCTGTGTGGTCATGTTAATAAATTTCTTCGTTTGGTAGGATGGAAGTAGATGCATGAGATCAAGAGACGAAGGGCTGCATCATGTAACACGCAGAACGGAGTTTGGGAAAGACGGCGGGGGGTAAGGTGGAGGTCGTGGTGGATGGGGTAGGATGGAGGGAGGATGGTGGAGTACATACCAATTATATCAACACTCACGGGCAAGACCTCGGTGTGATTTGTTATGGTGGATTCGTAGGATGCCGCTCCGACTGTAATATTCATTAGACTTTGACTATCAGATAGGGGTGGGATTAGGGGAAGAGGGTGGCAAGAAAACGATACTTACGAGGAATAACGAAGTCTGGCACCTCGGCGAAGATCGAGATCTGGCTATCATCGAATCCAAAAGGCGGAACAGGCGAACTGTCACCATCTTTCTGTCAGCAAATCATCTCTCGTCTTCCACTTCTATTGCCGTCGCCTCACTACAGCCCGAGAGCCCCCACCAACACCAAAAGCAAGCGGGACGTTAAGAAACTTACTTTAGGTACTTATTGCGGTACACAATATTCACGCCCGAAGTGTAGAGTATCAAACTCTCAGAGCACGTAGCAGAATCGTTGCTTCCGGGCGGTAGAACGTGCGACTCCCACCAGTCCTTGAAAAGGGTCTTGTTGTGAATAGCGACATCGAGTTCGGAGGCGGGGAGGGAGTCGCCAAAGGCCCAGCGTGCCTGCGATTTCGCATCAGTCAAATTTTGATAAACACAAATTCACTGGAATATCGAGACAGCAGAATTGCGAGTCTACGGTTCTGTGTATGCTTTTCATCAAAGCAGGAGGGTGGGAGAAAACTTACGCGTGGCACAGGATCCACAAATGGCAACCTCCCATCATGCTTCGCTGCATAATCCGCATAGAACGGCGTGCGCACATTCTTCGTCTGCTCCTTGCTGATCAGTGTCGGGTACGTCCGATTTAACAGCACGCTCAGCCCTGGCAAGCCGGCGTCAGGTTTCGTCTGATCCCATAGCTTCGTGTAATTGAGAGCAATAGCATTGGTGCCAAGAAAGGCCTCGAGTTTTGCGAGGAAGGCGAGGAGGACGGTGTTAGTTTGCGCGACCACGTCGTCCGCTGGAACGGTGGAGGCGGTGGGGAAACCGATGGTTTGCAGTTTGGACGGGTATGTGGTGGGGAAGTCAGGGAGGGCGGAGGTGTAGATCACTTTGGCTGCTGCTGTCCAGATAGTAGGGTCGCGGCATCTGTGTTACGTGATGAGATGTATAAGCCTGTCCGTGGGGCAGAATGACTTACAGGAATCCAGCGGTATCAAGCTCTGGGGCTAAGGGCATTACACCTGTAAGCGGCGCGAGTCCGTGTGTAGGGCGGTTGCCGTAGATGCCCTGAACCTGACTTGGACCACGGATGCTTCCTCCGGTATCGGAACCTAACGTCAAATCTAGCCATGGGTAGCTCCCCTCGCCACTCCCAGGCCCAGAAGATGATGAGGACGTGTCTTGATATCCGTCGCCTCTTGGATTGAAAGGTTCGTGATAATCCACCCAGTCAGCCGTTGCGGTCTCACCGTTAGCAAATTGGCTTGTTTTCATCTTTCCTACAATAATCGCTCCAGCGTCAATAAGGCGCTGCACTACCAGCGCAGTCTCGTTTCTTGGCGGATAGAGGGCGTAGTATGCGCGATTACCATCGCTGGTTTGGAGACCACTAATATCGTAGATGTCTTTGATACCCGTTCGTACGCCTGCTAGGGGCTTGTCAGGCGTTTTGGTGTAGTAGAGCCGGGAAGGGACAGCGACGCCAGGAGAGTCAATTCCAGGCACCGTAGCAGGAAGAGCTGAGTAGACACCGCCTCCGGAAGGGAAGGGTACTGTGGCCTGGGTGAAAGCACCCTCAATGTCTGAGTACAGACGGCATGGCTGATACAAATCTCCTGTCGGTGAAAAGAGATATGGCCCAGGCGGGATGGCAGATTCGTATTGACTTGCTAAGCTTGATACCTGACTGGTGGCGTCTCCTACTGAGTATGTCGTAGACAGGTTGGATGAAGCGCCAAGAACGAGCACGCCTGCGCAAACATTAGAAAGCCTGTAAAGGCATGTTATCTTGTATGACACCTCGTCGACTTGCCTGTGAGGAAATCAGGAGTCCAGACATCATCAGCGCCTCCGAAAGTGTCGAACGTCTTTTGCAGCTCATTGACACTGAACGGCCCAGCTGGTGCTTTGACGACCGTGATTGGCGTCAACAGGGACCCGGCCGAGTAGCCTGTAGTCAGAAGTTGAGTGTAGAAAGTGCTCGGCACAGACGAGATTGGCTGTCCGGGGACATAGTATGGAATGCCACCTATCTCGACAGTCGAACCTGTAGATGTAAGCACTGTGGCAAAGATTTGACACGAGAAGAGCAGTGTCGTCTGAATTGCCAACAAGAGAAGAGCGGAGAAAGCCATTCTAGTTGCGGGCTTTGATCTTCAGATTATGAGAATGAGTGGTTGTATGAAGATAGTTTTGGGGGAAGAAAAGAATATATGGTTACAAGAGCACTCAGTCTGCGAGTGTTGTGTAAGTGTTGACATGCAGTGTTAGCTAGTGCCCATGACGCGTTTGGCCGCAACTCATTTCCGGTAGCCCGCAAGACAGCGCAGTTAGACTTGCATGGAGACAGTAAGACGATCGTGGGGTTGGATCCTTTGGGAAAACAGAAAGTCAGCTATTCACTTTTGTACTAGCGTGTGGCAGCAGCGAGGTATCCTGGCAAGGCCGAAAGCTCTTCTATCGTGGGATAGCTCGTCGTAGCTGTACAGCCACTAGCCACTTTACGACACTAGTCTCGCCATGTGGTGGTGTGAGGGCATAGTTGGAGAACAAATCAGATACAGAACAATGTATGCAAGGGCAAGAATAGCCGGATGAGGTGCCTCCAAGGGATTCACTTAGCATGAGCTGGAGATCGCCGATGCACGCTGCACCACTAGCAGTGTTGCCTTGCATATCCATCCAATTTATTTCATCTTCGACCGGGCATTTCCAGGTCGAGGCTTCAGAGATTCATGGCCAAACAAGACTTTCACCCTTAGGTGCCACAGCTTCAAGTCGGTATGAGAAGGTTGAGATTTCGAATGCATCCCCTGGGCCAGATCTCAAAGCTGGTTTGGCGATAAATCAAATACAACCCATGGTCCACAGAATGGCATTGCCGTAGCCCATCTCTCTCATCACCACTCTTTCCTCCTTCTTCACCAGATTACCCTTCTTATCATACTCTGCGGGCATGATTGTGGTATAGTAATAGATCCCGTAGTCTTCTTCCCATACATCTTCTTTCTTCTCTTTTCCCCCTTTCTTTCGCATCGGCAATTTTCGACCGCTTCTGCGAGCAGACTCTGCAGCAACGTGAAAGCCTACGTCCTCTTGTACCCATGATTGTTTCTCTTGGGTCAGCGCTCTGACGTTGGGTATTTTGTTCTTCGTCGCATCTTTGATCGCTTCGCATGTCCAGCAAAGGCAGGTGTGATGCTCGTCTTTGGCCGTATAATCTGGCGGAGGTGCAAGACGCTCACCTTCTTCTGACTTTGCTGTCGAAGTTGCTGGGCACTTGTATTCTGCATTTGCGCATGTGCTCTTCTCGACGTAGTGATGGTAGGACGGAGGAGACAGCTGATGGGTATACCATGAAAGCGCGATGTCGAATGAGAGGCTTGGTATCTCCGAAAGCTGATCTTCCTTCGCCAGATTTGGCAAAGCGCGCTGATATGCAGATAGAGTACGGCTCAATGAGCTTTGGAGGGCAGGTGAACGAATCCAGAGCAACATATGCGCTCGTTCCATCATTTGCTCTTGTGCATGAATAGCCTTGATCAGGTTCGTCAGTGGTTTGTCAGCCGAGCCGGCTGAGTACAATGGCGGCGTGGTGATATCTTTCAGGAAGTCCGGTGACTGGGAAAGCTTTGTTCGAAAAATCTTCTGCGCAGGTTTTGTGAGGTTGTACGAGAAGTCTTCGCGGCTGATGGTATCATGAATGGCCTTCCATGGCAAACCGAGAGTGAAAAACTTCTGCTTATCAAATTTAGAGCAGTCTGACTTGAAATTTGCTGTGTCCAAGACGTAGCTATGCCAAACCATGAGAACGTCCAGGGGCGGGAGGTAGTCTTTCGTGAATAATGTAGTGAAACTGGCCCTTTGATGTATGGGCGCATACGCCGCAGCTTGACTCATGATTCCTTCGATATTTTGCCACCATAGCTCGAAACGAGCGACTGCAAGCTTCACGATGAGACTCCATTTCCGTTTTTGGTAACCTTCGTCTTCTGTATCCACCTCCTCCTTGGCGGTGGACTTTTGAGCTGCAATGCCTTTTTCGTCCCCAATGGCTGACGTTCGCTCCGGCGTTGTAAGTCCTTGAAACATGATATCGAGAGTCTTGGACTGGATAGCATCTCGTCTGAACTTATGTAGGCATTCAAGAAGACATAGATGGACAGCCAAATCGCAGGCGAATGGAATTGAGGATGTGGTAGATGCCGAGTCGTTTGGCTGAAGGCGGAGATCTTTGAAGATTGCGGGATCAGGTATCTGTGGCTGCTCATCGATGCTTTGTGCGACTGGAAAACGATGAGGTAGCTTCCACTCATGGGGGTCGATGGGGGTCGCGGAGGAGCTGCGGGCTCTGAGGAGGTCTCGGAAGGGCATCGATGATAGGAGGCAATGGCAATGATCGGACAAAGCGTGGACGATACATCGCCCTCGACGGGGAAGCCATGATCTTTAAGAAGTCGCGAAGCAAGCCTATTGTGAGCCAAGGATGTACGAGATCCGCAGCAGGGGCTGAGCGACCAAGGCAGGCTTGGCGAGTCTTTATCGATAAGGCAATCATTGGCTGACGAGATTTATGCATGGGTGATGCATGATTTGCCCACACATGACGACCGCGTAGTTACGCTTGGCCATAGGGGCACAGCGGCTCCTCTATTGCAGATAACCTACATGATCACGTAGCTCTATCGGACATCTTTACAGAATCTCAAGCGCTCTGCCAGTCCAAGGAAGTTCGTGGACCGCGGAGCATGGAGCAGGAGCGAGCATTGAGTTGGCCCAACCTATCCGCTGCATGTAGCGATTGAACAGCGAGTATAGTCGATCAGATGCTGGAAAACATCTGAGACCGTTCATTGAGCCAATCTCAGAAAGTGATTGGCAGGAATGATATGGACTGCAGCACCAGCTATCTAGGTTTAGAGCAGCTCATGGGTACACAGATTACCACTGGTGTTATGACATCGGCAATCGCACCTCATTGTATTGTCTATACCCATTGAATTGCCAATGTAATGCGACGACGGAAGCTGATCCAGATATTGGCGGACCCGGAGTCATCTCATCATTCATCATCGTGGCATGGATCACGATCTTCGTCGCAATGATACCCACATTCTTCGATCTTACCGAATTTCTCGAATGGGCGCGTGAGCAGAAATGGCCTTGGGACACCTCCGTTGCTCGCGATCGTCGTCGATCGGTAGGATATCTGCGCAGGTCTGCTTGCATGCGTAGGACGCTCCGCCTAGGTCGTGGAGCCATTTTACGTACAGCGGCTGCTCGCCTACTAGGTGCTCTTTGCGATCTTCAAATCGTAACCAGCCTGGGGATACTGATTGCAGGCTTCGTTCAAATGCCAGAGATATCTTTCTATCATGAGAGCATAATCATGAACGCGTTCTGGCTTACTCTCAACTCTTTCTTTGCCGCGCGGGTCGACTATATGGAGGATGATAGTAAACGTGCCAAAATACGCCAAAGTGGTATCTTGATAAGTGTCATTCTTGGAACCGCTTTCCTGTGCTTCGTGACCCATCGAGAGGACGAAAAGTCCGGTGACTGGAATATTCTGGTGCCAGGACGCTGCTACCTTTACCACGATAAGTCTTCGGTTTGGTTCTGGCAAGGATGGTTTTGGGTGGGAGGGCAGGCATTCTACGGGGTTTGCCTCGCACTGGCTATCATACCATGGACGTGGCCCATTGTTGAGAAGGCAACATCAGGACTTCGACATTGGCAAGAAATGTTGATTACTCAATGGACCAAGAGTGCAGCCAAGCTTGGAGCAGTTCGGTTTGGCCATCTGCAAGGATTTGACCAATTTGACTTTCCACGGACGACGAAACGAATACTGATTTTCATCTTCATGACTTTGATTCTGTCGCTCTACTGGCTGGTCCTCCAACTCATAGCTGTGTACTCTTATGGCGATAGCTTTTATCCGGCGCTGATGCTATTCTATCTTGGGTTTGCGATCTGGAACACCTTCGACATCCTAGATATAAAATTGTCCAACAGGTCATTGGTGGATGGTACAGAAACGAAATGGGGGTTCGGTCAAGTACTACCACTGGTACTGCTCATAGCGATTGTCTTCAACACGGTTGATGCTATTAAAGGTGAGAGACAGAAGCCACATACACGATAGGGAACCTTGAATCACTGATGCATCTTTATCTTCTAGGGGCAAGACAGGAAGTCTCTAACAAGGCGAACAAAGCACAAGAGAAACCGATCTAAGATGAGAAAACCTCGATGCGCGAAGTTTTTGAGCCTAACATACCAGGCCAAGCATCACAACGGGCCCCCAAAATCCTTCATTTTTCTGAAGCTGCACGACTCCGATATTCAAGATGTTTCTATACCTACGAATATGATCAAACGTCACTCGATGCGGTAGCTGGATGTCTTCGAAAGCGCCTTTCATCTGAACCTAATACCAATCTCATCTTTGCTCCATCTTCGGCCCTCATACGAAGCTAAATTGTCATCACATCAAATGTCAAACGCAAGCTCAGCCCAATTTCAGCTATTTCGAGACTTGCCAACTTTGCGAGGTGCCATCCTTGAAGGACTGTGTCTGACTACTTTGGCTAGTGTCTCTGTGACTGCTGGACTGTGAGCTTGCAATATTGACACTTGCTAGCCTACCAGCAGTTTATCAAATGTCAGACTCTGGCCGGGAGTGAGGCTCGTCAGCTTCAGTCCAAGCCGCTCAACGAGCTTTTTCGAAAAGATCAATCAGCTGGAGGTGATAAAAGTCGCCATCACCAGTCCATGTTACCATATTCGACCTTGACCCCAAAAGATCATATGAACGACGAGCGGATCACCACCGTACGTAGCAGACTCCGCGGAAGGGGTAAAGGCTCGGATCGAGCGCAGGATCATCCAGAGCCTTCCTCTGGCATAAGGCAATGCCTTCAGAGGCTCTCATTGGGAATTTCCTTTGCGAAGCTTGTAGACGCTGCCCGAGCTTGGAAAGTAGTTGGCAGGCGGACATTGTGACGACAGGAAATCACAGGATTGCGCCAACCCTGGGAGGATAAGACCGACCTTCATAATTCCTTCGTAATCCCTTCCCACTTCTCGATAAAGGCGCAGGGAGCTCTTACTGATGCGGCAGCCTGCAGAGATCAGCATTGAAACTTCTAGTGGGTACCTTTGGTTCTCTTCTACTTTACGTACGTATGATATAGGAGACGCCATTACAGTCGATGCTATTATCCTCTCATGCCGTATTCATATCTAACGAAGTGACTCTAGATACCCACACCGCTTTGCAAGCTGTTCACTCCTCAACGCCAGCGCTCTCTCCCTCTTAAGCTCCTCACTCCCCGACCTTTTCTTCAACCCCACCTTCTCAATTCCCTCCCAAATCTGCCGCCATCCCGAAACATTCCCAAGTCTCTCCCACCACCGTCTCCACCCCACCTCTTCCCTTCCACCTCTCCCTATTCTAGCGGGCCCCGTTCCCCACCGCCCACCAATAACAAGCACATCGACATCTCCCTCTTCCACCCTCCCCTTCGCCATCGGCCACTCCCCAAACGTCTCCCCAGCCATACCCACCGGATCCCCACTCCAAGCAAAAGCAACAAAACTCCTCGCATACCTCCGCGCCAACTCCATGGCTTCCTCCCCATTATCTCCCGGCGCCACCAACCCCTCATTAAAGAAATACGGAATATCGCTTAGATGGCTGACCCCCCACGGTACTTTCATCTGCTCCCAGAACGGGAGCAGGCGCGTCTCGTTAAGCTCTGCTAAATACACTGCCGTCTTGCCTTCACTGTACCGGGAGATTTGCTGCGCGAGGGTGAATTGCGGGCATGTGAATGCCATATCCCGCGCGATGCGAGCGGCGCGGAAATATTGTGGGGAGGTATGAGTTGGGGAGGCGATCGACTGGGGTATGAAGTCGGAGAGAGGGTAGAGAGATAGGAGGGCGGTGGTGTTGAGGTGCGACGAGTTGTGCGTGCGGAGGAGGTAGTGCGTTATATGGGCTTCGGAGTGAGTGTGGGGATCGATGAAGACGGTGCCGTCGTCGCGGGTCCATGTTGCTATTGTGGGGATGTCTTAGATGTTGTTAGTGAAGACTCTGGGGAAAGAGTGGGGAAAGGGGGAGCATGACTTACTTTGCAGAAAACGCCCTTGCTCGAGCAATTTCGAGGGCGTGTCGGGGATCATGTCCTCGTCGATCACGGGCGTGAAGGCGCGGAAGCCGAAAGGTGGGCGTGCCTCTCTTGCTACGGCTATGTTGATTTTGAGCAAGTCTTCAAGTGGCACGTTTTTGAGACATGCCAATGCTTTCTCGTCGATGATGCCATCCTCGAGCGGACAACCAAGCCTACTAGCCACATCGACGGTATTTGCTTTGACTGCAGTGTCTCCTCTATCTCCAGCGATGCTACCAGAACAGAGAATCGCTCTGTGAAATAGTTTCTCTTGTTCACCACCCCAAGCGATGAGTTGCAACCCCACAGATATACTACCAAAGCTCTGTCCGTAGAGCGTAACGCGATTGGGATCTCCACCGAAAGCGTCAATGTTGTCTCTGACCCATTTCAGAGCCAGATGTTGGTCTCTCAAGCCATTGTTCTCGGCTTTTTGGGTCTTGAGAAACTCGGCAGCGGCGAAACCGAAGACTCCCACGCGATAGTTCATTGCGACGTAGATTACGGGCTGGTCGTTGGCTATGGATTGCTGGATCAGTCCGATCGGGTTGAACGTTTTGTCGTAGGCTTGTCCGACGAATGACCCACCTATTAGTAAGTAATGAGCTTGTTTGCATATGACTTTGGTGGAAGTCAAGTAAGCCTACCACCGTAGATATAAACCATTACTGGCAGAGGCTCCCGATAATGAGTGGCATCAGCAGGTCGAGCAATCCGAAGATTCAAGCAGTCCTCGCTCTGGTACGTAATATGTGACATGAATGGCACAATGGCTTCGCTTGGCTGTGGGCATGCCGGGCCGGCATTAGTTGCGTGTATCGTGCTTCCTGCTGGTGGATAGAAGGGTTTTGGTGCGGCGAACCGATTATGTCCAGACGTGTCTTCGGCGAAGGGAATGCCTTGAAATTGGTCGACGCCATTGTCTGTGGTTCCTTGATAGGTCACCTGCTTGTTGTGGTCGTGAACCAGCGGGTCTGCTGAGACCAAAGCAATTGTGTAAAAGAGTTGCCATGATAATAGCACCAGAAGATTTGCATACGCTATATTTGGAATGTTACCAATTTTCGCGGCGGCCAAAACATGCTTCATGTTGATTGCCGGATATAAAGACTTCCCATTGAGAGGGAGTACTAATAAATTCTTGATCACCAAAGTACGACGACGAAGAAGATAGCAACTCGAAAAAAGCTCAGATATGTTAGGGTTATAGATGCAAATATATGATGCTTGATGATATCGGACCTACTGTGGGCTAATTTGTGGCCGAGCATATCCTGTTGCCCCTCCGAGCCAATAAATTTTCATCGGCGTATATCTACATGCATGATGACGTTGAGCACCTTTTTTGAGAAGTGGGGTGCTCAAAGCATTGTTACACAAGGTTGTACTTAGGTTCTAGCTGCGCCAACCGATACTAAAATGCGTCCAAAGTACACGTAAACAGGGCGAGCTTGAGAGGTACGACATGGGCCCATTTTTTGTGAAAAGCCTGTTACGAAAGCACAAATCGCACTGCATGCAAAACCCTCTGAATATCCAAAAGTTCTGTGCACTTAAAGTGCGTACCCCTTGAGAGGGACAAGAAGATGCATGATAAATGGTAGAACAGCCCGGCCATACACAAAAGAAACTCAACCCCCTTAATAAGAAATGAACTAGGAGTATCTCTTCTCGACCAGGAAACTAAGCTGTCTGATACCTGATTTGGTCTCCTTACACTCTCTCATTCTTCAGCTCCAAAAAGCCTACACCTCTCACACCACTGAAGCCAAGGCCAATAACATATGCCTACCCTCCAGCAATCCTTCCTCCTTTCCCTATCTCCCTCCACCTCAACACCCGCCTTCACTACCTCCTCCGCCATCACCTCCACTATAGGGCCCACTATAGTCTTCGCTGTGATGAATCCTAATTGACTATAAGATTCATGCATCAGAAGATTACTTCTGCAACATAACCAAGGCATAGACTGCATAGACACTCTTTCATTTAATTACAGAGACATATCCTGATAGACTTCAATCAACGACTCGTAAGGATACAATCTGATCACAAGGAATAACTAGATGTTTGAAAGTAACCGGTAGTAGAAAATCACACACAGTATACTTGCAAGTCCAGTGTTCAATTCAGAGGTTAAGCATGTATATTATGAGAGTAGCTACACTGCTTAATTCAAGTATTAGAAGAGGACAGAACCAGGTCACTTCGAGCTAACATACCTAATTCGTTCGTCTGACCTTCAAGATATGCATAGCATGTCAAATCTACACTGAGATTCATCACATCATAGGAGCCACCCCCTTCTTCCCCCTAACCCCAAACCCCAAGAAACCCCTCCAATCTCTCAAGACATCGACGCATCCCGCGATGTCACCTTCAGCTCCAAACCCTTCTTCTCAACCCTCTTCGCCATCCTGGCCCTATGCGTCGCGACCGCCGCCATTGGGATGTAGAAAAAGTACCTAGAAACACAATTAGCCACCAACTCCACCAACCTCACCCGACCCCAGCGCATCCCAGGCTACCAACAAAGAAAAAAAGGTCACTCACCCAACAAGCACCAAAGTCCCCAAAGCCAACAACCCCTGCCCCAATCCCCCCGAGACGCCCACAAAGCCCGCCACATTCCCCGTATTATCCGGCTTGAGGTGGCTCTGGTAGCACATGTCGTAGGCGCCCTCACCGCCGTCGCAGCTGTACCAGATCCACATCATGTTGACCCAGGCGAGGAGGAAGATGGTGGCGCCGGTGAGGGCGTAGATGGGGTTGAGACGATGATGGGTGGAGGGGGTGGAGTGGGTGGAATTGGTGGGGCGGGGGCGGGCGAGGGCGAAGAGGACGGTGTCCGTGATGGTGTGCAGGGTGGAGATGAAGGGGAGGAAGGGGGCGTAGAATATGAACCATCTGGAGGGTGTTTTGTGAGCGGAGGGGTGGGGAAGTTGGGGGTTTGGAGTTTGGGGTTTATGAGGTGGATGGGGGAGGGGGAGGGGGGGGGAGGGCAGGAGAGACTTACGCGACAGACCAGCGTTGAGGGTTTGGGCGGTAGGTGACGCTATGGTCGAGAGGGGCTTTATAGAGTTGAGTCACGTAGGCGGCTGCTAGAGCGAATGTGATGATGGAGAAGAGGACGAGAGCGCAGAGGAGGAGGAAAGTGTAGCGGAGAAAGCCTGTCCATGGCGATGTGGTGTGGGGGGTGAGCATTGTGATTGCGAGTCTTGGTACAATTGAAGTTGATTTTGTTGTTTTAACTGTGATTGACGGGGGAAGAGGCTTCTTATGAACTTGATAGATGAAAAGGAAGAGGAGAACGAATGTAAGTGTTGATAGTAGGAAACGGGTATGTGCGTTGACAGGGCGGGGCAGTGGCTGGGTATCTGAGACCTCAGGATCTATGCACGACCTCGTTTACCGCCCAGTGGCACGGGCTGCATCAGAAATGAAGAACTATACACGAACTACAACGCAGTGCTGCGCCGTGTTTCGAGTGATCCATCGTGTGGCCAAGAAGGCAGGAAGAGAATCCTTTGAAGATACTGAAGATTCCTTGGGGCGGCTATTCTGAAGGTCGGGGGCCATCTTAGGGGTGGCTGGCCCCCTAAGATAGAGACCAGTGGCTTAGAAGCGGCCCGTAGATCTACAGCGGGACTGATTGGTCGGGGAACCTTGCTGCCTTACAGCATTCTCCTTGGCATCCTTGGCATCTGGGGGCTGGCGCTTACGGACTCCCCTTCGTACAACATACATGAAAGAGGATGAACGCATCCAGCTTGTTTGGGATGAACGGCTGGCGAGTCGAAACAAGATGTTTCAGCCTCCGAAGCAGCTTTGAGGCGAGACTCGGCTCGATGCCATGCAGAATGTCGAGATTGGGCTTTCCGGCCCCTGTTTGCAGCCCCTGCTCGCTCTCGTGAACATCAGGGTAGCATGTTTCACTGACTCCTTCACTGGCAATTGAGTTCAACTGCTAATCTAAGATGGCCTCGATATATGGCTATGTACGGTGCAACTGTCATCATCATCAATGTGGTGTTTCAGGGATGCCATGTCTCATGGCTTCGTCCAACACTGTCCCGCTCCACGAACACTGGAAATTCATTTTCTGAGCCTGAAAATTCTTTGAAAAGCTGAGGAGTTGAGCACTGATCTATCGAGATTGTCTGAAAGATGTGTTTATTCATTGATTGTCCATATCGATTCAATAGGCAAGGCCTTGAAAGAAAGGTACCGAAACGGGCGACATGTACTTATTACATGGCAGCAGCTTCTGTGACTTCAGGACTACATATTCCTGCGGCTGAAGATTCACGATTCAATCTTTACGGCCCAGTCTTTGCGGCCCAATCTTTACGGCTAATTTCATAGGGCTCAATAATAGGGCTCCATCCTTACGGTTCAATCCTTACGGCTCGGTAAGGGGCTGAGGCCACACGAGACCGCCACTCAAATGCGGCCGCAGAAGAATAAGTTGGCCCTACCTCGAACAACGCATCTTCATGCAGATGTCTCAGATCCTTTGCAGGCTCTGGCTTACACCGTACGCAATTTGTGCCGCCTCCTCACATCGGAAATGATACCCTCCCACTAAGCTAAAGACCTGCAAGCACATTTTATCCGGTCTCGCGAATTGAAACATGCTCAGAATGAGCCTTATCACCAACATGCCCAGAAGAGGCATTGCCACCAGCCTCACCCATTCGATTCTTGGCGTCTCTCCTCATAGCACCGCGCGTGATATTGCAGTACTACCTTGGAGGATTTTCCCATAACCCTTCAATTAGCGGCCCATACACCATCAGGCAAAGAGGTGGCATTGCTCTTGGTATTCAATATGCCAAGCCATCGTGTTCGACCGAAGGAGTAGGAGGTGAGTATATAGATCCGACTACGTCCTCAAGGCATTCAACAAACAATCAAACCAATCTCTTCGATCTTGAGCGTTGCCTATTGAAGACACTCTTGTCGATATATTACATCGAAAGCGACGAGCATCCACCATTGCACTCAATTGACAAACCCGTTTGTAGTCCTGGACGTGAGGCACTTCGCGGGAAAGGCACGGAAGACTCGGACATATACAGTCGCACTTCACTCCAGGTGAACTACGATGGCAAATCTCTTTTCGATAACACTTGTCAATGTTCTCTCTATTCTATCACTTGTCAATGCACTACCGCAGCTCCAGTCGAGAAACCCCTTAGCCACCCGAGATGATATACCACCTATTCCACCACGTCCTGATAACGTCGGCAAAGAAACTTTTCATGGGAGTCAATTTCAATTCTTTGACCAGCACGGTTTCGTTGCTGGGTCTCCGGGTGTGGAAGCCGCACCAGTCTTTCTATTTTCCAGAACCCAGAAGATATATGATCCTTGCTACCCTGAGAGCGCTGTCGTGATAGGCTCCAATCCACCAAAGCCGAATCCCGGTACAGATGGTGACAAAGGGACAGCAAGCGTGAACCCTGGTGCTGACTGCACTAATCCTGGGACTTACAACGGTGGTAAGTGAATCTGCTTCCTAGAAAGACGTTTTAGAGTGAAAGTCCCTAAGCTCATGGTCTTTTATCACAGCATATACCCTCGGCAATCCCTTCCCCGTCTACGTTGGTGCCGCATACTGTGGCGATACATGGCGTGTAAACTACGATCTATACTATGTGCACGATGGCGTTATGCTGGAGGGCCACAAGCACGATTGGGAAGGCGCCACAGTAGTCTTCAAAAAAGACCCCAGTGGCGCAGACTGGTGGTATCGCGACAGCATCATTGACAACGAGCATGGCTGGAAAAACCACTACGGCTGGGGCGACATCATCACCGTCAACGTTGACACGGGAGAGTTCACCGATGTCAAAGACGAGACAGTCGGCAAGCGTCTCAACCATCCTAAAGTCTATGTTGGATTTTTCTCCCACTCTGCTTTTCCTGACAAGGATACCAGTCGCCAGACCATCACGGCTACGAAGGACAAGTCTATTGCGGACGACGAGTATCGTAGCAATGACTGGTGGAGACTCCCACGTGGAGGCGACATGCATCTTTGGTCTGAAATCAACAAGGATTGGAAGTATGGAGATGCGGACAGCACGCCACCGTCAAATCACGACAACATGTGCGGATGGTAAAAGGCAACGGTCAATCCATTTGGCTGGCGTTCGCGGTGTCTGTTTTCTTATAGGACCCTTAGGACGCCTTCTCTGCTCACGCCTTTCCTTCAGAAAAACGTTTTATTAGAGGCCTCAAGCAAGACTCCAGGTGGCCACTCTGGGGCTTAAGAGAATAGACACCAAGCCAGCCGAAGCGATATCGAAGACCAGATCTTTGTGAATTTCGCCTACCAGCTGAACATCAGCACTCCGCCGACTGTACAGCCTCTTTTATAAATGCATAGCAAACTAGCCAGGCAGCAAACGAGCAGACACCACCATCTTTGCCCCAGTAAGTTCAGAACCAGAACTCGAACAGGCCAAGATCTTCGGGTCAACAGCCATCAAAACTCAGCCCACGAAAGCTATGCCACACCAAAAGGCAAATGCACAGATGAACCCTCCCCCTGTCCAAGAGAAATCTCAAAGCTATTCGCCCAGCGCCCTTTACGCCGTTGAACAGCCACACTCTGCAATCCAACAAGGATAAGACGGGAAAGACAAGACTTCCATACCCATGAATGGACGCCATCGAAATATCTGCACCGGCAATTGATCATGGGCATACTTCAAGACTTGCGAGAAACAGACCTGAGCAGACCTGCCCACGTCCCCTAAAGCCCACCCATCACGTCTGAACGAAGCGTATTCGTAAAGTCAATGCTAGGACCGCTATGACGACTGCGGGCCCCGTGGGAAAGATAGGTGGGTCCAAGACGAAAGCCGGTTTAGTCTGGTCAATATGGATGGTGTAGTGATCTTGACGATGGCTATGGCGATGGGATGCTGGCTGCATTAGAAATGTGTATATTGTATTAGTAGAATCTAGAGAGCGATGGTGTCCTAAATGTAGTAGAAGAGAAATATATTGATTATGCCAATGGAAAGGAGAGTCTGAAAGACTTGCCATGCGTCCCCAACGCCCTACCCACTGATTCGTAGAAACTTGGAAAGCTGTATCTAGTTTTGAGGGAAGGGAGAAAGTTGTGGTGGCGGGAAGCGGGGGGAAGAGGAGCAGGTCCGTGGGGTAGAAATAAATAGATGGTGCATCGTGTTCGTGAATCGACCTCGTTTATGGGAGGGAAAAGTATCGTGGCTAGGGATGTAGCGTAGTAATCTGTAGACAGTAGCTGGGATATTCGCCTTGCTATAATAGTTTCATCGTCCTTCTAATAAAATTACTGCTTTTTGTGATATTGTGTTATCAGAAGATTGCTATCGCACTTAGTATATGTACCAAATCATGAGGCTTCTCAACCAGAATCTACATGATTATGGATTAAAAATGTCACGGCTTGTATCACGTAGATGTATGTAGGCATTGACTATGTTCACTTCTCCTTCTAGGCCGGAGTATTGGTTAGGAAGGGCCATTGTGAATGGCTTACATTGATAACAGACTGCATGCTACTACTCCGCTTCCCTCTACTTCTATATCTGGCTTCTTTTACCTTGAGAACCTACTTTGTTGTCGTACTGTTCCCAGCTGGCTGTACGCTGCTTTTCATGTTTCTTTTGATACTAGCTTAGCCTAAGAGCCCACTATGGGAATACTTTGCAGAGCAGCGTGTCTGCATGTTGCTTTCTTTGTTGTTTTTGGCTTGGACATAGCTTGAAAAACGATTTGCAGCGGACTTATGTACTTCAAATAGCTAATTGACTATTTGCTGCTCTCTCTGCTGCTCGGAGGGTTTTTGTCAACCGGAATACTCATCAATGAGCGGAGTTTGCTAGAGTGTATGTGCTGCGGACATTCACCTTTCTTCCTGAAGGTGTCGGCCAGGTTGTCCGAGATGGGCATCCAATTCGCAAAATGTTCAACGTAAGAAGTGAAACTGATGTGTGACGATACAACCCATCTGCAAGTTCTAATTCCATCCTACTTGCTCTCTTGCATGCCTTAACTTCCATGGGCACAGTAAACCCACTATCATGGTGCAATAGACATTCCTCCCGGATGAGCCCTGCGGGATCGACGGGGATGTTCCCAAAGAGGCAGATTTACCGGTCGAATCATGCTCGCTCTGCTTTTCGGTCTAGATAAGCCTGCTGCAGGGCATTTGCCTGGAAGCATTTATCGCTACGTTGTCGGGTCGAAAAAGCAGTCAGATCCTTCTTGCCACTTCAGCCGATTACCACGCGCCGTCTTATCACTATTTTCAGCTAAGCGATGATGTCTGTTGAGTATTGAATTGATTTCGCTGTTTTTGATACAAGAACTTGTCCTCATAGGACTGGCCTAAGTCTAGAAGCCGATTGGGTCGGAATTGTTGAGCTCTTGATTAGATGGCACTTCCGGACTAGCAGCTTGATAGCGAAGTCTGCTATTACATCTGGTCTATATTCGAGGGTCGTGAGGATTCACAGATAACTGCACTCGGGTCCTTCAAAAACGCTCTGTCTACAGATTGTCTTGCACACGGGCCTTTGGTGGAGCATTACTGGAGCCACTGTCGTGACGAGTATAATGTGCGTGCAGATTCATTTGACGCATCACACCAAGTTTTTTTATCCACAAGCAATGTTGAGAAGAGTTTGACAATAATGGAAAACTGTAAAATCGGCGGTTTTTGGAGTCTCCAGCTTGTCAAGCAACACGCTATCCCAGATCACATCGGGACTGGACGTATAATGGACCCTGACTGATCTTGGAGTCGTCAAGCAATGGAAGAACCAATGCCTGACATCACATGGCGCAAAGTGCCATAATCCCATGAAGATCTGGCCAGCACGGCCAGCGTGGCTCATCGATGTTGAGGATAGATACGTCGTCCCCGGTCAGTGCGATGGAGATTTTGTTGCGTTAAGCTACAGGTGGGGTGAGCAATCAGGCTTCAGGGTGAATGCCGACAATATGACCAAGCTGCAGGAGCTGAAAGCTCTAGATAATCCAGAGATCTCAGAATATCTAGTCCCAATTCTGCAGGATGCTATGTACCTGACTTCCATAGTTGGCGAGCGATATCTCTGGATGGACGCGCTTTGTGTTGTGCAGGGTGACGATGTGGCTGTTGCAGAGCAATTGAACCTCATGGGAGCGATCTACGCCAATGCCATTGTCACCATCGTTGCCGCAGATGGAGACTCTCAGGAGGGAATTCTGGGTCTGAGAAACAGTTCTAATTCTCGAAAATTAGATCAGCATGTCATTCCGTTTGGCAAAGAGAAGATGATTGTCAAGAACAAGTACTCTATTCGTAATGGCTTTTCGGCTAGAAGTCCATATTCTGACCGGGGCTGGACATTTCAAGAGGAGAGAATGTCCCAGAGAAGGATCGTGTTCAACGAGAGGCAAGTACATTGGGTGTGCCAGTGCAATGTGTGGCACGAAGAGACAGTCTTCGGAGCTGAGTTGAAAGAACTCACCGAATCCAGTCTAAGTGTTATCCTGGCGGGGTTTCCAGACACAAAAGCGCTTGAAGATGTTTTGTCGGCTTACAACAGCCGTCATCTTTGTTATGACGAGGATACGCTTCCTGGTATTTCTGGGCTCTTTTCTATAATGAGTCGCACTTTCAGAGGAGGTTTCCTATGCGGCCTTCCTGAAATGCAATTCGATAGAGCACTTGGATGGAGACCCACTTACTACCATGAGCAGCTTCGGCGGCGGACTCTGTCTGACCGTCCTAACAGTTCTCGGCTGTCAGACTATCCTCTGCCGTCTTGGTTATGGGTTGGCTGGCAAGCTGCATTCGTTAGTAACGAAGACGAAGTTATTCGAATAAACAGCATGTGGAAGTTCATAGACGAAACATTTCCAATAACAGAATGGTATACAAGCAATTCTCCGCATGGCTCTCCATTGCGGAGGATCAGATCGACTTGGTACGAACGTCTTGATACCCTCAAAGGAACGACGAAGCCTTTACCCGAAGGCTGGACTCGCGACAAGGTTCATGATGATTGGCCAAACAGTGACGGACCAAGACTCTACCCAGATAGATGCAATGGCTACATATATATGCACTCTAGTATGCCTGACAAGGAACGTCACTCATATTACTACCCATTCCCGCTCGCAGATAATCAGGCGTGTACGCCCGCTAAACATCGTATTTATTTTGTGAAACAAAAAGAGCTCGACTATGGACCCAGCGAGCTGGTTTTGATAATGACCGTGACATTTGTGACAAAGCTGGTCGAAAGATTGGAAAGCTTTATCTGCACAATGCGGAGCAACGAGAGCTCTTTCCCAAACCAGTAGCAGAGGATGCTGACATGTCGCGGCTTGAACTGGTCGCCATCTATCGCTTGAAGAGACACAAACCAAAAAAAGATGGGCGATACAAGTACAGCTATGGTCAGACCGCTGAAGAATTTTACGTGGTCCTGTGGATAGAGTGGGTCGAGGATGTGGCATACCGACTTGCAAGTGGGAGCGTACAAAAGGTGGACTGGGAAGGGGCAGATCTCGAGGATGTGTCTTTGGTTCTAGGATGAAGAAAGTCTCGCATTTAGAGAATCAAAGAAGTCCTAGCTGCTTGGCAGAGGATGTGTAGGCAGCACTGGTGGAGGACGCATATTTTGTAGCTGCTACATGCAAAATGCCATCAGTAGATAGTAATCAGAGAATTCTTGGCTCATTGAATGGAGAGTCCCCACTACCATTCGAGTAGACAAAGGATCTTGGATGACGAAGAGAGGAAACACAAAATCCATCTGAGGAAGGAAAGCCGGGTATCGAATGAGGATGGAATGTTTTCCCCTCTCATCATGAGGGTTTCCCAACATTGTCACTCCCAGCGTTTATGTCATGATACCACACAAAAGATTACAGCACATGGAAGGACTAAACATGCAGACTCCAGCTCCCTTCCGCTCCTCCGTCCGTGAGCGCGGCGATACCATCGGCCCAGCACGTAAGCACCGACCTCGATTTCTAATTACCCCCCATCCCTGACTCCATCGATAAGACGCTTGCGATTCATCGGCATACGCATCAAAATGGCATCGACCTCACACGTGCTAGACCCTATGCCTGCAAACACCTACATCCGGTATCCCTACCAATCTTGATCTCGACCATGCCGCCTCCCCCTCAAAAGATCCTCGTCCTCGGCGCAGGCGAGCTCGGCCTCTCTGTCCTCTCTGCCCTCTGCACCCATCCTTCCCGCCACATCCCCAGCGCCGCCACCATCACCGTCCTCCTCCGCACATCCAAGCCCTCACTTACTTCCCAACTGACCTCTTGGGGCGTCGAAACCGTTTACGCGGACATCGCCGTGGCGACAAAAGAAGAGTTAGCAGGCATATTCGGGGAGTATGACACAGTAATCGGCTGCACGGGCATGGGGTTACCCGGGGGTACGCAGATAAAATCGGCAAGAGCTGTTCTACAGGCTGGGAAGGTGAGGGAGCACGGTCCAGAGGGGAAAGGTCCGTTGAGATATCTGCCCTGGCAGTTTGGCGTGGACTACGATGCTATTGGTCGAGGCAGCGGGCAAGATCTCTTCGATGAGCAGTTAGATGTCAGGGAGCTGCTGAGGGGGCAGGATGTAGTGAAGTGGGTGATCCTGAGCACGGGGATGTTCATGAGCTTTTTGTTTGAGGAGGTATTTGGTGTTGTGGAAGAATTGAAGATTGCGGATGAAAGAGGGGAGGAGAGGGGAGTGAAAGTGAGGGCATTGGGCGGAGCGGAGAATAAGGTCACGGTCACGTCTGTGGAGGACATCGGCAGAGTGGTCGCGCAGGTGGTTTTTGAGGGAAGGGAGATTGGGGGTGTGGTATTTACAGCTGGGCAGACGGTGGGGTATAGGCAATTGGCTGAGATTTTGGGGGAAGTACTGGGACGGAAGGTGGAGGTGGAGGATTGGAGTGTGGGGCAATTAAGAGCAGAACTGGATGAGAAGCCGGATGATAGTATGAGGAAGTATCGGCTTGTCTTCGCGGCGGGCAAGGGCGTTTGGTGGGATGAAGAAGGGACGCTGGAAAAGCAGATAGGTCTAATATTGCAGGACGTCAAAGCGTGGTGTCTGCAGAATCTTAGGCGTAATTAAATTCATATCGACTGATATGTCCTCGTGCTACTCCAGATTGGCAACCTACGATGAACAACGTCATGCATCGTACGGTATTAGTCAGAGCAGCCTCTTGCAAAGAGAGTGAATCTCACCTTACGCATACAAAGTCTTTGCGCTGATTAATCGTTGCGTGTCAGCCTGCACGGAAACGGCTGTTCGAGCGAACCGGGCCTCCCAATGTGGTTTAGCTTCTCATTTTGATTCACTTCCCAATTCTGCATAGTCTTGTCTCAAATGCATCATTGCTTCGGCTCAAGGCCTTCCAGCTTCCGAAGACAATATCAGAAATGTCTACATAAGAGGCCATGAACGGTATCATTCAAGCAGTGCAATTGCAATAACAATCAAGATATCTGGGATACCTTCAATCTATCAACAACTACCGAGATTCTCGATCAGTTGCAAAGACTACTCGACCTGAGCCAGCATGGTTATTCGCCTTGGTATCATCGGCCTCTCGGCCCACCCATCAGCATGGGCAACAATGGCTCACATCGGCCCTCTCAGCAAAGAACCTCTCTCGGACAAGTACCAGCTGACAGCTGTTGCCACCTCCTCACCCGACTCGGCGAAAGCAGCAGCCAAAGCCTTTGGGCTGCCAGAAGACAAGGCATACTCAAGCCTTGAGGCCATCGCACAGGACAAGGATGTTGACATGATTGTGGTGTCTGTCAGGGTACCACATCTCCACAGAAAGAGGCACACCTACCTTTCCACTGACCATAAATGCATAGGTGCCCATGCATCATCAACTTACCATGCCAGCTTTGAAGGCCGGCAAAGACGCGTTCGTCGAATGGCCGCTCGGCGCAAATCTTGCACAGGCCGAGGAGATGGCTGCGTTGGCGAAGCAGAAGGGGCTGAAGACTGCGGTCGGTCTTCAAGCCCGGGCAAATCCAGTCATTCAAAAGGTATGCGGAAAGCTTGAGAGACCGAAAGGCATTACTGAGTTTTGAGCCCAGGCTAAAGAGATAATCGATTCTGGAGCCCTGGGACGCGTCCTCACGACCAATTTTGTCGGTACAACAACTCGTTTCATCAATTTGCCGGAGAAAGCCGTGTACGTGAACGATCCGAAGAGCGGTAAGTACTCGTAACATCCCTTCATAAGTAGATCATAAGTCAGGCAGCTTACTCATCGATAGGTGCTGATATCGTCTCGATCCCCATTCTTCACACGCTCGACGCGCTGTGCTACCTTCTTGGAGAATTCAAATGGCTTGCTGCAGCTCTCGAGAAGAAGTTCCCAGAAGTTCAGTTCACAAGGGCGGATGGCACCAAGACCGATCCTGTCCCATCTCGGTCTCACGATTCCGTCAACATCCAGGGTGAACTCGAAAGCGGGGCGCCCGTCTCGTTCGCATACCACGCCACCACGCGCGCAACACCCGATCACCTCACTTGGGTCATTTCAGGTGAGAAGGCATCGCTCAAGTTCGATGGCGATCATGCGACTGTGCAAATGGCGCAGACCAAATTGAGCTTGTATGAAGTACCCCAGGATGATGCTGCTGGGTTGTATGAGAAGAATGTGGCGGCACCATGGAAGGATATCGAAGTGGAGGCGAACATGGCCTTTGGAGGTGTGGGCGAGGTTTACCAGGCGTTCGCTGAGGGCGACGGGGGAAAGGGCATTGTGGTGGACTTTGAGGAGGCGGTCAAGAGGCATAGGTTGTTGGATGCAATCTTCAGGAGCGCTGAGAAGGGGACTAGGGAGACTTACTGAGACTGCTATCACCAGGCCTTAGCGAAGAAGGTTGCACATGTGGGTCTATGACATGTAACGGTGGGACGGCACGCTCCAGTTAGACAACCCTCATTCGAAATGCCGTCGATTGAGAGCACAAGTCCACCAAATTCATCTGATCACCCTTTGAGCGTTGCACTAAGCACGATATTGGGCGATCACGCCAGGCCAAGACGCGTAGATGATCCTCATACGCAAGCGGCTTATATCAATGACCGGATCGAGCAATAATAATGGATGCAGCACAGACTAACAAATACACCAAGTTATCAGGCTTGAAGTTGTTCCCACAACTGCCGTGGATGAGAATGCCCGAGCAATAAGCAGCACGGACCAGCCAACGTCCAACCTCATGACTTGTAGGCTGAGAAGGACTTCAGCTCCGGGCAGAAGTCGCCCGTCCCACCCTGCGATGTGTAAGCTCGTCAAAAGATCTAAGTGCGTACTCGCTATATGTCGTTGCCCCAAAAAGACCCTATCGTTCACCGACGAGCAGTCAAGAGAAAGGAGCACAGACCAAGTCGACAGAAAGTTGCTTGCAGGGAAAGACCAAGCCTTTTTCAAGCCATCGCCTTCCCCACAATTACGTGCCTTGCGACCAGTCCTTCGCTGCAATTGGAGCGCATGTAGATGGATCGATCTAGCTTCGCTTTGACTCGCACGCTCCCTTTCGGCAGAAGGCCTAAGATATCGATACCGGAGAATTTGCATCAATCACAAGGATCAGCCCCTGCCTCTTCCTCCTCCTTCCAGTCTGTGGTGTGCTGCATTGGCATCGCACTTGAGCAGATCGCCGCTGAAAGTGGATGGGAGAGGTATGGCTCGTCTCGTTTATCGGGCGTGCCTTCTCTGGTGCATGATGGTAAATTGCCTTTGACAACAAGCCGCGCCCGAGGACTTTATCGGTCCCAAGTAGTCGCAATCGACGAGTCTTCGAGAAGAACCTAAGAATTTAGGGGACAATTAGGTCGTTTAAGAAAAGGCTACGGCTTTGGGCTAATTTGCTTGGACAGTCGCTCTGCCCAATCATGGGGGGCTTCCCCATGAAATGTCAGAGGCAAAGTGGCCACACATCGGAGGATTTCACGCAAGACAGCGTTGCGGTTGGCGGATCTGCGCTGACGCAGGATTGAGGCCAAGAGGTGCCAAAGAAAGCAGTGGCAGTAAGTTGAGAGACTTGACCTTTTTTTACGCTGATCCGAGTTCGCGCTAAATCTGCTCCAATGACTTCCCTGATGCGTTCATAGCACTGCATCTCCGACTCGAACCTACTCAACGCCTGCTCCACTGCGAACCTCCTCTTTTCCCTCCCACTACTATCCTCTACCATCAACCTCCCCTTCGCGACAATCGACTCCAGGATCTCCAACCTCGCAACATACCACCAACACCTTTATTGCGACCTCTTAATTTCCCTCGTTCTTCTTCCGACAGCGTTGGGGTCCGCCATGATCATACGACTGAGCACGAGAGCAGCATCAATCAAGCCATCCGACTGCCCTCAATCACACCGTCAGAGTGCTGATCCTCCCTCGCAATGAGTTACCAGCCTTCGCCTGGGCCAACTCATATGAATTACGTTGGTGGCACGCCCCCTCCCGATGGCGATAGAAATCTCGGCGCCGTGATAAATGGGGTAAATTGGGTCGTCTTCGCAGGAGCATGGATCATCGTCATATTGAGATCGGTGTCAAGAGTATGGCTGAGTCACAACTTTGGCTGGGACGACGCCTGCATGATATTGGCGCAGGTGAGTGAAGCCGCGAACAAGAATTCTTAGCGGGTGGATGCATGGGCTGACCAAGGGTCGCGGATGTAGGTTACCAATACAGTCGGCATGGGACTCGTCATGCTGCAAGTCGAATGGGGCCTTGGTCGACATCGGTATTACGCAAAGCAAGATCACTACATTGGTTTCCTCAAGTACAATTACTTCGACTGGTGCCAGGTCTTCGTCACCCTCTCGCTCTCCAAGATCGCAATCTGCCTCTTCCTACTACGAATATCCAAATTTGACCATTGGCGGAAGTTCCTTTACGGCGTCATCGCTTTTCTCCTCGGCACGCATATACCGATCCTTTTCATCTACATCTTTCAATGCCGGCCGGTCAACAAGGCCTGGAATGGTAACGTACATGGACAATGCTTCTCATTAGACGCTATATGGATATTGATAATAGTTCAAGGAGGTACGTGAGAGTCACCGACGTTCTCTAACCTGTGAAAACCAAGCTGATTCTTCGTGAACCGTCTAGTGTGCTCCATCCTCACGGACTTTGCTCTCGCGGCTACCCCTATCATCCTCATTCGCAACATGAAGTTACCTAAACGCCAAAAGATCGCTCTCAACCTCCTCATGGGCCTTGGTGTAATCACCGCTTTGGTCTGCATAGTACGAACTGTATTCTCTTACGAAACAAAAGCACACGACTTGACATGGCAGGGTATACCCAACGCGTTTGGTCGGATCTTTGAAATCAACCTGGGCATAATTGCAGCATGTATGCCAATGATGCGTCCACTATGGAACCATGGCAAGCGAAAATGGAGGGCACACTTCTTATTAGACAAATCAGCTACCCAGCGCACTCGGATGTCGCAGTTGCAGTGGTATCGCGCGCCATCTAGTCTACCGTGGTTCAAGAGAGTCAGGAGACACTTCCAGTTCCCTCTGAGGCCTGTGACCTCACAAACGAGCTCCGCGCAATCAATCAATCGCACTCCAAACTCTTTCAACGAGAAAGTGGTCTTGCCACCTCCACACCCAAATGTCACGAAACCTCGGGCGAAGTCTGCATGGCCACAGGAGTACGAGCGTCCCGAGAACGCGACGTGGGCGAAAGATGTGGATGAGCCAAAAATGAGCCAGAGTATCGACTTGCCTCTGCAGGGGGCGAGGAAAAGCGATTGGGAAAGAGATCCAGAGTGGGGGGCATTCGATTTCAGCTTTCACAGGGATGACCCGTGAGGAGCTTGTTATACGAGCATGATATCACGGAGTTATGTGTAACACGGTCATGAAAATATGTAGATACCTGGAGATATGGGACGGTATTTGGGCTTGACCGGCATAGCGAGGAGTGTATGACGGACCATTCTATAAACTAATGAACCTCTTGACATTCAGGTGGCAACCTTTCGTGGTTGCGTGCAGCAAACCGCAAGGGAAATACGCCCGAAAGACTTTAATGTGTGAGAATGCTTTCTTGTGTCTATGCTAATCTTCCCATGGCCAGCGATTGCTGTACGACCGTCAACCAATAACACTTTCCTCTCAAATCGCGCTCATCTGCGCTCGCCACACTCAATCCCACTTGCCACACTTTGTCGCGATTGACACCCTCAATCTTGGACAAGTGTCACCATCTGGAAATGATGGCAGGGTGGGGTTTGGATGGGATATTCGAACTCAACCAACGCGCTGTTCATCCATCGCACCTACCCATCTGCAGCAACTACCCATTGTTTGGCCTCTTCGTTTGCTTCTTCCTCGCTTCCCTGCAGCATCCATGAACAGGACTGCATGCTCCCGACAGCAGATTGTTGGATAAGTATTTCCATGCTGGCTGTTGGAAAAGCTGTGATCAAGTGACAGTTGAACTCCTCTTTTGCTTGCTGACAGACGACACATGAGGAACGCGCCTTCCTAGCAACATTGCCCGAGATTGTCTGGTACTGTGCAACGCCACGTCTCCATGCCAACCTACACCAATAATCGAGGCCGTGCGAACCACTCACACGCCCTCAGGTACTTTGGGCGACAGGCAGGAGCATCGTCGACGAGACAACAGGAAGCAGCTACATTCTCCCACATCCAGATCCTATCCAGGCCAGCCTCTGAGTACAACGAACCCGGAGACGACAACTCCAGTGAGGCGTTCATATCCAGGCCATCGTTGTCGCGCGAAGTTGAAGCCGGCATGTCAACCATTCGCCCGACTCAGGATACGCTAGCAAACATGCCTTCTGGGATGTCTTTTGCCCAGAAAGCCAGAGCAGCCGAACTCCATGCGGCGAGATCTCGCAAAGCAGCACAGGAGGCAGAAGACCATGTGCCGGATTTGGGACCCGTAAGTCTGGGAGCGTTCAAGTTCACCAAGCGCCTCACCACGCGCGCCAAAAGTCAAAAAGCCGACGGCTCTGATGACAAGGAACAGAACCCACAACCTTTTCCAGACAATCCACCACAGGTCTCTCTACCGCCTACTACGGCTGTTCGCCCCAGCTCTACCTCTACCATTCGCAGTGCGTATGAGCGACACCTGCAAGAGCAGGCTGCAGCTGCAGCCCAGCGTACTTTGACACCTGTGTTACTCTCGAATTTGCAACACAGTCCACCTGTTTCTGAGATTTCGTCGGCCGCCAATATCAACCCCCTTCGGTGTCTGCTAATCAGTTCGAGCAACCTATGAATATGATGAGTCGACGCCCCAGCTACCAGCCCTACGGCAGCAACCAAAACTTGAGCACCCCAGCGTCTCATGTCACCTCTCGTCAATCGTCCGTGATGACACACCCGAGTCAGAAGCAGCCATCAGATTTTGGTGGCTCTTCAGCAAGTGGACATGCCTTTGGCTCGATAGAAAATGGTGGCGCGTACATGCAGAGACAGACCAGTGGCTCAGCCAACCAGTCCAGGTAGGACACAATTCCTACACCACTTCCGCCTTGCTAATTGATTTAGTGCATACGAGATTGACGATCCATTTGTCAACCAGACATTTGTGCCAAACTTTGATGGTTACTCCGGCCAACAGTCAACACTTCCTCAACGCGCGAGTGTACGCATGCCACCTGCTGTCAAAGGCACGCTCGACCAACAGTACCGCTTCCCTCAAGCACATGAGGTGGGGGGTATCAAATCTGCTGAGCCCAGTCCTCATGTCCGACGTCCGTCACTCGCTGGTCAAGTGTCAAAACGACCCGAAGATTATGCAGAGATGCGTGCGATGAATGATCCTAAGGCGGTCACTAAGATCCTCACAAGAGATCCTCATCCATACACGGGATTCACCGCACCCAGTACCAAGCCATCGATGTCGAAAGCGGAAATGCTCATGCAAAATCTCGAGAGGCTGACGAGCGAGAAGAGTGGACCTAATACTGGCAGGACCGTGCTGTACGATCCAGTGGCACAGCACTCATCGCGCAACGCGTCGGATCAAGATCTCTCGAAAACCCTCCATCCTACCACTAATCGCATCCCTCAGCCGTTGGATCTCACCAATGCTGGAGGTCCGGGACTCTACACGACGGGCAACGACAGCCTCAACACCAGCTCGACAATCGGCCCTGCCACAGCCCGTTATGCCCCTCTCCCCTACTCTCCACAATACATCGCAGAACAGGAAGAGAAGGAACCTGAACCCGAAGACGACGCCATCCCCATGTCCGCGAATGAATACATGGCCGCCCTCGCGCATCCACGCTCCCCAACCCAAGAAGAAAAAGACGCCGAACTCATCGCCTGGTTCACAAACAAGCCTGCAGACCACGCCTACGTCCACGATGTCCTCGAGCGCCAGGCCCAACGCCTCGGCATCTTAGTCGCCGGCGCCTCCACTCCACCACAACAGCGCACCGTCCTCGCGCCTATCGGCAGCGGGCGTAAAACTTCCTCCTCCTCCCTCTCCCGTCACCCTACGGCCTCCTCTACCCCCACTTTCACCAATACGAACACGCCGGGCTACAATGCTGCAGGACAAGCGAAGCAAGCTGCAAATCAGCAGAAGGCTACGCACGATCTGATGGCTGGAGCGCTGAGTAGTCTGAGGATTCATGCGAGTAATGATAGGGGAGCGTCTGGGGCTGGGGCTGGGGAGGGAGGGGATAGGCAGGGGAATCCCTTCACGAGGTATAAGCAGCCGCCTGCGTGGTGTATTGATGATAAGAGTGAGAAGGGCCGGAGGAGCTTTTTGGGTGATGTGGAGTGGAATCCTCCCCGACGCGTGGGGAGGGATCCGAGGTATCCGGTTGTTTATCATGAGGGGCGGGCTACTTACTTTGAGGATGTTGGTGGTGTTGGAGGAGGAGGAGGGGGGAGTGGGGGAAGGGGCTGGGCGAGATAGAATGTGGGAGGGAGATGGGTACTCTGAAGTGGGCGGGGGATGAAGGCACGTACACTGGATGGAACGGGACGGAACAGGAAGGTGGAGTAAGGATGCTGTGATGTCGTGTTCGTTATGACTGACTGCCTGGCTAGATGGCTGGATGTATGCTCCGCTGCTTGCTCTTCAATTTCAAAGGAGAGAATGGGCTTGGGCTGATGCCGCGTATATATCTGGCAAGGGACGTATTTGATAGGAGGTGGGATGAATGTGGTCCTCGGTGCATGGATGGATGGATGGATGGACGGATGGGATGGATGGATGCACGGAAGATCATGATCGCTTGTGTACGTACTGGAATTCTTTGTCTCGTGGATGGATGAAAGGATGGATGGAGGGATGGAGGGATGGATGGATGTGACTGTACGTACGTACGTATAAATGAGAAAATTAAACAATGAGAGGATATGCTGCGAGCTGCGTGAAGGTGTTAAATGTCGTTGTGAACTGCCGTGTGCTTTGATTTCATAAGGAATTAATATGGCTTATTGGGGAAGGTGGGGTGGGGAGGGGTGGGGAGAGGCCAGAGTAGGGACGCGTGGTAGAGGTTTATGAAAGACTTGTAGGGGACGGAAGGGTGGCGTGAGGGAAGGGCATGAGAGGAGGGGAGGGAGGTGAGTATATGCACGGGTATAGCAGGTGTGAGGAAAGAGTATGGCTGTTCGTTCGTAGGAAGGGGAAAGGTGGATTGGAGAGGGGGTGGATGGCTCTTTATACTGTTCTTGTAGAGGGAGAGAGGGAGGGGGGCGGACGGATATGGCTGTTGGCGTGCGGGGAGGGGCGTGGGTACTGGGGATTGGGATGCGAATATGAGTGAGGGTGGAGGAGGGTGGAGGGGGTGGAGGGGAGGGTTTGAGGCGATAGTGGAGGCACGGACATGTTGACAGCGTTACTGTGGCGAGTCGCGAGTATGTGAAAGCACATTGAGCATCTGATTGTAAGTAGGGTCGCAATAGATGGGTTGGTGTGATTGTTCCTGAATAAGGATACGTGAAGGTGTCTTTTAACTCGAGATTCTTGCATTCAGATCTATATCTCCTCCGTATCCCAACGCGTAAGCAGATTAGTATAGTACATGAATGTGAACACATTATACCTCGCATCGCACCCTTTTCCCCCGTTCCTCCTTCCCTTCGCTGACGCCTTTCGAAATTATCCTCCGCCCGTGCCGGGGTAAAATATGGTCTACTGGAAATGTTCTATTTTTGTGAGCAAGATCCCAAGATGTGTCCTTGTCCTTGCCCCTTTCCTTTTCCGTATCCTATGGCATGGTTGGTGATGACAGAACGCCGGTGCTATGCGAGTGAATATAGTGATTGTAGCGGAATGAAGAATCGAGATCTAGTAGGAAGATTCGTCACAGAAGGTCGCCAAGAGATGTGCCTCTCGGACGCGCGGCCAGGAGGTGGTTGGCGTCAGTAGGCGACACCATGCGGCGAATTCCCTCCATAGGAAACCGGCCACGGTTACCGCTGCGCCTTGGCTTCCTGCTGTGCCTGACCCTGGTCTTTGCCGGCCTGCTCGGTCTTCTCCTTACTGCCCTCAGCCTGGCCATCCGTGCTCTTGTCAGAGGCTTTGTCTGTCGATGCTTTTGCTCCTTGCGACGCTTGATCTGCACCAGCTTTGGTTTCGGCTGCTTTGTCCTTCGAATTTGCACCTGACTTGTCTTTCGTACCACCATCTTGCGAGCTGGCACCCGATCCACCGGTCGTCGCACCATTTTGCTGTTCTGTAGCTTGCTTGGCAGCTTGCTTTCTTCGATCTTCCTCCTCCTTTTTCTTTTGAGCTTCCTCTTCTTTCTTCTTCTGTTCTGCTTCCTTCTTCTTTTGCGCCTCTTCGGCATTGTGTACTGCGTCTTCGACGTCTTTCTTCGCATTGCGAACCGCGGCGTCTAGCTTGAGGACACCCTCCTTGAGTTTCTGCTTGTCGAAGGCGTCTTCTTCGATGACTTCGTGGAGCTCGCTCTCTGCTTCGCCAAGCTTATCAGGGATCTTGCCGCCGTCTTGCACGTATATGTCGTAATGCTCGTCTTTTACCTGGTTCTTAAAATCATCGGAACGTTGGAGCATCTCCGCCGCGCTTCGCAGCCGGGACCAGTAGGCTTCGATTTCTTCTGGGTAGGTAGTATTTTGCAAAGGAATGTTGATCTCTTCAGGCCTATGCTCGATCTTGTCTAACCACCGTCCCATTGCATCCGGCCGTGCACCGCCCATTCCGGGGAAATGAACTGACACGCTGCCCCTCATCACTTTCTCGCCATAGCCCTCATAGTATTCATCATAGACATTGAACCAATGTCTTGGTTGGTATATCCTGTGCTTCTTATTCTCTGGCTGGTCAAACATGTATCTCAAGGCGTCTTGCTCTTTGAAAGGTAGGTCGACTTCTGGTCGCAATCTTGGAAGCGCAATTGCATCGGAGATGAGTGTGATGCTCCATTCGCAGACACGAATGAGGAACACGCCCGCGTTGAATCCGATCCAGTCTCTTGAAACCAGCATGTTAATGTCATGGAACATGCCTTCATTGGGTGGTAGGAAGATGGTCCATGGTATCAGGTTATTCAGGTGTATGGTATCTGCATCGGTCCATCTGATGTATGTTAGCGCTGACGTGGACAGGAATGCGACGCGCGTACACTATCCATTCGGCTCTCTTGCCAAAGTCTTTGGTCATTTCGTTCACCATGATGGCCAGTAGATATAAGACTTTGTCGTAGATGCCAACGCCAAAGTCGCCGTGTCCGACAATATCGTTTCGCAGGAAATGGGTAGGATAGCCCCATTTGTCACCGTGCGCCAGATGTGTCCTCAAGCCTTTTTCGTACATCAAATCGAAATTGCCGCCGAATTGCATGCTGACTTGTACTATTTGGGGCGCACCCTCATGATTTTCGTCAAAAACGCCTTGATGCTGGAAATTGGAGGCATTGCTGTTGTAGAGGTGATCTGCCTTCAGGTCGCCGCCCTGCTGCTCCGTCTCTTGTTTTCTAGGAATGGAGAAACGCTGAGAAACGTCGCTCCGAAAGAGTAATATGAGGGGAATAAATAGGAGGAGAGGGAGGAAGAGGTATCGTGGCGAGGAGGTGACGATCATGATGGCAGGGGAGGTTCAAGGGGTGGATTTGGAGGTCCCGTCTTCACTCGTAAGCCTCTGTCCACTGTGGCCCGTGCAAGCTAGGCATGGTCAGGGAGGGTCGAGTTGATGGTGCTTTGGGAGTGAATGGTTTCTAGGTCGATGTTTCTGTTTCGTGAGGCTCTGTGGTGTTTCTTGAGGATTCTTCTCATGAGGAGATTGGAGAAAAGAGGCACGGCCACTGTGCCAAAGACAAATGTTTCGGCGCCTCAGCCCTGCGGGGAATTGAAAGGTACGCCCGCCGTGCTCAGATCTATCAAGCGTTTCCCAGAGCTAGGACGCCGCGAAATACGGAGAATTCCGTTGGGCCTCGACTCATTCGTGCGGGGGATTCCTACATCTACAGGCTTTACGCTCATCTGCAAATGTTTGAAGGAGGCTGTTTGAGAGTAGTGCCCCTGAAAGAAAGCTTTCGTGGCATCTTCAGCGCGCTCGAATTCCGCACCAGACTGCCGTCCCAGGGGTCCTCCTCCCAGAAATGCTGCTCGTTCTGTTTCGCTTACACCCGATATATGGTTGAAGCTTGACAGTGATCTAGTTGACTTCTTCACAGAAACCTGGCTGTATGAAGCAAGATGCACAAGTTATACTAGCTTCATTTACAGACGAGTTAGACCATGGCCACAGTTGGCCAGTTAGTCATTTTAGTCCTGCACTTGTCATGCAGGCAGCACACCCTCAGAATCCCTCAGCCTTGTGTGGCAGATCCTGTCGAAAAACACCAAAAACACAGGAAAGGCCCAAACACTGCTTATCGAAGTCAGGGCGCCACAATTGGTCTTTCTTGATGCAACGGGCCTGATATCACAGTAGAACTGCCTTGAGGCAGGCCAACATTCGATCTTCAGGCATGATTGGCGCAGAAGCCTGGAATCATGGCCTCTCAAACGGCCTTCGCTCCTCCCGATGCATGGACTAGGGCTGTTAATAGATTCACAGAGGACCTAGATGACGACGAGAAACACCTATTCTTTCAAGCCAGCCCGGAGACCATCCTCTACGAAGCGAGTGCGGCAGAAAAGACGCAGAAGAGTAAAACCCGGCATTTTCTTGAGAAGATTCAACCCTGCATTGAGTCGATTGAAGATTATGGGCGCGCGCTTGATGTCTTTGCCAATACCTATCCACTAGTGATGAGCCCATTATGGGGCAGTATTCGCATCGTACTCCATGTAAAGTCTCAAAGTCATTCCGTGTCAAGTTTGTTAATCTAATCAAATCAGCTTGCAAACGAAGCGAGTCATTACTTTGAAAGGATTGTGGAAATGTTTACCCAAATCAGCGACCTTTTGCCCCGTCTCCATGTCTATGAAGCGCTCTTCCCAGACCATGAGCGTTTAGTCCAAGCCCTTTCTTTGGTCTACAGTGATATCATCAACTTCTGTTCAGAGGCGAAGCATGCCCTTCGTAAACCCAAACGAGCTATGTTCGGGTCTAGCTGGAAGACTTTTAAGCGTCAATTTGGACACCGAATCGAAAGTTTCAATCGTCATCAGAGGTCGATCGATAAAGAAGTGGACGTCTCCCACATGATTGAATCTGCGAAGACGACGGACCAAATCCAAGCCAATCAGCTAGAGGTGGCTAAAGAGAGAAAAGGTCGAGACCCTCCGCGTCACGATTTTTGAGCGTCATCGTCTTAACGGGGTAATAGCGCAAGATGTATGGCAGACAATCGCCAGCTTATCAACTGTGAACTACACAGAGCAACTATCCAAATCAAGAGCTCAACGCCACGACGGCACTGGAGGCTGGATCATTCATGAAAATCTCTATAGGGAGTGGAAAGAGAACCCACACTCGACAGGTCTTTGTTGTTGCGGCATACGTAAGCAGACAATCTTGCTGACGTGCATCGTGAATTAAAATTCCCTATAGCTGGATCTGGCAAAACGGTCCTCACGTAAGTATATCTAAGATTGCGTTACGTATGCTGAACACGAACAGGTCGAAGATTATAGACGACCTCGCAAACGGAGACTCGGTCGCGAGGCCTGTAATCTACTATTATTACGAATATGAAGACAGACCAACGCTGGAAACCCGTAGTGTATACGGCACTTTACTAAAACAACTTTTCATTGACGGCCTTGTCCCGAATGGTATACTCGATGAATTTGTCGAGAAATGCGCAAGCGATCGCCATCCGCCTCACGATCAGTACCTCAGTAGGCTGCTGCTCAAGGTGGTCGAAGGCATAAGTAAACTTTTCGTCATCATCGACGGCCTTGATGAGTGCGATGAAAACAGCCAACAGACAGTATGTGACACTCTGAGCCTCTTTGCTGCCATCCCTACATCCGCTGTCAAAATACTAGTGACGTGTCGAAACGAAGAGCGTCCATTGAAATACCTGCAAAGCTTTCAGAAGCTCCAAATAACGCCGGCCGCAACATTTGAAGACATTCAGAGATTCATCACTGCAGAGGTAAAGACTAAAATTATGCGCCAAGAATTGACCCTTCGTAACCCAGCTTTGGAGCTTTATATTGTGGATGAGCTTACCGCCAAGGCGCAGGGAATGTCCGTCATTACCCCTGACATGGTGTACAGAAAGCTTGAACTCACTAGAAAAGGTTTTTGTGGGTTCATTTCCAAATCCAGGACCTATGCGAAGCAGCATCCGATTCTGCTATTCGAGAGATTCTTAAGAATCTGCCACGAGGGCTTGATCAGACATACTTGCGCATCATCAAGAAAATTGACAGCTCTATGAACAGAGACCTGGCGCGGATGACTTTGCGATGGGTCGCTATAGCAAGGCGACCCTTGAATATCGAAGAATTACAAGAAGCTGTAGCTTTTGATAAGGACGATAGGCATTGGGACGAGGACAAGATTCCAAACGGAGAGAAGTTGTTACAGGCATGTTATGGTCTTGTGATCCGAGATGAAGCTAACAAGGCTCATTACGCACATCACACTGTCCAACAATTTCTCACGAGCCCAGAATCTGAGGAAGACAATGTTCAATTGCCACTTTCTCACTATCTATGCTTCAAAGAAGACCTGGAACACATGGCGGCAGAAGTCTGTGTGACGTATCTTTGTTTCTCGGATTTTGAGTCCGCTTTGATAAAAAGTGAGGCAGAGAGAAGGGTCCTTGTTAATGACGTATTCAAACATGGAGGCCCAATCGCTATCCCAGCGGCACTGGGTCTCAGAAGGTCCCTCATCAAATTACCAATTAGACTTTTTGGTTCCTCCAACTTCAACATACCACAGGTAGATTTTGCACAGTATGCAAACCCCGCCCGTCTCCGTAAATGGCCTAGGCCGGACCTGCTCAAGAAATATGGTATGTATTGCCAGCAGCGCTGTGAAGATCAAGCCAGCTGGGCGTGCATTCTCTGTCAATTTCAGCCAAGATTTGTTCTGAGCTACATTGCTGATTGTAGTAAGCCCTTTTAGATTACATCGTACAATTCTGGCCATGGCATACAAATCCAGCATTACCAAGTATGCGACCGTTCGATACGCAAGAAACACGAACTTCTCGTACACGCCTCCCCACAATCCCTGAGAATCAAAGACCTTCGGCGAATCAAGTACAAACCATTGACCGGCTCTGGAATCTCATCTTCAACAAAACATTGACTTTCGAGGTCCGTCCTTGGGGACCAAATCAGCACTTTGGCCCATACGGGTGCAAAGGCTGTCCTGTTCCTAAAGATATCCAACGGCCTTCGCTGCCCTTTATGGCTTTGATCCATTGGGCAGCTGGGTTTGGTCATTTCAGGCTCTTGATGGCTCTAGGACCAGACCTCTCCCCACATTTACTACATGAAGAGTATCACCAGGAGACTCTTCTCATAGCTTGTAGACATGGCCATGAACGAATTGTCCTATTACTTTTGCAGTCATTTGATCACGACTTAGGAGATGGTAGAGCTATGTGGGAAGCTTGCGCTTACTCCCAGATTGGCTCCTTGGAATTACTTCTAAGGTACCATAAATCCTATGGAAAGCATTACTATCGCCCGTCTTATTACGTCCTATTGTCGAAGCATGGGAGTGAGAGGCTGACTTTGTTGCAATATGCTGCACAACAAGGCAGTAACGCGGTCTTTGAGCTGCTGATCTCTCAACTGGATGAATCTTATGCCCAAATGGATCAAGATTTTGGAAAGACTGAGCTTCGGTATGCGATAAAGGGTGGCAGTGTGGACATTGTCAACTTGATACTCAAAAGCCCAACGACATTACCGGTACAAGACCTTGTTTCCTATCAAATTGAGTACGGAGAAACCCCTCTGATACTCGCGTCTATGCTTAGAAACGCCCCAGTTGTGAGAGCCTTGTTGGCGGCTGGCGCACCAACAGAACGGACCTCCACAAGATTCTTGGATGTCCCGGTACAAGTCCAAAAATGGGTCCATGGAGGAATGCTACCGGCGTATGATTCGCGTTCTAACCCTAGTCCTGATTACAAAGGTGCGGCCGCTATCCATTTTGCGATTCACGAAAATAATGCAGATGTTTTACAATTGCTCCCCAATATCGAGCAGTCATGCAAATGTGTGGTGCGCCTTGCAGGACGAGAAGATTATTCCCTAGAATACATCGAATTACGACCCTTACACTTGGCTGCAGCGTATGGACGAACCGAATGCGCAGAGGTTTTACTAGCCAAAGGGGCGAATATTGATGTTCCGTGTGACGACGTGGGAATGACTCCGCTGCATTTTGCAGCCATGCGTAGTGGTCGTGAGCTTGTTGAAGCATTACTTCGTTACGATGCAGACTCACTGGCGGACGATCGCTTCGGGCATAAGCCACTTGGATACGCTATTTCTTCCGGAAACGCGAGTATCCTGGCTCTGCTGCTGGGAAAACTGAAAGACGAACAACGGCTGTCTGCAATGTTAGAACAAGATTCAGGTCTGCTATGTTCAGCCGTAATGTGGAACCATATTGAAGCTGTTAAACTTTTGAGCCAGGAGCTTGCGAATCCGAAAATCACAGACAGCCGGACTGTGGCATGGGAGATACGACGTTCACTGTCTGATGCAATTTCCAGTCCTCATGTTAAAGACGACATAATCAGAGTACTGGTCGGGGTTCAGCCCGAAATTCTTACCCACAATCACAAAATCGATGACCACGGAGATGAAACGTTTCTGGACCGGGCCGTTCTCAGTCAAAATGAAGCTCGGGTTAAACTCCTTCTGGAGCTGGGCGCGGGGGATAGATACCCTACAGTTGGCACCTATTTGCAATCAATGGTCCCGATAGCGCTTTCGCTTGCCATAGACAACGTGTCTCCCGCCTGCTGCAGCGTACTGCTTACCTCGAAAATGTACAAGCCACTCTCTTATGTCCGGAAGAATGCATACGACTACGCTAAGACCCTGTATCAGGAGCGAAAGCTTGCCTCTAGATTTAAAGGCAAGGCAGATCAGAGGCGCATTCTGGAGCTATTGAAAGAAGGCGTGGAGCACGACTGGGACCATATCTAGAACTCTCCGTAAAAGTGATCTGCTAGACTAGTCTACAAGGATTGATGTGGCGTCTCCCTCTATCCATATCGCGAATTTCGGCAACAAGCATTTTCGCAGTCAACGCATGTGCGATATAAAGTTTCCGGAAGACAGTTATGCGGACATGCTAGCACGACATAGCACTCTAATCAAGGCACCAGATCCTAAAAGCACTCATTTGGGACAAGGAAGCCCAAGACTTATGCTAGATAGATCAATCAACACCAGCCAGCCACCTAAAGTCTTCATCTTCCAACCCTCCATCCCAATCGCGGCTTCCTTGATATGTTCAACTACACAACCTCCAGATGACCTTACCATGCTTTTGCAACAATATCAACTCCTCCCCACCCCTCCCGGCACTTACCACCACTTCTCTACCTCTCTTACCCCGTCGCGATCCTCTTCACGGCGTTCGCATTTTCTACGCCGGGTCATCGCTACCTCAGTCTACACTGTGTTTGCAAACTAGAGTCCCGTATCCTGCCTGCTATAGCTTTCTCTATTTTTCCTACCTATTCCCGAGCACTTCCCACCCGCTCACCATCGTTGTAAACCCTAAGTTGTAGTGGAAGGGAGGGGAGGGGGTGGGGATCGTTTGGTAACTAGGAAGGAAGAATTTTCTTAGTCTCGATCGGGTCAGGGTGTTGGGTAGTTGAGAGTCAAGGGTCTCAATGTGTGTTTACAGCTTGGGAAGACGAGGGTTCTTCGTATCATCGAGAATCTTTTGAGGTGGTTGTGTTGGGAGTTTGGATTTGGGTAAGAAAGGTGCTGGTGACTTTCTTTGTGCGCTGGTCGTTGTTGTAGTTAGGTTATAGGGTGCTGTAGATGACACTGCGAAAGAGGTAGAATGACGGGGTTTTAGTGGGAGAAGATGAGCTGGAATTTTTTTGGTTTTAAGATTATGTTGTGCAGGTGAAATTTCTGTTAGTCGTGCTATAGATGCTAGCATACAGTTGCTATCCTTGGCCCTTTACTCATGTGTCTGCTTCGCTGCTTCGCTTTGCTCGTATTCGTTCTTTCTGTATCTTCTTACCGCTTCATCGTGTTTAGAAAGCCGGTGACTTCTTCCATGCCACGCTGATCATTATCGTGTTCCGCCAGATCATCTTCATCCCAAATCCTCTGATCAGGGTCTTCCCTCCAAAACACAAGAATTCTCTCTTCTTCACTCTCTGCAGGAATGTAGCATACGTTCGGAAGTTCTTGTCCTTGTCGTTCTTCCTGCTCTTGTTCTTGTTCTTGTTCTTCTTCCTGCCCTTGCTCTTGCTCTTGTTCTTCTTCCTGCTCTTGCTCTTGCTCTTGTTCTTCTTCCTGCTCTTGCTCTTGTTCTTGTCCTTCTTCCTGCTCTTGCTCTTGCAAACCGTCTTCTCCTTCCTCGTCTTCGCAACAACACCCTTCAGAATGGTCTTCTCCTTCCTCTTCTTCGTATATTTCGGTGCAAACACGAACGATGCATGGCCCTTTGATTCTGCAAGAGAGGACACGAAGGTCATTCGCGGCCACTGCATGACGGCCCCTCATGGTGATCAGCGATACTCGTGACTTAGCGGTATTATCTGGCCATCGGAGAGTGGACTCCTCCAGAACATCGTGGAGGTGCAGGCGCCGGAGACTTGGTAGAGTCAGAATGAACATCAGATCGGCGTCACATTCGTAACCATGGATATGGATGCAATTTAAGTTCGTCAAGAAGATTTGTTGTTTGTGTTGCATTGTTGATCGCAGCATGATTTGAAAGAACGTACGCATCCAGAAACTAGTTGGTATCCCGAGCTCGAGGGATAGTGTGTGAATGCGGGTGGCTTTCATGAGGTATGCTGCCCACAGGGCCATGTTTTTGTTTTCCCAAGCGTTTCCGCCGAAAGAATGTACTCGATCGGAGAACTCGGCTTCAAGTTGATTTATGTCCATGGTTTGCGAGCATGAGGGTGCGAGAGGAGACTGCTCTTCATTTATCCTCACGGAGATGGAATGGAAGTCCCAAAGGCCTGGCAAAGTTTCTTTGATGCTCATATGCTCGGTGTAGTAGAAACCTTCGCTAAGATCTGTTTTCTCCTTTGGTGAGAATCCTGGGGTGTGGTACCGCCCGACTTCAAGACACTGATATTGTTTTTTCAAAGCTTTATGGCGGGTGTATTTCTTTTGGCATGTTCGGTAAAGTCTCCTCGATGCAAACGCAAAGTTCTCAAGATCGGGGAGCCAAAGCTCATCCGAGATGCGAACTAGAAGCTCGTTTGGAAGATCGAAAAGAGCCATTTCCTGCCTTTGGACTAAGTGAAAACTTCATTCAATTCTGTGGGTAGAAGAGAAGAAAGAATGATGGGAGGGGGGATAATTAATAGAAGACTCCACTGAAATTTCTCGAAAAGGCAACAATGCAAATGTTTAAGGTCGCACAAACAAAGAGGCTGCCATCACCGGTGTCGAGCTTGTACAACAAAGAGTCTGACAGCTCTCACGTCAGTGAGTTGTGTGACTTGCAAAATGCTGTTAGTTTCCTCATTCAGGTATCACAGTTTCAGAAAACCGACTTCAGGCTCTGTGTTTTTGTGATCGTTCGTCCAAACTGGTTTCGTGGGGGAATAATGTCTTAATTTGTTGATGCCAATTTCCTCCACAAAGCTAATCATTCAGAGAAGGCTTTCCTTCTGACTTTCCTTCACTTAGTCTAGACATGTGTTACACTCCATTGTTCTCAAGTCACAACAAGGGCGCGTCATTAGGTAGTCCAGCGTCCTCAGAAGCCCACTACAAATCAGCGTAGGCAACATTTGGCGGACTATTAGCGGTTTGAGTCGACGAACAAGGTGGTTTGATAGATAGTCCGTCTAGTTCAAGGGTTGGACGGACCCCTAGCAATGGACATTGCTTGGTTTTCAAACCTAGCAATATCTAAATAACAAAGAAGTTTTAGACAAAACCTTAAATGCTAGATATTTAGAAACTTATTAACTCTATAAATTTAGCAGCAAAATCTCTTTTATTAGAGCAATTCGTCCGAGGATATCGAGCTGCAAAATGCTTGGCAAGACTACTACAGTGTGCATTGATTTGGGTACTCGAGGGACCCCCTTAAAAAAGGGGATGTCAGTCAACTGCTGGGACCGTGAGTCTAACCGTTTAGACAGCTAGCAATCCAGTCCAAGCTTTGGACCGACTATTAGACTATCAGTTTTGCCACTATCAGTCCAGTCTAAGCTTTAGACTGAACGGTTTAAACGGTTGCTAACGCTGCTCCAAATCTCTCCTCTCCCTCCTTCATCGACTCCTATCAACACGGCCATATGGATGCAAAGGCCACTTAAGCTTCCCAAACCGCGTCCCAGGCAAATCCACCGTCTCCAACTTCCTCAAAAACCGACCCGGATAAGTCCGCGCCATCAGATCCATATTACAAAACGTGCACATGACGAACGTCAGCCCCTTGGCCGGGTTTTCCGAGACAGTCAGGGATCGCAAGTTCGGGAGATATGGAATGACAAGGCTCATGAGGAAGCCGATGGTGAGATATCGTCGGACGGTGGGCCCTGCGAACCACCCTCCGCTGGAAACGTCAAGTGTTTGCAGCAATGCTTCGATGCGCGGTTTTAATGCCGGATATTGTTCTATTCTTGTGAGGCTGGCGTCGCTGATATCTGAGTTTGACGGCGCGATGGTCAGATGTTCGATGTATCGATAGGCGTTGTCGCGTTCGATCTGGTCCCAAAGCGACCACCAGTCCGAATGAGAAGGGCGTGCTGGGAGACTCGTGACGCGGTATTTCTCTCGTAGCTTGGCGTAGATCGATAGCTGCCTTTGGCTGGCGGAGTTTAGTGAATGGCACGTCTGCGCAAAGTGGATCAGATCTAGAGGTTCTAGGTCACTCAGCATGTGCTGCAGCAGCTCTGTGGGGAGTGATTTGATGTTTGTTCTTGGTACGTTGGGGACTTTGCTCCGGCACGCCTGCTCTATTGATGACATGGCTGGTTGTGTACGTAAATTTGTGAATTGAAATGGGAAGATGTGACTTTGGACTGGGAAGATGTGATAGAAGTAGGCAGAGAATTGGTGGCTGGTCAGTGGCGACTCTTATTACCTTATTCCTGAGGATACTTTGCCAAGCTAACGCCATATTCCACATACAAGTAATGGGCACATAAATAGAGGAGCTGCAGATGTCGGCTTCAAAAGAAATAGGTCTTGACAAGGTGCCAATGTACTTTGGCTGGTGTGGTCTGGTCTCTAAGTCATTAATCACGTCCATCCCATCTACCCAAGATTGCTACCTAAACGTGCTGAGGTTAGTCTCCGTGAAAAACGAAGGGCGATTACCTGAAGCCTTCACCTGATATCTCGAGAAGTCATTTGAATATCATCCTGATCCTTGCTGTAGTCGTCTAGCTAGCATTGAATGTGTGTCATTGCAAGTGGGTGTTTGCGGTCGATGGGAGTAGTTCCGCAAGCTCATCGCCTACAATTGGCGTGCCATCTGCGTATCTTTCCAGCGTCACCTTGAACGTCAAGCCTATCTCTGACGCCCGCCTTGCAATTTCTGGATATGATCTCGTCTGTTCGATTGCCTTGCCATCTTTCGGATTGAGCCGCGCAGTCACGTCAAGGCGATTGAACTTTGGTAGCACGTCAGATTTGAGCAGCATGATGTCGAGGAGCAAGTCCCTGAATACCGAAGATTCTTGCTCCCATACATGTGAGTAATGGACGTGAAGCTGCTCGATGGATTGAGGGAGTTCTGTTCTGCGGCCGAGCTCAAAACATATTAAAGCAGGGTGATTGACCTCCAGACATTGGAGCCCATTCAAGCCGCGTAAGTCTTGTATAAAGGCACCTTCTCGCGAAGACTCGAGCCTTAGCTTCTTGAATGATTTGAAGGCGCCGTGTCCATATAGATGGGTCAAAATGTGGCAGAGCTTCTCTACATCAACGCTCTGTCGCCCGTGAAACGAGTTATTCGACCTAAGCTCGATAAAGTACATATGTTCGAGATTTGGCAACGTCGACAAAGATCTTTCCAAGACTATGGGGTCAATTTCGCAATCGTGTAGACTCAGCTGTGTAAGGCCGGAAAGACTGTTGGGTGACCAATGGTTTGAACTGGGCGCGAAATAACCTGATTTTAGGCCATAAACAAGGAATCTCTTCATGCTAGGAAGAAATGCGAATGGGAAGACATCGAATAATCCGATGCCCACGTCTCTGTCCTCGGACACGACATGCATCTGCTCTAGATGCTGAAAGGGTTGACAACCAGGAGTGGGCCTGGCAGGATGATGACTTGCGGCAAAGCCGCAAGGCTGCCACGCTGAAGCAAACTCGCCTCCAGGTAAATTCACCGTCAAACATTTAATGTCTGGTATCTTCTTCAGAAGTCGACTCAAAGAGCATTCATAGTCAATCGACTGGAAATACTCAAAGGGCCGTGGACAGCGTCGATGAGCCTCGTACCAAGTAAGAACATTTTCTTCTTCCTGAAGGTTCGGATTTCTTAGATCCTTGTCATTGACATTCACGGTGTAGTCCTGGTGGTCTCCATCTATCTCTAAGTGATGTATATAGGACGCTAAACGAGGCTCTCTGGTAATGTCAAGAAGAAGTTGCCCGTGGTCTTTTGCAATATTCGTCTCATCGCACTTCACATGATCATATCGCCGCTTGAGCTCTACGTGTCTCGCGAATTCCGATTTTGATAATGCGCGAAGCCGCTTTGAGGTGGCGCTGATGCTTTGGATGCATTCTGTGGTAAAGTATTGGGAGATATTTACATAGACCTCTAGGGCTATATCATTGAGAGTAGCCATAGCAAACGCTGTGCTTTAATGTGGTGAAAGCTGGTAAACCGTACGGCTCCGATGGTTCATACCCCTCATTTCGAATGAATGGCAGGACTCTCGGGAATATAAACAGATTTTCGGAGATAGCACACCCTACTTGGGGCATTTGCCCTATGAGAGAGCAATGGGTAAATACCGCTCTCCCAAGTCCTCCTGTCCCTGCATTCACTCCGCTTTCTCCCCCTCCAGCTCCCCACCCAGCCCCTCATCCTCCCCAACGACAACCCCAGGCCTCAATCCCTTCGGTCCACTAAAATTCCTCCGTCCATCCACAACCCACTGCACCACGCTAATGAAGATCACGATCGCGAACGCCACGATACAATAATTCATATTGCCCGCTGTGACTGGCCTTTCCGGTGGAAACAGAAACAGCACTGTCGTCAACGCTGTGTATGCTACACCAAGTACGTTTGCGCCCCAACCGAGCCAGCTGGGGAGGACGAAGGGGCGCGCGGGGAGTCGCGACCGTCCGCGCAGGAGATGGATGAAGATTGGGAGAGCGTAGGAGACGCTGAGGGCCTGTGGCGGGGTGGTGGGTTAATCAAGGTTTGGGGAAGGGGAAAGGGATGGGAGGGGAGGGGGGGCTTACAACAACGCTGGAAGAGACGATGGCGTTGAGGGCGGAGGACGAGGCGATGAAGAGAAGGCCGAATATTATGACGAGAACGAGCGTGAGGATTAGGGCGTTCAGGGGTAGGCCGAGTTTGGAGTGCACGCGGGCGAAGACGCGAGAGAAGGGGAGACCGCCGTCGCTAAGGGATGTCAGTGGGAAGTGACGAAGGCTTTGGCTGTGGCAGGGATTTGTTGTGGAAATTTTAGTTGAGGGACAGGCAAGTGGAACAGTAGATTTGAGATGTTTGAAAGACTTACCGGGCGAATGCGTATGTCATTCGACTAGAGGTCGTCATGATGGAGGTGGTTGCAAAAATGAGACAGAGCAATGGGAAGCTGGTGAATGGTTAGCCTAAATCAATTGTTGGCGCCCAAAGGCGTGGGAAATTGAGAGACACGTAGTCCATACATTAGCAGGCATATAGATCCTCCCTTGCTATTCGTTGCGTCGAAGAAGATGGTGAGAAGTGGGCCCGCTGCTCCTTTAATCGCATTCTGAGGATCCTTGAGGACGAAAAGGAGGCATGAGAGAAAAATGAAGCCGGTAAAGACTCCGATGCCGACGCAAGCGATCATAATCCGCGGGCCTTCGATTGTTGGGTTTGGAATCTCCTATCTGAAGTCAGATAAGCTTCCCTATGGGGTAGGTTCAGGGCGATATACTTCAATCATATGCGCAACAGCGTCGAAGCCAGTAAGACCAAAGCCACCCTGTAGAAGTCCCAGCAGCCACGCAAAGCCATCTGGCCATCCCGTATCGTTGATGAAGGCGCGATATACAAAGTCACCACTCTGATACGTCGGACTAGCGCACGCCAGTACCGTAATGGAGATAATGACGAAGCCAGCAATACTCCATGTGAAAGCCGCCTTCGTCACATACGGCAACGACGAATTCATAAACGCATTTATCAAGAACGCGACAATGTTGTATGCCACATAGATGAGGAATTGATGCCATCTCTCCGGACTGTAGCTATCGTCGTAGAAAGAGATCGCGCCTACAATCAGCTGGCTGCCGAGCAATCCCCCCGTCGCCACCAGCGCGACCCATCCCGCGCAATTGACCCAGCCCGTAATCCACGATAATATTGGAACCCAGGATTTCCAGCTGATGACGGCGACCCAGTGGTACTGACCTCCCGCCGTGGGGTAAGCGGACAAGAACTCGGCCAACGATGCAGCGAGGCATAAGTTGCAGATTCCGGCGGTGATAAGGCCCCAGATGACGGATGTCGGACCTCCACTGGGCAGCGAGAGCGACAGCGACGCAGAGAGCGCGGTCCAAGAATTCAAGATAGCGAAGGCAAGCCCGAGCATAGCAAGCGGGGAGAAATTCCGGTGTAATTCTTGCTCGTGACCTAGGGAGGCGAGGTGGGCCTTGTCATCCCCTGGCGGGGCGATGCTCTGCTTGCGAGGCATCGCGGTCAATTGTACGTCGTCCGCTGATGATGGGAGTGGTGTGTATTGGACTCGGGAGAGAGGCATGGACGACGAAGACTGGGCTCTTTCTTCACTGACGGCATTCACCGGGGAGCCATCAGCGGCGCTGCAGAGCTAGGGCATCTGCTGACTCCCGTCCTCGTCCTGTCCGTTGGTTCTAGCGTTGGTAGCTTCGGGGGACGATGATCTCGAGGGGTTGGGAAGCTTGATCTCATGTCCATGCTTGCTTCTTTGTCGTGATTTTGCGTGTATCAGCGAGGAAGATGAAGCGTGCTCGCTTTCGGTCCAGCCAAGTCACGTCTTGCGTAGTCTCTTGGCTCCTTGCGATCGACGTTGAGGCAGGAATGCTTGTCTTTGAGCTTGTTTTTAGGGGATGCTCTAGGGTGAGAATGGAGAATGCCGGAGATGTCGAGCCAATCGGGCCAATTTCAGGGCACGGGCTTAGCGCGGGCTGACCTCGCCGTCTTGTGGCGCTGTGGTCCGGCCTTCTCGCAATGCCTTGCACCGTCAGATGGTGAACTTTTACCGTGCAATGAGCATGGAGTGGAAGCTCGTCATACGTGAAAGCAGTGTTATGCTGACATCAAAAGCTGGAGAGGTGTCGTGGTCGTGCCTGCCAACAACGCAATGGGGCAGAACTCACGCTCTTCGAGTTGGAGCTTGTGGAGAGCCTCAGCATCACCGTACAAAAGCCATTCAGGTTTGATGTGCAGAAAGCCGTTGAATACACCATTGCACACTTTCTCGCACGTATGATAGGATATAGAGTCGTCCGCAGCCCTTGGCCTTTTCTTTGCCCAACAACTTGAGACATGCTTGAGCTGCTGACAATGCACTAACCTTGCCCAGCTGTCTAGGACTCCTCAAGGCCTCGAAACAAAATGCAAGAGACCATTGATGTCCACGTTCTATATACGAGTATTCGAGCCCCTGTGCCCCTCTCCAAGATGCTATTGCCTCACATATATCAGCCTTAGCACGCCGCTCACGGTCGACTTCACCCCTACAAAGAAGATATCAGAATACACGGAATAAGATGCTGACGCACTCAATGCCTGTGGCAAGATCATGATCTGTCTGAAATCCTGGCCCGAAGAGAAATACGCGCGCGCCTTAAAATAAGCAACGAGCACAGCTTCGTCCGTCAAGCTCAATGGGAAGAATACTCCGACAACAAGTGATGATATGAGTCTGAAGAGAATACCAGGATACGCTCCTGCTCAAACCTCAGACATTGGAAGGGAGGCATGCAAGACAGCGTTGCCGTCATGAAAAGGCAAAGAGGAGTCTATACAAATAGAGGCTTGAATGCATTTTATTGAGGTTCTCTACCACTAGGTTGCAACTTGGGATATCGGCTTCGGAACGTCAATGTGTACATGAACATTGATGCAATGAAATGCCAAGCCGCGACATTCTTCTCTGATATTCACGCTCTACCGACCCTTTCCGGAGGCTGCTTGATACATCTTCCTCAAAACGAAGGAAGACACTTTCTCTGTTCGACGAAGAACGTCAGGTCTGCCAAATTAGGACACCGCACCCAAATGATTACGGTGAAAATTGGAGAGACACGAATCGCGTTACAATATTCATGGATTCCATGCCCAACAATCCCCCTCCCAAGCCTCGTTCTTCAAGATCGTCTCACTCTGGCTATATTTCACGGCTTTTAGAGAACTCGACTGTACTGGCCCTTTCCAAATCTGCACACCTTATTCTTGTCATCACACCTTGATACGCACAATCCGCCGTTCGTGCTGTCGCGCAAGCATCATCTGGACACTCAAAAGATTTGCACACCATCAATCGATCTCTTTCCCTGCGTCTGTGGTTTAGGAAACAAATTCAGCCCTCATATTCTTCTCTCTGCTACATTCTCTCACAAGCCTCGGCTTCTGAATCTCGATGTTGTGGTTAAAGGCGGTCACGATTTTCAAGCGAAGGGTCCAACTCCAAGGCTCGAGAAATCAAAATGTCATGTTGTGAACAACTGGAAAGTCGAGGACTGAGACTGTCTCTGATATTTGAAGACACCGATTCAAATATCTCGTTCGTGGCATTCCGGAAATGCCATACAGCCCTAGGTCCGCCGTTGCTCTAGAACCCGCGACACTAAGGTGGTTTCAACACAGGATCTCACAGCGACCAGTAGATGAGGGTGACACGTGCGACTCTTCAAACTTTGAGCAGCTTCCAAAAAGGGTTTTTGTTGTCCCTGAAAGTCCTCCCAACGGCGATGTCGACCTCGGCCCAAATTTGGGCTTTGACTCTCTGTGTCATCTACCTGCTAGAGCGAGTCTCGAGCCCCCGTCTCTATGACAGCGACCTCCAGTGTCGCCAAGCTAAGCTTGAGTTGCCTACTGAGCCCAAGAGTTGTATTCGAAGAGCCCACCTTCAGATTGCTTGCTTCAGTCGTTTGTGTTTGCCCGATGAAATAATGATGTGGACCAGGAATTTTATAATGACCTAGAGCTTGTGACTCTACAGTATCCGTGTGGCGTCTCTTCAGGCGCTTTAGAAATTACTATATATATATTTAGTGATCAGTCCTCAAATCAGGCTGAAGGTAAGGATTTTAAAAGAAGAAACATAGGGAGCAGGACACACATTACATACCATTTCACCAGGCTCTTCAGGGGCGGCATAGGGCCAGGTGACGTTGATCTTCCTACTGAGACTTGCAAACCAGCCGAGACAATGATATATTGTCTCTCCATGCAGTGAAGCCGTTTGGAGCTTCATCTGGCCACTTCATCCTTTATAACACTTGAGACTGTCTCACATTCTCATGTGATCTAGCAATGTTCCCCAAGGCCTCGTTTCTCCTATTGGGTTTCAAGCTGAAGAATCGATGTGAGTCGTTGTTCACTAGCTTCTTGAACCGAGTCTGATGTACTTAGACGGCTTACGCAAATAGTGAATACACAATTGACTAGCGGTATCCTCAGCGTGAGAGTACCGTTCACAAGGCAATGCTTGAGGCGATATATCATCGAGAAAACAATTGTGAGCTAATTGTATTCGTGAGGCTCACGGGTTTGAGCATATGAGCACGATTGAAGATGATGATCAATAAAGTCTGAGACTTTCAGCCGAAGGATGCTAGGGAAGAACGGTGAATGAAGGCAACGGAAAGCAAGGTGGACGGATAATATTCGGCGCGAAAGGATGACGACGGTCAAACTCCATGAGACGATGCAACGGTAAGCATTCATCTGAACATCTGAATGAAGGCCTTCTTAAGGCATTTGATGAGACCATCGCTATTTGCGGACCTGATTTCCTCCATCACCGACCTTGACAGAGCAGGCAAATGTGTGGAATCAGTGCCTTAAGGCAGAAAGTAGTTCACGAATGCCTACCTTCCATCGCCAGCGTTGCTCCGGCATATAGTGGGACGTGGTCATCATCTACGAATCTTGAAACAGGCACACGTCAAAAGAATTCGAATTCGCACCACACCAATACCTTGCTTGCTGGAGTACGTGTTACTTCGACTATGTGTATCTAGCGGGAAAGCAACAAAACACCTCAAGCTGCTGAAAATACAGTGCGGCCGCTATCTGATGATATCGAAGGTAAGATGAACGCCTTCTGTGAGATGCTAGAATCCTTGCAGGCTGAGAGATCTGGCCTCAAGTGACCCTTAATTGCCTGACATGGCGCTACTTATTTAACACTGATGTGCCATCACGACACTGAATCCTTTCTTGTCACACCAGGACTTCACACTTGTTCGTCAGTTGTGTGAGAGCTTTACAACACTTCCCCGTCATGACTCACCCGTGCACCATAGCATCACAAGCAGCTGAAACGCAATGCTACACCGCGCTCACCATCTTATTCTCCATCATACTGTACTTCTTCATCAAGCTAATTTTCCGTATTGTCTATCGCAACTGATACCTTTCTCTGCTACACGACTCACACGAAGGGCGCGACCACTCATCTCACCACCCATCTCCATCGACCGTCATGTCTCCGTATCCAGAGTCAAAATTCTCTGCCAACACGTCTGAAGCATCCGAGCTCGAGCGTCGCGAGCATCCACAGCACGAGTCTCGGGACAGCTCTCACTCACTCGACAGTAGGTCCAATCATTCATCAACAAGTTCTGAACGTCTAGAGCGCGATGTTAGCGCAAGTCCTGAAAACTTCGGTCACATAGTCCCTTCTCAGCCATCGTTAGGCTTCCTCCCACCCGAAGCTAGTGGTAGGGTGCGGAACCTACTCCTTTACCCCGAAGTTCGAGGGAAACCGCCAGACTTCCACTCGTCTTTAGTTGACAAAGGCATCGGGAACGCGACCCATCTTAGGGACGAAGAACAGCCAAATCAACGCACTGAGAACTGGCTCCAGCAATCGAACGTTCAAGCAGCGCCTCTGGAGAATCTCGAAACACTTCCAACCAACAATGCTCTACTTTTGCCATCGAATACGGGGCGGTCTTCCCCAAATCCAAACGGTTTACTTCGCGAGGAAAACTCACCAGAAGCCGTGTATCGAGATGAAGCGCTCCCAGAGAGACTCAACGCCACCCACGTACCATCCCAATCAGCTGGAAACACCCTCAAAGACAGCACGAATACACATGCTATTCTCACTCTGGGTCAATCTGGCCTATCAGCTACGGGAACAGTGCAGTCTCCATCTGAGATGAGCCCTAACGAAACTCTACCGTCCAATTCCACGGCGACTTGGAAGACTACAGGCTCGGAGAATAGTCATACTCATGGTAAAGCAATACCAGGAGGGGTGGAACGAGATAGGGAGCAGTCTTCAGCAGACACAGAAGATACAGAAGGATTGAATAGTCCGGCACTGGAAAAGAGGAGCATAAAGCGGTTGGCGCAAAGTGTTGCGAAGAGATGGAGTTTCCCGAAGCACAAAAAGTGAATCCTGCTACGAACGAGGTTTTCGCGGCGAGTATCAACGGGTATTGAAGATTTTTTAATGCTCCTTGAAGGGGAAATAGCATCTGCAGCAGTGGGGGAGCAGGTCGTGAAAGTGGCAGCCGTGCTGCGTGGGAGAGCTGTAAAAGACAGACCCAATAGATCTTATTGACAGCAGGTAACGGCAAGCATATTATTATGATCTTCCGGTGAGCCTGGAGCGTGCAAACATCTCATGATTCACAACTAGGCGCTCGCTAACCTGAAAGAGTGATTTCTGGTGACGTCCCCATATACGCGCAGCAAGACGCAGAATGGCGCTAGTGTGACTTCAAAACCCAGACCCAACAAGCTCTCATTCCTACATACCATCGCCATTGGGTGCAATTTCTCTTTTCGCCCTCTTTGGATGATGGCATTTCACCATCCAACTCGGTCAAGAAGGCACATTTGCCTCCATAGCCACGTTTTTCGCATGCTTGTTCCACTCACCTTGAGCTAGATGCGCGTCTCTACGTGGAACAGTCCCACGTATATAACAATCACCGAGACGCACCTTCCCCGTACTTGGGGGTGGTACTCAGTATGTTCTGGGTCGTCATTCTTGCCATCACTCTGACCATTGCTGGTAGTGATTGCCACGTACCTCGCAGTCCTCCACCACAATTTCATCGGGTGGTAAAGAGAGCTATTACGAATGGCACCAATGACACCGGGAACGTCACCGACGCCATGTTTCCTGCAAAAACATTCCTGGGCAATGGCATAAACATCTTCGACGTTCAACCTTTCGACATTGTAAATGTGCGTCCGGCAATATACTCCTGCATGTTGAGACCTGTAGGCTAAGTCGGCATAGATCGAGAGCGCAGTGAAAGACGCTTACCGCCTAATCTTCTTCGATGAGAGTAGCCATTACAACCAGAATGTCCCCGGCGCCGACCCTTGGACCGTACCAGTCAACGTAAACTGCGACACCTCCTCCTCCTCCTCGTCAAGTAAGTCCCGCCTCCCACCCCCAGCCCACCCACTTCTTCCCAAACTCGCCCCTTCCGTATCGCTCAGCCTCACTAAACCCCACTCCGCAGGCACATTCGAGCACTGGGACACAGGCTACGAAGCAGCGCAGAAACTGGCCGCGGGCGGCAGTCTGGGGATCCGGTACGAAGCCATCAGCGGCGACGTCTCCGTCGACAGCGGCATCTCGCAGATTTTCCAAGAATACTTCGCGTACGCGCTGTTCGACTACAGTTCGCGGGTGCTGGACTGCACGTGGGACCAATGGGCGCACTCGATCAACGTCGCCACGCTCAAGCGCATCCTGGCGATCGTGCCAGCGTGGCGCGAAGGCGACGCCGCCATCCTGGAACGCTATCGCGACCTGTTCGGGCTCGTGGGTACGCATGTCGTCACGCACGTGAATTACGGCAGTCGCCTCTCCATCTCCTCGTGGGCGGACAACAGTGATGAGGCTGTGCTGCAGAATTTCTCCGCCAATGTGGACGCCAGTTTCGGGTTCATTATCAGTGGCGATGTGCAGGCTCATGCCAAGGACACGGAGTCCTACCACACGTTCTCCAAATCGTTCCAGAAGAGCGTCGGCTGTCATGGCGGCGACCAGGTTCTGGCGGGCAAAATCATGGGGGACCCCACGGGCCCGGACGTCGGCGACAATTATAAAGCCTGGCTGGATACGACGCGCGAGCGGCCTGACCTTACGGGTATAGGGGTCGACTCCCTCGACCTGGTGTTGCTGGCCAGTTTGGATCCCGAGTTGATGAGCAGGGCGGCCGATGTCAAGAATGCGTTTCAGTATTTGACCAAGCATCCGAAGACGCATCGCACGAATTGTACGATGATTGTCAATTCGGATTGGGGCGCCATTTCGCTGCTGAGTCCGAGCGCGACGGTGGAGGAGGTGCAGGGCGGTCAGGTGCCGCCGGATGTTACGGCCTTTGGGGAGACGAAGTTGAGTTGGTATAGTACGGCGGGGACTGGGCGGACGGTGGAGAATCAGAGGATTGAGTATGTTTTTTTTCCCTTTCTCCCCACACATTCTTCTTCCTCCTAGCCCCGTGGTCCTTTCCGTTCTTCCTTCCCTGGAGTTGGAAGGGAATGGGAACGTAACGCTGAGACGATGTGCGTGGTGGTTTAGTTTCGTGATCAAGAATTTCGGCGACCCCATCGATATCGCGCTTTCGCATGGCAGGGACAATTATCCGATAAAGGGAAGTGGTTCGGTCTCTGTGATAATTAATGGGGTATGTCTTCCTCCCCTCCCCTTCCCCTTACCCCCCTACCCCCCTACCCCCTTACCCCTTTACCCCCTTACCCCTTAAAGCTAACCCAACAGATCAACTACGACGACACCGAATCCACCTCCGCCTCCAAACGCATCAACGGCGTAAAAGTGAACCCGGAAGGCGTGGATGAAATCCCCGGCCAACGGCCCCAGCTCTCTTCCTCCTCCTCCAACTCCTCCTCTCCCTTCAACGGCGTGCTGGAGGTGGCGGGGAACGTGACGTTATCGGCGGCCGGGGCAGGGACGGGGGCGGGGACGGGGTCGGTGGCGACGTTCTAGCATACCCCAACCAGCCCCAGCGCGGGATAGATGTATATATGTATGTATGTATATAATAGATCAGAGAGGAATGGCAGACATGAATATTTTGCCTTTTTCTCTCTCAAGGTTTCTGGCGGCAAGGGGCGGGGCGTTTGTGTGGAACGCCTGCATTTGATTTGAGTGATTGATTGATTGGAGCTTTCCCCCGCCCAACCTTCAACGCCCCGCCCGGCCCGTCTGTTACAATGCCAACGCCCCTTCGCAGACGATATCTCTAGTACTCTTTTCATGAATGCTGTTGTAGGATGGGAGATGGAAGATGGGGAGACGGAACGAAGGAAGGGAGGTTGGATAAAGGAAAAGAGACATCGATCCCGCCTGCATGGGCTGCATTGCTGGAGATGTAGCATGCATGGTGAGACGAGGGCAGATCGGGGCGGGGCGTGGCGTGGTAATCGGGAAGGGGCTGCGCTACGAGAGCGGGGGAGGAGGGGGGGAGGAGGGGGAGGCTCGATTGAGAGCATTGGGAAGGGATGGGGTATTGGGATGTTGGGGATGTTGGGGGGTAAGGATTGGGGAAGGAGATTTGGGTGATGCCCGGCAAATAGCGAGATAGATGCGTTTATCGTTTCATGCCTAGATGAAATGCTCATTCCAATCATTCAATCACCAAGCCATACTGTCGGCCGAACAGAAAAAGGCGTCACATACATCATTGGAAGCTGGAACTCACATACATACACATGCCTCACCTTCAAACGAAAAACATTCTGAACCTCACCCTTCCCCCTACCCCATCCACTCCCCCCATCCACCTACACAACGCAGCCCTCACTCACTCATACTCATAAGCCCCCCACCCCCCATCCCGTCCACTCTCATCCACCACCTCCGCCATGATCTCCACACTTACACACCCCTCCTTCCCCTCCCCCGCCCCCTCCATCGCGCTCTCGATCTGGAACACCACAGCCCCCGCCGCGTATCCCGCCCCAGCTTTCTGTTTGCACGCTATCCACGCCATCGGCTGCCCCACTGCCTGCCCCTGCTGTCCCTGCTGTGACGTCGCTGTCTTGGGTGTGAAGGTGAATGTGCCGTTCGTGCCGACGGGGTAGGTTTGCCCAGCGGTATTGGTGGTGGAGGTGGTGGTGGAGGATGTGGCCGTGGCGGCCGAAGTGGTCGCGGTGGTTGCGGCTGTTTCACCGCCCACGGTGGAGTCCGTTGTGGGTGTGAAGGCGAAGGTGAGCAGGGCGCCGTTGAGTTTGGCTGTGTCGGTGCCCCAGTCGGGTTTGGCGAAGGTCAGGAGGTTGGTGGTCGGGATGTAGATTGGTTGCGTTGCGGGGAGGCGGGCGGCCTGTTGAGACTGTTAGTCGGTGTGTCTTTTGGGCTTTTGCTGGAGGGAGTGGGAAGGGCTGGCAGGAGGAGGTGATGCAGAATGTAGATGTGGGGATGGAGGGATTGAGTGTGGTGGGGGAGAGGGTGGGCGTACCATCATCGCCGTGCCCTTGGATGAATCTATCTTGATAGCTGTGATAGGTTCCGCTGGGCATGCGTCCGCTGTGTTGGCGAGCTTCGTTGGACATACAGCGTTCGTCTTGCCGCCAATCCAGAAATGATTATCTCGAGCGACGATGAGTTGGTCATCGATCAATGGAGTGTCCGGAGCTTTGGCTGAGAGTATGAGGGATTGCGGGACGGCAGCGGTGGTCTCCTGGCGGCTTTCGAGATGACTATTCCGTTGGTCTGAGCGGATGTAATTCTTGTTGACAGCGTTGCTAGAGTCTGCTGCTGCAGTGAGTGAGGTTAGGAATAAGCTGGTGGAAAGAAGGGAGCTGAGATGCATTTTGCGGGTGGCAATCTTGCCGCAGACAAGAGATTCTGTGGAGAGATGAGATGGATAAGAGAGGAGTCCTGAGTGTTCTTGCAGTGGGGAGGACGAGGGAGGATATCATATCAACGGCGAACGACTGGCGCGTCTTGATTCCACATATTGGTCACAGGAGGTGTTGGACGACTTCAGCGTGAACGCGTCTTCTTGCAGCATGACTCGCAGGATATAGAACATCTTGTCCGAGGCAGCGCAAAGGAGAGAGTGACATGTCTCCTGGTCCTTCGCATGCTCCAAGTATAACTGTAGCAGCAGCACCCATCTTGTGCAATGTTTTCAACACCGACAGTCCAATTGTAACAAGCCCAAGCTCTTTGTTCATGCTGTTTCTTTGCCTGCAATGTCTCCAACGTCGACTCTGGGGATTACGTGCGTGATGTAGCACCATGGCCATAGTGCGGTCTCATGTGAACGTTCTACGGGGTCGAGGAGGCACAGCAACAGGACCTCATTGGAGGCTGAGATTCAAGCAGAACAGCGTGGTCGGCATGACGTCTGTCATCCAATACAAAGCGTAGGTAGTGTGGAGAGCCAAATGATGCGCTTTGATTCGATGTATTAGAGAGTGGGCACAGCATACATGATGTATGTCTAGATATTGCAGACGCTGTTGGCGAGGAAGCTTCAGCGTTCCCCGGATTCTACGCTAGGACAAAAACGGGATTATCTACATCCACCGTTGAAACCCGGGCTCAGATATGGGCCGGTTTCTAATCAGTTAATAAACGGTTACAAAGCGCTTCATTTTCCATCAGCAGAAGTGAAAGCTTGCTAGACAAGCCAACTTGGACCGACCTGTGGAGATTCAGTGAAGCCAAACGCTATCATTATAAGTTAAATTTACAGAAAGTAGTAGGTGTAGTCTATAGTCGTCAACATAATGCCTGTGTTCTGTAAATCCTTCTACTTGTAGCAGTCCTGTTCCTTCATGATGATCGCTCGCTCGCTCGCTAGCTGCCAAAATTGTCGTTTCAGATTCAAGTTTTCCCACAACAGGGAAGATGTTGCGGGTAGTCGATGGCATCATCATCGTAGACTCTCCGGTCTCTCCGGCCTCAGACTTCCCGGCCGACTGCTACTCGTCCTCAATCTCTCATACGCCTCCCCAACAGGCGAACCCTTGACCTGCATCTCCCACCAACTAGGCTGACTCTTCAACCTTGCCCCCTAGCTCTTGGTCCTCTTCTCCACATTCCCTCATCAGGCTCGTCATGGCTGTGTATGTAATAATGCCCCCTCCTCTCATCCTTATCAACATGCCAGTTCGTGACCAACTCCCCTCTTTCGGGTCCTCCACCACAAGTGCCTTCGAGCGCACGAGAGGGAGGGCTGTTAACAGCCAACGCGAATAGGTTCTGCGGTTCCATGAAATCAGTCATGAGGCCGTCGGCGATGATGCCGTGTACGACGAGGAAGTAGAGAAGGCAGAAGACGTTGAGGAGGAAGGTGCCCACGAGCACGATGTAGAACATGCCCTGCCAGGTCTGCGTCCCGCCGGAGAAGTACTCCTGGGAGCGGACTGTGGCGTTGAACGGTTGTAAGCCGAGGGATGCTGGATCAGTGAGATTACCGATATTCCAATGTGGGACAACAGGGGAGTCGATGCCGGAGAGAATGAGGGTGCAGCCGGCTAGGACGGCGAGAGCTTCGGCGATCGAGGCGCGTGTTTCATTCAGAGAGCGCCCTGTGGGCTGGAATTGGGTTAGGAGGCGAGCGTTGGCAGCTTTATCACCGGTAGCACCTGCGCCGAGAGAGGTAGTTATGGCCCAGCGATTCGCGACGTCTGTCCAATTTTGATTATTGAAGGAGCCTGCAAGGGAGACGTTGCCGTTTTTGTGGTAAGCGCTCGGGTCGTGCGGATCTTCGCAACGGGTGGTCATGTTACCGCCACCTTTGGAGGCATGATATTCGGTAGAGCAGTTTATGGACATGGAGGAGCGTATTGAGCAGAGCATATATGGTTGGCGAATAGGGAGCCCAGGAGGCTGAGCGGTCGTGTTGGCTGTTGCAAGGACGTATACTGAGTCAATGGTCGAGTCTATCTGTTGATTGCTGCCATTGAAAACTGTTTGGTAGGGGTCTGGAATCTTTGGAAAGACTGGCCGCTTGCGATTGTGGTCCTCGCCCCACTGAAATATATCGTCGACTTTGGTAGTGTTGAAGTCGGACCATTTTGATTCGCCGTTGAGTTTGGGGATGGAACTGTTCTCACCTCCCGCATACTCGGTAAAATTGAAAACGGTGCCTTTATACTGAGGATACTCGTTGAAGACAATTGGGGCGAGTTCGTCTTCGGTCATTTCGGCACATAAGACATTGATCGTTGGGGAAGGGACTGAGGCTTGGATGTGATATTCACCGAGGCCCTGCAGAACACAAATTAGATAGTGTCACATAATGGGCTGGGTAATACTCACGTTGAAGTCTATGGGCTGCATGATACTATTCCGTTCTAAACGCGCAGCCCCGAACACAGCTGTCAGCGGCATAGCTAACGTCACGTTGTTGATAATGCGTTGATACTGGGCGGATTGAGCTGGCACATCCGATTCCTCGACCCAACTGCCAGTGACTGTTGTGTTGTCATACAGCAAGCCAACTGGCATAGGTCGCTCTTTCATTTTGGTTGATCTCCCACCGGCTTTAACCCAGGCATCCCAGCTCTCGAGATACTGTACATAATTGTGGTAGGCCTGACCCGAATGTTCAATTTCCGTGCACGTCTGCCCAAGGATCCAGGGATCATCTTCCGAAGCACCGATGGGCATTTTGCAGCGCTCGACTTGGTTTGATTGATTGGCAAATACTGTAGTCACGTTGCTTAAGAGAGGCCGTCTCTCTAGACGTCCATACCGCAGGTGTGGTGTCACCAGAGCGTCCGAGGCAGTTGTGTAAAGCATTGACAAGATGGTCGACGACAATGTGATGGCACCAAGGAATGTAAGGCCTCCATATCGTACAGTCTCCCAGTGGGTGAAAATGGTTCCTGGCTGCTGGATCCATACCCTCATATGCATGTCAGCCAGTGTAATGCCTCTTGAGCCTTTTGTGGATGCAATTTTGCCAAGGATTTGGCCTAAAGCAGTGACGAAGACCGTGACGAATGATAACTCAATGGTCTTAGCAAAGAAGTTGGCGAGGAGAGAAGCTGTAGTAGGAGGTAGAGGGCCTTTGTTCATGACAGTCTTGTGATAGGACAGCTTAGAAGCTGCGAGCCCCAGCCAAATGGCGGAGAAGATGGTGGAGTAGATTGAGAGCAACAGGATTGATACGGATATCCAGCTCATACGTCCTTGGTATAGTGATTTCTTCGACCTGCACAGAGGCTGGGTCGGGGAGAGCAAGGCTCCTGGTGATTGTAGGGTGCCCATGGTAGATGCCCTTTCTCTTCGCAAAGGATCGTTCTCCGAATCTGCAGCGTACGGGCTATTGAATTGAGAGACGGGGGAGTAACGTCCGTTGTGTTGATCGTCGATTGGGGGCGAATCTCCCCAAGCTTTGGAGCCAAACCTGACTCCGCGCGCAGATGATGGGGAAAGAAGATCTGAGGCATTTGAGTCGTCCTTGTGAACGGAGGCGCCAAATGCTAGCTTGTCTTCGTCGTGATCGGGGAATTGTATGCGCAAGCCATGAACGGAGTCTCTGTCCGGACCCTCTTCGTCTTGGGCCGCTGCTCCTCTGTAGGATGTGTCCATCTCTTGCGCCGAGCTCACACGCTGGTAGCCGGGTCGTTGAAGAACATGTGAGAGAGGGGAGGTGACGAAGGTCGAGGAGGAGCTGAAGGTATGGTCGGTGAGGTGTGAGGATTGAGGGTCGGGCGGTGGGGAGGGGTGATAGTTATGGCCGTCGGCCATATTGAAGGGGGACTGGGTTATTAGAATTACTGGTGCGAGTCTTCGCACTGAAGGTTGTTGAAGTCTGAGACAGTCATTATCAACACATAAACAACAACGTAACCAGTCAGCAAGGTGGCTTGCAGTCAACCGCAGGGAATTGGCGTGTCGCAGAAGGTATTAGGGGTGTTGGAAGAGAGCGGGATGTCGTGGAGGACTGATGAATGGAGTGGTGAATGGCGTCAACAAGGCTGAGCTGCCCAGTAGTAAGGTAGTGGTGGACTGCGCTGGCGGACCAAATTTCATCCTCCGCCATCGAATTGGTCGATTTCGGCAGGTTGCAGCATTTCATTCCGGGAGGATGTTCTAGGCTCGGTGCACTGCCTTTTCAGCACTTTTCAGCCCCCATCATCCTCCTCCAGTACGAAAGCAGTACGAGGCTGCCTGGGACGGCTTATCACCCGGAGTGTGTCACCTGTATGACCAGTGGCTGCAACCTCTGCCCTCACACGGACATAAGCCGCAACGAGAAGCTCAGATCACTGTGAAGTACAGGTCTAGATGCCTAAGGACACCCTCCATGGTGTCTCGGTGTATGGAAGGTGCAGAATTCACGCTCGAAGGATCAATTGGCATTCCCTAGTGCTGACGCCAAGCCGGCTTTGCCTCTTCGGCTCTAGTGCCAACTACCTCTACCTGGAAATACTCAGCCCTAAGAAATCTATCCTTAGCACCAACATCATTGCATGATTTGCTTTTGCCTCCTTCATCGTATATCTATCTTCTCCATGAAGTCGTGTATTTCAGGACAGATCTTCCGCATCCTTTCAGCAAGCCGTATTTCACGGGGGCTACTCTCTATTGATGCTGCGTGTTTCTGAATCAATCGACTTGAAAGTGACCTGTACCATTCACTCTAAGCGTGGTATATGGTTGAGGCCGTGCGGTGAGCATTGAATGCTGAGTTGTCTTGTTCGCTTCTTTGTATCAAATTTCCTCTAGGTTGATAAGATGGAGGTTACGCATGATCTTCGCACGACAATATTGATAAACAGTATCAATACACGATACGCGATTTTGTAGCCCTAGTCAGGCGGACTGAGCGGCCAGGTATAATCTTGAATGTAAACAATGCTTGGAGACCTTGGGTCTTTATGGAGGTTCGAGTATGAGTATATGTGACGTGATTCCAGATACCAGCACTGCACCCGTTGGAAGATGTCATCACCTAGGTATCTAAGTTTAATGCTTTGGGGAAGATTATGCTCGCTTTTTCTGTTGCAGTTGAGGTAACATCGGATACTGTCCCCTTTTGATATCTTACGACGCGGGATTGGAAGAGCGATTTGCAATCCTCTATTAGTCATTGTATACAGCCTTCTGATTGAATGCGAGAGTTGGAAATCACTGAGAATGTCTCCAGATCCTCCGAAACAGCGTGGATGGGGTGCAAGCAGGCCGGATCTTTCTTCATCCGAAATCCAAGCAAAGATTGATTCGTCCGACGATCGTTCATGATCTCGATCTGCAACCTTCGAAATGCCATCCCTGCACCTTCGCCGTAGAGTAGGGACACATTGACCCCGAAAAGCCCTAGGAGGCAATAAGCAATGTCCTCTTCCTTGCTCGTCACACGATACGAGGCCCAGCTCATTCTCTCTGCTACACTGGCAAATTGAATTTCCCTTTTCGGCTTTGGATACAAAGCTCTTTCATAGTTCGAAAATAGATAGTGGCATGCAATACGCGTTATTTCCGATACATCTGTCGCATAATCTGAGAGACTTCCCATCTCATTCCAGTCAGCATCGAAAAACAGTATCTCTTGAGGCGCAAGAAGCTCCTGTAACGTCCATCCTCTTGAGAACCAATCACTTTGACGAAACTGAGCTAGTGATTCTGGAAGATTATCTTTCGAATGATGTACATCGGCAAGATAAACATAGCAAACTTCACTAGCTCTATACCACTTCCACATGGAGTTCATCGATTCAGTCAGCTCTGCACTACTTCTTTTGTCGATGCAACAAGTATCGACCCACGCCCAATCGAAGCCTTTGTCCGCAGCCAAACGACAGAAGTGGCGAATTTTGGATAAGCCCAGCCCTTCCAGCGCTGTGCCTTTCTGCATCTCTTCGTACGAGACCTCTTGCTCGCTCCACCGATGAGAAAGAATAGCATATTTGAGGCCATGATGGCTATTGATTTCCTTGAATTCAGATGTTCGAGTGTTCAAAAGACGCATATTTGCTCTGTGGAATGCGCATCCATCAGGAAAATCAAGAGTCTCTGCTGTTTGTGAGCGATCAGAAACTGTAGTTGGTAAGGCGCGCTTCGCCTTTTTTGGAAAAGTTGTGCCAAGCCTTGCGTCAGCTGTAAATGCTACAAAAATATCAGCCCATTTTTCAATACTCGGTAGTACTGTACTGATGTGGGTCAGGGTCGAAGGATTCCAGGCAGGCTGCGATCCTCTCCACTCCACCGGATGACGAAGCATGCTTTACGAATCCGTGTTCTCAAAATCCTACGAATTGTATGAGCCAGTAGCAATATTCCACGCTTTCAAGCTTCTCAACTCATACAACAAGCTTCCTAATCATGACCTCCTTGATGAAATGTGCACAACACCACCAAGCAATCAGGCAACCCACATATCTGCTGAGCCCTGCTGCAATCCTCCATTTGCCACGCATTCAAACATGTTCCTAGCTTATCATTGGCCTCATGTTTCTGGCTGCCTGATCTCTGCCCTTCCTCCACTCATCTGAGAGCCCTAGATATAAATAGAAGAAAACGCAATACGTTCCACTCCCTCGGTCGCCGAGATATTGAGTGCTGACCGACCTGAAACGTGCATGAAGGGTGGTGCTGCATGGCGTGAGAGCACGTGAGGCTTTACATGTACTCAGTACGTAGCCCGTAGAGCCTTATAATAAATCAGGCGTCTTCAATGCCTTGATGATTGCCCTCTGCAATGTAACTCCAACCGAAGGACTTTGAGGCACAGCACGGGCTTTGGGATGGTTTCAGCTTCGCGCTAGTGTTTGCCAAGGCTTGGCATGTCCTCAGAAACTTTTCACTTGGATTCGTTGTTTTGCACCTCCAGCGTCCCCGTCTTTGATGGATGTTTGGGTTACATCTCCGGTTCTATGTGGATGAGCTTTGATGCTCGTCAGAGCTCACTCCGTCTTGTTCGGAGTCCCAGGCTCACGCCAGAACACAGTGACCATGTCACCGCTTTGCTACAGTCTTCTGTAACTCCGAATGGCATTGACATGAGCGGGTTCGGCTCTCACAGGCCTGCTGCCAGTCTGTGGGGTGGTCCACCACAGTGTTTGCTTCCTCATTGATGTGCTCTTCCTGTCCTGGATTTCTACACCTCTCATGCATATCAATGCGAGCCTCTACTTCTCAGTACTGCATTGCTCTGGGTTTTGACCTTCCATGGTCCCGATTGACAACATGCGTCGACACTTTAGCCTTGAGGAGGTCGCTGCTGACAAGGCTTATGATGAGAACTTTTAGGGAAGCTGAAGACCACCCCTTTACCCACACCCTGTCATTCACCCCGACGGCCCACGGAGAGAGGTGGTTACCCTCATGAGTGATCCACGAGATGCTCTATCTGATAAAGAGACCGAAAAATTACGGCATGGACAACGCTTTTGGCCACAGGAAAATGGGGGAAGCATACCTTCAAACAATGGATTGTGGTTAAAGAGCACAGGGAGTCTTGACAAGGACCCGGCACGATTTCAAATACCGAATAGCTACAATTCTCGCCTTTGCCATGATTAATCTCATCGACTCGTCGTCCATGTCAAGTCCAACCTGCAGCTTCCGACGACCCCGCCCCCTTCCAAATACAATCCCCCTCGTTCAAGACCCTCACATCAATTTCCACGGAAAGAAAAAGAGCGTATTCTACCACTACCACAATAAGCTACCTCTCCACGTTGCTGGCGATGGCAAAGAGTTACCAAGAACACAATCTGGCTCTTCCAACACCACATATTCCGCCCCACCTTCTGTACCGACAGCTCGCCGCCCAAGGGCTCTCTCATCCTCTCTCTCGTCTTGAAAGACTACCACATCCCCTTGCGTTCTTTTCTCCCCTAATGCCGTCAACCCCGCCGCCTTTTCACGACACCACTTCGGCACCCTAACGGCCTCTGAACCTCTGCGCCACAGTGGGGACACAAAGCATACACTCGTGTGGACCAAGAATTTCTATGAGCACGTCCCGATGAGGAACAGAAGTGATGAGGAGGGCATCATAGTCGACATTCTGTGGGACCTGGAGTATGAGTGCTGCGGGCAGATTCTTGCCTAGGCAGGTCATTATTAGTTTTAGAGCCAGTCGGAGGTGATGAGACGGATCTCTGCATGAGATGTCTGGCCTTGCCTCATGGTGTTGTTCGTCCGTGGGATCTTTGTAGAAAATAAGATAAAGAACAAATTGAAGAGCATGGGAAAAGGGGTGAATTGAGATCCATAAAGGGAAAAGGAAGGCTCTTCAAAAGAGGGCCGAGGGGCTCAGGCGAAGCAATCTCATACCAACACGATTATTTGGTGGAAGGAGTAGACTGCACCTATGGATAGAGGCGTCAAATAACCCCGTTGCCGCCCAAGTAACTCGTTCTACTTCCGCCGGCTCTGGATTTCATTCCGATTATCCTTTCCTTCTGGCAACTTGTCCGTGTGGCAAATGTGCTACCGCCTATAATCTTGTTGCATGTCCACTCTAGTGCCGAGTTTCATCACCTGAATACGACTGTCAGTGTCCACAGGTCACTGTGCGCGATTCAACGTGGCGGAGGACATGATTCGACCCTGGGAGGCCTCTATGACCGACAGTGATCAAAATTTCGAAATGGAAACCCTCAAGTCGATTTTCTGTCTTAGTAAGGAGTGCTCGTCTTGACTTGTGGCCGAGGTATATGATTTACTCGTGTGAAGGGGGTGGGCGAAATTAGTCTCGCGTCACTCCCGCACCCAACTACGCCAAATTGGTGACGCGAGACTAATTCCCTTGACTCTCGGGGGGGGACGATGCAAAATCCCTTCAGCCTTGCGAGCGCCTACACAGTGATCGTCATTGCATGACACCCTTTCCTTAGGGCGGAAGGATGTGCTTCGAGCTCAGCTCCGTCTTTCTTCAAGAACCTTCTTCTCCATTCTCGATCTATGTATTGTACTTATACAGACACATCAGAGCTAGGTCTGTAGTATTGGGATGCTCGACGCTAGTCAAGCGATTGCGAACAACAATATAGCATTGTCAAAGCTAGATTCATTTCCGCCAGATCTGTCGTCGGTAAACCTCCTCCGACATCATGTCTACAAACAATGCTTCAACCACTTGTGGCTACCTAAGCGAGCTAATTAATTACATCAACCTTCCTTACGAATTGGAGGCCATCAATCATAGCTATGCTTACAATTGGATCAACGAAAGCTATGTCAAACGCAAGGAACCACCACCACCACCCACGGCTGTCCTTGATCCCGATATCTCTGGGCTTGGGGTACGTGTATCCACATTTACACATCTAATGTCCCATACCAGATGGCTGACCCCAATGCTTACGCTTCTCAGGTCATTTTAGCATTCATTATTTCCGCTTATCTGACCTGGGCGACGGTAGCGATTGGCTACTGCTGTGGATGGCTCGATGAGCGCTTATTAGGCGATCTTGATCGGCGCCTTCTCAAGATCAAGCCACGATCATCCACAGTATGGAGCCCATTACTAAGGAGAGTCGTCCTTATCGTGAGGTACGTTTTGAAGCAGATTATACCTCCTTCTTGGCACCGGCTGAATTTACACGCAGTGATCAGCAGATCATCACGGGTATTGCCATCCTCGTTGCTGGCTTTGCTAAGAGAAGCAACATTATGGTGTACGATTGGCAATTAGTAACTTATTTGGCGTGGATGTCCTCAGGAACACATCTAATTACACTCTCTGTTCTTCGTATTTACCTACGCGAGTATCCGCAGCTTCGGATGTGGAGGATTTGTGGAATGCTGATGTTATTTGTGATGCTTTTCGTTGCCATCATGCCGACCGGTAGCAATAACTGGTATGAAATTGTTTACTTTGAACAACCAGTATTAGAGAATGTCAGCGAGTGCACCAGCACCTTCATTCCAGCGAAATGTTTTTGGAATAGCAAATTTTGGAATGCCTGGAGATGGGAAGGAGCACTTTCATATGCTCTCTTAATTTCGAACTATGTCATCAGGGCTGGCGCACTATTCGAGCTAAATGGGCAACGCTTTGAGCGATGGCGACCTCAAGTAAGGATCAGAGCTGCACTCGACGCAACTGTCAAAGATCTTGCGATAACCTCTAACAAAGCATGGCGGAGAGCTGGATTTCCGCAAAGAGTCCGCTATCACGCATTAATGATGACCTACTGCACGGTATTGGCTATCTCAGACATGTAAGTACGCCCAGCACCAACGAATTCCTACATCTCTAGTTTTCAGGCTATATTGCTAGCCCATAGACGTGATGAACGGGTCTATTTCTCTAAATCTGGCCACTCTTAAAGAAACGAACTGACTCTTCTACTTCAAAAAGACACCATTCATTCGCAGCACCAATACTCTGGGTCTCCTTCAGTCTCATTTGGGGAACGCTCGTTATAATGAGAGCGCGGCGATTCGTTGCGGAAGAAAATAGCTGGGGCTTTGGTCAAATAATCCCACTGCTGCTGCTTGCGTTGCCACTACTTGCAATGTTCGAAGCATTCTACGGTCAGTGACTCTGAAATGAATTCTAGTGATGAATCACTGAGCTACATGCAGAGGTTAAGAAACCAGGAAGCCAGCCTAATACGACAGACACAAATGACACCAACGGATGCCAACCTAACATGATTCAATTATCATCACCAGAACATGCTTCGGAGACTTCTCCCATCTTACCGAGCTTGCCCTTGGAAGAACCATTGTCCAGAACAGTTTTAGAAGCAACAGTGCACGGTGACCAAAGTGTACTCAGCAGCAGAGAGGACCCCGCACAGCCCCACTCACGACCATTGATACAGTCAACTCAAGGCATTCAAGCGGAAGCCAATGCTGACGAGATTGAGTTGACGGGCACGTCTTCCAAGGGCAACAGTGATCCTCTCGCACTTTTACATCCAGAAACAGGACGGCTTGAGGCCGGCATAAGCGCCGATGGTCAACAACGACGCTGGAAAGGTTTTCGTCAAGACTTCTACGCATCCAAATGGTTCAAGGGGTTAATATGGCTTATTTTATTTGCGAGCGTCTGTGTAGCTATAGCCATTTTCACTTCCTTCTACCTTGAATTCGATTTGTTTCAGGAGGACGGGATTTATTTCTGGGTCTTTTGTATAGTTCCGCCGGTTGGGATCGTCGTTTTGTATGTCCCTGCTGGGGTCTTCTGCAGCAAGATTTTTCGACAAGTATAAAGGATGCTTTTACAGGATTCCTACGTCGACGAAGCAAAGGCTGTGAGGGTGTCAGAAGAGCAAGTATGGTGTATGCCCTCGCGTAAATTCGTTCTCTATGGAAATCATAACAGACAGGAGGGGTATGCGGGGTTCTACGCTGAGGCTTCTCTATATGGGCTGATCTTACACTCCTTTACAAATGGGTTTGACCGCACGCACAGGAATTGGGATGGTAAAGTTTATACGAAGTCTGATGACATATGACGAAGAAGCTAAATATACACACGTTCATACATGGTCTCAAATGATCTCCCCGAGCTCCAAAGTCTTCCATATCAAGGAATGACATTCGCGGCACAAAGCTGCCCAAAAATGACCAAGAATACCAGATCTACCACTCGGCGCGCCTTCTGCCTTCACCAACGTCCAGAATCATAATCCTGATCGGTACTCCTCAACCCAGGGTCTCGATGAACGACCTTCCTTGGTGGCGTAGAAGTAACTCGATCCTGAACAAAAGATCCCTGCTGGTGCTGGGAGTAAGCTGGAGTCGAATGCCGAAAGTCCAGTAACCCGTGAGAAGAATTCGATTTCTGTCCATCTTGGCCCTGGGCTTGAGCATACCACTTAAGCGTCCATTGATCGGAAACGGCCACGAAAGCAGTTGCCAGTAAAATTAATGGCAAGATCTGGCTAATAGCAAGCCAGTCGTTCTCCGGATTGTTCGTACGACCGGGCTTTATCCATCCTGATTGGTTAACCCAGGTTTTCAGACTGTAAATACGCACAAAGGCGCCGACATTGACGGCCAGGAAGACTATGACGGCTTGAACTTTGTAAAAAGCTATTCCGAGACTTTGCCAACGTGTATATGTCCTGGTCGACCCTCTGTGATGCCTGTCCCACTGGAGCTGCCAAAGCGTTCTCCCTAAGCCTGCGATCAATCCGACGAAATTGAAAACGTAAATGACGAGCTCCTCAAATTGCCAAGGCTTCATGGGGTAACCTATCGTCTGCTTTTGCGCCTCGGTATAGCTTCGATAGAAGTCGGCGAACTCAGAGTCCAAGAAGCAGGTTGCAGGGAGGAGTAGTGCACTCGATGTCATACCAAGCGGTGGTTGATACTCTGGAAAGTCCTTTCGACTTCCCTGGTAAATGAGTAACTTCAACAGATAGCCAAAGATGACTGCAATGCCCACGACTCGGAGCAGTGCCGATGCAGGAGCTTTCCAATACTCTCTCACCAAGGAGAGCGAGAGGACAAAGTTTGCACAAGAGATCAGACAGATGTTTATGGCGATGACATAGTGGTAGGCGGACATCGAGCATTTCTGAATTAGCCAAAAGTCAAGGCCATAAGCGATTGTTGTCAAGGTTTGTGTGTCCGACACTGCCAATATCAAGGTTCGGTAGGTCACCATCCAGCGTATCTCTTCCGTCTTGAGATCGTTCGGTGAAGGATAGGATAGTCGACCGCTGCGCCACTTGAGAGTAAGGCGTAGCATGCTGACGAGGGCTCCTGGAAAGAGACAGATGGCGGTTATCATTAATGCTAGCAAGAACTGACGCCTGTCAGTCATACTCAAACGTTTGGGAGCGTCGCTCAAAGAAGCGTTGTACCCCAGGCCCAGCAATATCAGGGATAGATTCAAGTTGCCCCCTTTCGTATGGCCCTATCTGTACAACATTGGTGTTTGCATCCCATGTGATATTGCATTTTACAGTGACGTTCAAAGCTGCGCAAGCTTGTGCGGTTCCGTTGAAGGGACTTGATGCATCTTCGCTAATCGAAGTGGTCATCTTAAGGTGTGAAGTGTATACTTTTGATATTGGGGCGAGACTTGCAACTTACCAGAGATAAGCTGTATATCTAAAGGGAAAGAACTTTTACGAAAGAGAAGACGATGCATGGAACGAGGTCAAATCGAGACATTGAGGGATAGATATGTAGTCGATGGACTTGCTATACCCAGCCTTATCACGTTGAAAATTCGCATGATCACACAACCTCTTCTTCATGAATACAACCTTGCGCGATGTGGATTATGGTGTGGCAGTCAAAGCCCCGCGGCGGACGTTTTAAGGTGAAGATCGAACCCATCTACTCAATAAGCAGCTTATTTTAGAATGCAGTAAGATGTGAATGGCCCCCTTTCAAGGGGAATGCAGCTGAAATCCCTGTATTCTTGGGGCGGGAGGGGTTTGGGGCGAGTAGAAAATATGACGATACTTTTGGAGTAGTGAGACGTTCATTCTCATAATGGAACTGGGCTACGATGTCCCCAGGGTTCGTCAACGTGGAACTACGGTGACTGAGGTTTGACGGCACGTGAAAACATGCTGGCCAAGGTTGGACGGTATGGACCGTAGCCTTGTGCGAAGACTTCTGACACATATAATATCAGAGGGTGATCAGATCAGGAAGTCACAGCCCAGCGGTTGGTAGGGGCATCAGGCGGGGCATCAGGCAGGGCATCACCACACTCAGCAGCACAGGGGTCAGATTGCTGAATATGGGGGCCGTTGGTAAATAAGGCTACAAACATTTTCCAGATCGAATGATCCAACATGCTCTTCAGTGGTGCTGGTTTATGCGAGTCGTAATGGAAGGGCAGCCATCAGCCTGAATGCTACTATATCAGTCAGATTTCGATGCCAATATTGCCAAGATATATAGGGCTGAGTCTTCTCTCCAGTCACCAGAGCGAATGACGTACCGTTAACGTCTATGTTCCTTTTCTTTGCTACTATCGCATATGTAATCTGCAATATCAAACTCGGTTACAGGACGTATTGATCTTAGGGTTATAGGCGGATCTGACCACCACATAACGATGTCTTTGCCGTATTAAAATGTAAATTTAGCCGCCCGACCAGATCTGCCTTATGCAGGCCTAACGACTGATGGCGAATCACAGCAGTCCACGATGGAGGGGTTGTGCTATAGGCTACTGACCCGGTCTGTCGTAGACTCGCCCACCGTGCTCAACCATGCTCTTGTCGACGACCTGGAAGTATCCACAACCTATAGGTCCTCACGTCAGAATAGTCGGAGTTGATCTCCTTGAAGCCCGAGGCTCCGACAGCAACATGTGCGAAGAATTCTATTCGTAGCCTGACACAATGCTCGAGCCTTTAATTGCTGTCGGCTTGGCAGCAAACATCATCCAATTTGTCGACTATGCAACCAGACTTTTGTCCAAGGCCGGCGAAATACGTCAGCACGGCTCTTCGCTGGAAATACGAGACCTAAAGTTGACCACGGAGGACCTGAGAAAATTAACAAGCGACATTGAATGTTCACAAGAGCCCTTATCTGAATCCCTTACCAGGCAAAATCAAAATCCGAGCGTTCAGAGTAATGGAGGCGGCTTTAGTCGGGATGAGGTCTGTCCCATCATCAACTCCCTCCAAAAACTGCATAGAGATCCTGCTAGTGAGCGCAGCTGAAGAATCGTACGTCAATAGGACCTCGGGAGGCTTGCAGCGGGCTGTAAAGCTGTGTCCCAGGAACTAATTGCGGCTCTCTCTGATCTGCAGTCTACCACAAAGCTCTCGCGATGGAAGTCTATACGACAAGCGCTGAAAACCACATGGGGAACTGACAAGTTAGATCAGACTTCACAAAGACTTCAAAACTTTCGAGATCAGCTTACGTTGAGAATACTGGTGTCCTTTCGTAGCGACGCAAACATTCAGGCAGCAGTACATGATTCGCGTTTCGACACCTTGGAGCAAGGCTTGCAAAGCATCATTAGAGACTTCATGGACGAGAAAGGTGTGCTTATGACGGAGTTGAACCGGCACACGGACACATTTGAAAAACGACAAGACAGGATTGAGCACCTTCACCGCCATTATTTCGATCAGACAATCGCTGCAATACAACGATCCCATTCTGTCGATCCTATCTATCTTTCTCGGCCAAATGAGGCCTATTATCAACTGAAGGGCGGAGATCAATCACAGATTCAACAAGCGGTGCTCGACCATCTTCAATTTAGGCAGATGAACACACGCATACAAGATGTTGCTCCGGCTCACAAGGATACCTTCCAATGGTTATTCGACGAAAATATCGCGAGAAGACCTTGGAGCAGCTTCCTTGATTGGCTCCAGTCGGGATCTGGTTGTTACTGGATCAACGGAAAGGCGGCGTCGGGGAAAACAACACTTATGAAGTTCATCCTGTCGCATCCAATGACCAAAGTGGCACTCGCGACGTGGAGCGGAGGTGAGCAGGTATTGATACCTTCTTTTTTTTTCTGGAATGCTGGCATTCTGCTCCAGAAAGCTCAAGTGGGCCTATACCGAGCAACCTTATTCGAGGTTCTTTCTTGTCATAAAGAGATCATTTTTAAGATATTTCCCGAGCTCTACCACGAAGAAGCACGGCGAAACCAGCATCCACAACTGCAATCCACTATACAACCCCTCTCGGACACTGAGCTCAAAGTGGCATTCATGAAGATGTTAGATCATATCCCATCCCGCATTTGCTTCTTCATTGACGGTATTGATGAAACTGAAGGCGATACTGCCGATATTGTCAGCCTTATCAAACTCGTAGCGTCAAAACCAATGATGAAGGTTGTCGTCTCAAGTCGTCCGATCTCACCATGTGTCCAAGCATTTCAAGACTGCCCGAGTCTTCGATTACAAGACTTGACTATGAATGACATTCAAGCATACGTCAATGCTCAGATGTGCGATCACCAACTTATGAAACAGCTCTTCCTCGACATGCCACATGCGGCAAGAACACTTGTGGCTGAGATAGTCACCAAGTCGTCTGGCGTATTCCTTTGGGTAATGCTTGTCGTGAAATCACTCACTCAAGGATTGGAGAACCACGATAGGATCGAGCATTTACAACATCGACTTGGGGAGCTTCCATCAGAGTTACATGATATATACAGGCTCATGTTAAGCAACTTGGAACCCTTATACCGTCAGCAAGCCTCAAAATTGCTGCAAGTTGCATTGCGACATCATGAATCAGAGACACTCTATCCACTCTTGCTGATGCGACTCGCTTGGGCCGATTTAGATGATCCAAAGATAGCTACAAAGTTGTATCACGACAGTAACGAAGTGAAAAACATAGGAGATTTATGCGAGAACATGCGCGTTCGGCTTCAGAGCTGTTGTCGTGGCTTGTTGGAAGTTCAGGGCCATATGTCGCAAGGCACTTCCGTTGGATTCCTGCACCGAACTGTCATTGAGTTCCTCAGCGAATGTCAGAACTATCAGTATTTACAAGACCTCACCAAGGATATTTCTTTCGATCCTAATATCTCGTTGCTGAGCTCCTCCCTAGTGTGGCTGAAAGGATTCCTTGGTGTATGGCCGCCTACTCGAATGAATGAACACCACGTGGATGATATGCTAGTGGCTTTACTCCACCGAGTCGTGATCATCTTCATGTACGGTCGATTGGCTGAAACCTCCACAGGTAAACCATGTCTAGATTACCTCCGTGAGTGCGATTCTGACATAGAAAATCATTGGGAACATATATGCGCTTTGCAGCACGGAAAAGCAAAGCTCAACAAGACTTCGCACTGGGCCCTTGCCATGACTAGATTGAACAGGTGCTGGCAATTCGTGCACTCATTCCCGTCCTTGATGGCGGCAGCCGGCCTCGGTTTGTCACTGGACCAATACCTGAAGGAATCTCCGGAATGTCTTTCTGACCTGTCCAAACAAGACCTTCTCATCGATATCGTATACCACTTCGGTGAAGATATGGATGATTACGTCGCCGCTCATCAAATCTCCGTCGTCAAAACCCTCTTGAAGCACTCTGCCGACCCGAACAAACCGACAGTCGACAAATCAAGCGCATGGACGTTTGCCCTATTGCACTTCGACGACGCCATGAGCCCCGCTAAGCTCAGCCATTACCCAGAATGGCAGGGATTGGTCGGCGTCCTCCTCGAGATCATGGTGGAGCACGGAGCCGACCCGAACGCTGTTCAAAGCCGCGTGATTTTCCCCAATACAGCTTCGCGTTTCCTGGAACACTCTCCTACCGCACTATCGATCGTCCAATGCTCCATCGCAAATCTTAAACAGATTCGCCCGACTGGCTCAGAGGACCTCGACTGGTCTTTGCTCGTCAAGCTTATGGAGGATAGAGGACGTCAGCATCAGGATAGGACACCTGTGGACGAGCCTCTGCGACTCGCTTGTCATTCAATTATGGCAGATAAGTCTGCGCAGGCGCAAGCGCGGAGCCTGCAGAACTTGCAGAGCCTGTCGTCACAACGCAAGTGGTGGAAGAGACGCAAGTCTGGAGCACGTTGATTGGGAAGGCGGCTATGGCATATTTTGGTAATCTACACAGCTTCAATGAGACTGACTCTCCCAGCTTACATCATATGTATCGAAGTTACCGACTACCTACTTCTCCATCTAAGTCGAGCCACTTCCGCACATCTCGTTAGATGCTGCAGAGGTGTGACATTTTTCACCTCTGTCCTCCGCACCGACGGTGACAGACACCATGCCAGTTTCGGCTCCGATGTCGATATCGGCCGTTCCGCCGTTGCCTTGGAAGGTACCGTATAGATCGTCGAACACAGCGCTGCACCACGTCGGGATTCTGTCATGAACGAACTCTCCTCCTACCTGGAACGTTATCTCTAAGACCAAGATGCAGGCTTCGGATTGGCATCTGCCCCGCTCAATGTATCTTGCGACCGACGTGAGAGCATCTGCGCCATCTTGCACCATTTGGCAATAGCCTTGTTTGGCTCGATCGTAAGTTTCCTTTGGTACTGTGAAGCCTGATCTGACGAGGGCTCGATCATGCATGTTCCAAGTTAGGCGTCCTCTTCGATCAGGAGCTGGTTGGACAGAAACGTCATCGGATTTGCAAGCACCGGCGTTCGGGTCAGCTCTGTTGGACGGGTGTCAGTAGATTATCATTGATGACGAATTTTGTGTGTTTGCGACAACGACGGCAGTGAATCATTCAACAAGAAGCCTGAAGGGATGTGAGAGTACTTACGTATACGCCCAGTCCGTATAGCTGGAACTGCCACCAGATGCGCAGCCAGATGTCTCCTTGATGAGCCCACTGATACATTCTGACAAAGGGAGGTTTTGTTTCGCCTTGCCAATACTCTTGACTGTAAAGTCCCATCGATTCTTACCATCGGGTAGACACGCATGACGCGACGCGCCAGCATCGTAGGCACCTGTCAAGTGATTCGTACAGATGTCGTTGATCTTCGAAGCGGCCATGTCCTTATCTCCGACCTGGCCACCGTCGCTGTAGCAACCGGCGGAGACTTGCATTGCCAATGGCAACACAATCCAGGTCGACAAGAGAGTGGTATAGTGCATGGCTTTCAATGGATTCTGAGACTTTCAAAAAGTCGAAAACTAAATGAGGGCAATGATTGGCGAGATGGAAAGATTGACAAATTTCCGGAGACTTCAAAAAGACTGGTATGCTGAAGTCCTATGAATCGTAGCAGAAGTGACGTTCTTTTATACACTTGTCTGGAGCTTCGCCTCGAACCCATCAATAGAATCTTGCTCTTGGGCTTCTCAATTCATGCTTTGGTTCGACACAACGGCGACGGTAGAAAATGTTGGTTTAGGCGAAAGGATCTTGAACACGCCTCTGAACCAGCTACGGCGAAACGTCTCATACCATGGAGGCACTGCATCTGAAATTATCGAGGAGAGCATTCTGAGACTATGAAGTGGTAAAATGCGCGCCGCCGAAGAAACCAACTGCCAAGATAGGCGTGCTCATCTTCAGGAGCACTCGAATCTTCACAGATGAGGTCTGTTTCACCCCAGATTATGTCTGACACAATACGCCTCGATCCTGCATCTGACATACATATGCGACGTACTCTAAGTCAATATTTTCTTTCCAAGCGAGCTTACTTTTGCCGTGCCGAGTATACACAGCCCAGTGGGAGATCGAAGGAAGCTTGGCTTTGGGAAAATGATTTCCAGCAAAAATCAAGGCACTTTGCTGCCCACCTGATTGCTGCCGCCCTGATCGCCTGCAGGCCTGACCAAGATCAGTGAAAGAGCCATGGGCTGTTCTGTTGGAAATGGGACCTAAATCAATCAGCCTTCACGAAGAGAACGTGCAAAGAAGCCCTTTCCGTTGAATGATGACGCAACCGTATGCCGCCTTTATGGGATGATCCTTCCAACAGCTCCGAGGAACGAGTCTGGAGATCTTGACACAGCCTACCACAGAAATTTTCGATCATGTTCTGATGCTACCGTTGACTCGCCTTTTTGGAGGCGTCTTTCGCGCCTCCAACGCCGATGTTTTGCAGAAGTTCACAGTCGACTTGCGTTGCACCTGCTATTATCAAAAGTTTAGATTACGTTCAATGTCGACTTTGGAGACGTGCAGTTGTGTCTCTACGAGAGCAGCTCATTATCCGATAGATCGGCTCGATAGTCAGGAGAATGGCACCCATTTACCGAGCACAGCAGTCGATCGATTGAGATACTTGCTCTTTTGGAATTGTATGTCTAGTAGTGGGGTGGATCTTTGCTGTTTCGGTGTCCTTTGATCCGGTTGAATACTATGTCATTGCAGAGACCAATATAAGGACTGAAAGGGGCCGTCGTGCGTCTGACGGTTCACCATTTCTGGACTAATGTTGCCGACGTTTCTAACGAGGTCCAGCCTACAAGGCCCTGAGTCTCCAATGACAAAGCTTATGACAATCAAATCGTCGACATAAATCAGACCTATTGCCTTCTGATTTAGCCTGAAGCAGACGAGAAGATCAGTCTATCAAATGTTTATACCGAGTTCTCCCATAATACCTACGTCCAGATCAGCACCTCTATACCTTTATTCCGCTAGCTGCTGAACGAAGTCATTGGAAAAGGCCACAAATGAATTGAGACGATGCTTCAAGATAATGCGAGTTTCGCACCCCCTCAGCATCGCCGTGCAGCGTGCATGAGGTTATCCTTCGCTCCAAGTATAAATCGAGCTTTGAGCGAACACGCTCAAAGACGAAGATGACATTCGTCCAATGTGGATGCATCAACGGGCATGTTACTTGCACTTTAGTCCGGCCATGCAGGGAGGTTCTCGAACTGGGACCTCCTGAGAAGATTGTAGACTTCTTTGAAAAAGCCTTTGGCAACGGACGCACGACACCGGTTTTGTAAGTTCATGCAAGTTCAAAAGACTGAAGACTTCCGGTTTGGGTGATTGTTGGTACGACATGAACGAATGAAAGCACTCCAGCCGGATGTCTAATCTTGCATATAGCACGGTGCATCCGAACTCGCCCGATAGCGCGACCTTCCTCTTTCTCTGGAATCCCAGAGCAGCAATTGCACTCTCAACATATCCCGAAGTAGACGATCCGAGGATCTACGATGGTTCCCTGCATAGAAGAATAGCATGTGGCGTCGCGTGGGATGCAGGTCAGCTCATCCCCGTGGGAGACCCAGGGCTGAAACATCGGACACCGAGTACGCCAGATGCTGCCTCTAACATACCGATGATCCTATCATTTTCACCAGGGGCCCCATACTTTCAGCGCTGACCTCATCCCTTCACTTACTCCCCCTATCTTCTTCGGCCGCTCGAGAATCCTTAAGTACAACCTTTACGGGGAGCGCGCACTCCCAAAACCAGACCTTTATCCCACGCACTCCCCATCCCACCAATCCACATCATCTACACGCTCCTCCTCACCCACCTTCTTTGACCTCAACTCATTCGCAACTCTTACCTCTTCCCATCTTACCACCACTATCACCACCATCCACCACCACATCGACGGACCACTCTACAACAACCCGCCCTCCCTACCATCCCCCCACCATCCCTCCACCGCTCACCACGCACGCCCTTCCATCAACACCCCACCCCACAATAATGTCCCGCCTCTCAGTCTCCTCCCCCTTCCCGATCCCGCCAACCCGCCCCGCCCGCCCAAACACCCCCACGCCCCCCATCCTCCGCCGGCAATCCATAGCCTTCACCTCGCAAGCCTCAACCTCACTCCGAAACTACATCGCGCAGCCGGCGACCAGCACGATAAACGAGCGCGGCACCTCCCCTGCCTCCCCCAATCTCGAAATCCCCCGACGCAGCAGTAGACGTCTTGCCGGTGGTGTTGGCAGGGCGGCTAGCTCTCGGCAAAGCAGCAACGTTAGTGGCAGTCGTGGTGGTGGCGGTGGTAGGGGTGCAGGCGAGGGTGAGGGTGAGGTGGAGGGGAAGGCTGTAAGACCCAGCATCAGCATCAGCAACGCACGCGACAGATTCATCAGGGATCGTAAGGGCGTGCTGAATCCCACGCCGCCTGGCCCTTACGCCCCCCCCAACCCGTACGCCGTCTCTTCTTCCAACCCGTATGTTTCTTCTGGCTTGTATGCGGCACCTAGAGCCGCGCCTGCGCCTACCGTGCCGATGAATAGGAAACACTCGCGCCCGAGCACGAGTAGTAGTAGTAGCAGTAACGGTGGCAGTGGCAGTGGAAGAAGTGGTAGAAGTGGAAGTGGGGGTGGTGGGGGTGGGGGGAGCGACAAAGAAAACCACGCGCCGCGGAAAAGGGGGGAAAGGGTTTTCACTGCGGAGGCTCATGGGGTTGAAGAAGAGTGATGATGGTGGGGGAAGGGGAGGAAGGAATGGAATAAAGAGGGCGGTGGTGGGAAAAAGGTGATGCAGGGAGGAGGAGGGGCTGGTGGTGGTGGGGCTGGTGGTGGGGGGGAAATGGGCGCAGGGCTGAGTGAGAGGAGGCGTGGGGAGGGGGAGAGGGAGGGGGGAAGGGAGAGGAAGAGGAGTCGTGGGGCGTTTGGTGGGATGGGCATGGGCATGGGAAGGGGGGCCAAGCCGGTTTTGAGTAGTCGGTTCTCGGATGGGTAATGTAGGGGATACCTGTGGGAGCGGAGGTAGGGGAAGGAGAGGGGCGGTGTATGATAAATGAGGAAATGTCTCGAAAAGTAAGGTTGGTTTATTCCCATAGATTTGACGACGGTAAAGGGATGGGGTGGACTCCACTTCCCCGCCCCGCGGGAGAGGGGTTGACGATACCATCACCTCCTCCATACTACCATCACATCGCCCGAGGGGGACGTACAGTTTAGTTAGTCTCGATGAACGCATTAGAGTCTTCTGCCTCCCCATCCTTCCCCCTCCCTCCCCGTTCAATTAAAAAACTATCATCGCACACAGCTTTTTCACTGGATGGAATTTTGAATCGTAGAAGAATCATCATCAACGTCAGTATCTACCCTGAGGCGTGAAACAGCTGCAAGAACCCCCCTCCCTTCTCTAATCGTACACCATCATCGAAATTCCCCCGCATAACAAGCCCCCGCGTCCCCCGAGGCTACCATCGCCTCATACCCACCGCTACAATCGACCTTCCCCTTGCCATTCCCCACCCCCTTTCCCGCCCCCTGAGCAGGCCGAGGAAGCCGCGCTGCTGCTGCTGCGATGCCGAGGGGGGATCCTGCTGTTGTTGTTGTTGGGTTGGAGGTAGAGGACGTGGTGGAGGTGGCGGTGGAGTTGCTATTACAGCTGGGAGCGGGAGCGGGAGTGGGGGTGGAGGAGGGGGAGGAGGTGCTGTTCTGGCTGCTTGCTCCAACACTAACGATATCGGTGACGTTCTGAACGGCTGTCGTGCCTGCAGTGCATGCACCGCTAGCACCAATCCCATCGGTTCCGTTCTGAGCCGCTCCACTGCCAGTAGCACCAATCCCGTCAATTCCGTTCTGAGCCGCTCCACTGCCTGTCGTGCTAGCAGTTCCATCCCCACTACCCCCGCTTCCACTTCCTCCTCCTCCAGCAGCAGCATGTTCCGCACTCTCCCTCAACTGCTGCGCAGCTAAGTCCGCTGCATGCTGTTGCGCTTCTCGGGCCTGCTGCGCGGCGTAGTCGGCAGCGTGTTGTGCGGACTCGCGGGCGGCTTGGCTTGTGTCTGCGTTTGAGGGGGTGTTGTCGGTGGTGGTGGTGGGCAGGGTGGTGTTGCCTGAAGCAGCGTTGGTGGAGGGGTTGTAGCTGCTATCGCTACCGTTGAGGGCAGATGACGAGGATGAGGAGCCAGAGCCAGAGTTGGTGGAAGCTTCAATGCCAGTGGACGTGTTTGTGCCGGAGCCAGTGCCAGTGCTGGAATCGGAGTCAAAGTTGCTGCCTGAGGGGGAAGAAGAGGAGGAGGAAGTGGAAGGAAGAGAGGAGCTCGTGCCAGAGCCAGACCCTAAGCCAGACCCTGAGCCAGTGCCAGTAGAGGCATCACCACCAGAACCAGAACCACCTCCCCCAGCAGTAACATCACCCGTGCTCCCACCCCCTGTACTTCCACCCCCGCCACTAGCAGGTAATCCAGTCGCAGCAGCGTTCTGTCCACCCGCAGGCTGCGACGAAGCGGGTAGACCACTACATTTCGGGTCCGTAGCCCCGTTCGCGAGAACATGGGAGCAATAGTCCTGCAAGCTGGTGCAACCGCCGTTGCCGCAGACGTCGCTGCCGATATAGTCTGTACCGTTGCTGTTTGATGTTCCACCGATAGTTGTTGTGCTAGAAGTTCCGTTCGTAGCTGTGCCACCCGTCCCATTCGTTCCTCCCGCTGCACCGCCCACAGCAGTAGTTCCATTACCACCACTCGCACCAGCCATGCCCGCGAAAGTACCCTCCCCATCCCTCGTCTGCTCCACCTGCTCAGCCATGGCTTTACAAGCATCGATCTCCTTCTGTTGGCCTGAGAGGTCCGCTGTCGCGCCCTCCCCGGATGTGGTGGGACAGTTGGACGACGAGGAGGCGGGTTTGCCGGAGAAACCTTGCCCGCCGCAGATGGGTGACCAGTCTGGCTCTGCGGAGTTGGCGGTCCAGTCGGGGTAGGATTGGATTGCATCGCCTTGGCAGGAGCTGGGGGGTGTGGTTAGTGGGGGGGTGGTTGAGGGGAAGGGGGTGGAAAGGGGGAGGGGAAGGCGAGGAGGCTAAAGAGAAGGGCGGGGGAGGAGGGGGGGGGGGGGCCGACTTACGTGTTGTAGGCGCAATTGGCGTATCTCATGTTCTCGGGATACATGACTTGGTTGATTCTCATCTGGTCGGAAGCAAAGTCGCCTGTCTGGTCTAGATTATTGTAGAATTTGGGCATGGCAAAATGGTTGCCGTCGTGATCGTAAGGGGGCTGAATCATGCCCTTCGAACGCGTTAGCTATGCTTCCAGCTCGTCGGATGAGCGATGGTGGAATGGTAGATACGCCATGTTGATGGGCAGCTTACATCGTCCCAACAAGATCTGAAGAACCATATCGTTGGGTCTTTGAAAGCATCTCCATCCAACCCGGGAATCTGCTCAGCTGGGCGACTGTCACCCCCACTGCCCGACCAAATTTTCACCTTCGTGCGGTCGATCTTGATGTCGCCGGGCTGCTGACATGAATTCGGTTTGCTGGGGTCCGTGCTGCAGATGTCGGTGACTTTGAGCATCATGTCTGTCTTCCAGTCTTCCGTCCAGAAAGAGATACACATGTCAGGACGGCAATATCCTTTATTTGCCATCAGTACTTGCATCGATTGTGCTGGGCCCAGAGACTCACGATCGAGAGGTGCATACTTCAACCAATATGGATGAATCGCTACGTGGCTGGTGTAGTAGGCATTATGAGGGATACCGCAGGCGCTTTGCTTAGGATCATCAACGCCGCCCTGATCTCTTTCCTTGGATGTCAGTAGGCTACAATCCGAGGAAGACATGGGTTGACTGACGTCCATTTGTCGGAAACGCCATCCGGCGTATTTCCCTCGCCTTTGCCGTAGAAAAGCAGCTTGCCACGATTTGCACGCGACATCGGTATCCCGCCCTTTTGATTGACACCGTAAGGACCATTACAGAACATGCTGCCCTGCGCGTCTTTAATTTCCCCGTCTCGCCGTTTTGCTCCGTTTTGCATGGCAGAGCTGGCGACTGATGCCTGAGTGGTCCCACTCTGAGCTAGGGCAGATCCACCTGAGACTTGAGCAGCCCCATCTTGGGCTTGACGGCGGTTGTGTTGTGGAATCTTCAAGGCTGAAGCGAATGGATATATCAGTGAAATGAATGATAAGCAAAGTGCTGTACTGGAGCACAGCAAACGCATTGTCAAAAGAGTGAATGGGATCCAGTCCCGTAGAAAATACTCAGCAACACTCTGAAGGAAGGACTCTGCGGAAGGGGAAAGTCTTCCAAGAGCGACTCGACATCTGAAATAGTCTGTCCATATGCACACATTGTGAGACATCGGCCCGTTTCGTTTAATCTCCGTGATTGCATATGAGACCCCTTGGAAGGGATGTCGGTGTTTCACACAAGGTTGGTAGGCGCCCGTTCGTGAACTCTCTCCTCACGGGTCATGACATGTGCTCCATCATCTGGTTGACTCCGAGCTCGCTCTTCCTCCTGTTTTGCTCGGTATCGATGATCAGAATTGTTGCCTTCGCGTCGGATTCATCCAGCGTTTGGACGGTCCATTGGACCCACAGTTGTCCAGGATGAGATATAGTGGAGAGGTGCCGAAACAATGTCGCTTATAGAGCCCGTGTTCCCTATAACCATGAGTTCGAGGGCATTGCTGTCAGCATTTCTAGGGCCTGAAAACATGAAGCTGATCGTCGGGCGAATTAGATCGCTCTCTCGACCGCCGTGTTGGTGTTCCAGTAACCACGACTTTTGCTATTCCGAACCTTATAGTGATCCGATGTGACAACACGTCTCTGTATAATTGATAAGTCCGAGGCTGGTCTATCAATGCAATTACGGAAAGACGAATGCACTGCCTCAACAACCTTTAATGGTTAACCCTGAATGTGGGTCGCGGAAGGTCGAGCAGTGCACATGAACTCCACGTCAACTAAACCATTTTAGCGTTCGAATTATAAGCCATACAATGTAAAATTCCAGCAGAGAATACTAGATTGACCTGATGACTTGAAAAGGCAAAGGTCGACTTGCGAAAACGACTGGAAGAGCACGTGCGACAGTGGCTGATAAAGACCAGAATGTGACCCAGGACAGCGAAATACACGTCCATCTCTTGTAATATGTGGAAGATGCTTTGATGTATGGAATGATGAAAAAGGCGACTGCGCGAGTTTCGCTTGCATTCTATGCCGACCGCTGTAACAGCGTATGTACCATTCCTTTCTTGACTGCAACGAAGCCTTGCAACATTCAGCATCAACACATGCTGAGCGTAGCCCTGCAGGAAACTCCCAAGATTCTTCTGTACAACCGTGGCGGACGGACGTCGCACTCAACGCAATAGTCGGCCGAATTTTGCACCAACAAGGAGTTCAGCAGAACCCTATGCTGCTCGCTCCAATGCGCATACCTCCCATCAACTCGAGTAGCAAGCTAAAGGCATGTGCAATGCCCCAGGTATGCAGCCGCAGGGCCTTCGTGGCCCCAGCCCTTGCCTTCTTATAGCTCGTACTCCGGTCCTCAACAAATCCAATTCTACTTGAGCACAGCAAACGCATCGCAATGTAAAACGCGTAGCGTTCATTCTTTTCACCCCATAGACATGTATCGGTAGACTCGTTTCAGCTTCTAAGGCTTGTGATCATGGGTAGGAAGAGTCGTGGGTAGAGAGGGCCCAGGTAGTGGGGGATAGAGGGGACGGCAGGGACAGAGCGTAGGCGTAGTCTGATATCATGTTGGCTCTTCAACTGCAGCGCGGGGTCCCAAGTTGTCAAGGCCCTGGGACGTTAGCATCGTCAAGTACTGGCAAGGCAGTGAAGGGTAGCGAATTCTGGAAGATCACGAGCGTCTGCGGGGAGTGGTAGGCTTTCGGCTGAGTTGCAACGGTGAACCATGTTGGCAAAGCGGTTTCACTCTCGAACATAGCTTTAACTTATGCCTAGGCGTCAACTGGTTTCTATGGTTGATTGCAAGATAAAGATGTTCGCAGGTAAAAAGACTTGAGGCACAAAATTCGAGATCAGTGAAAGGCCGGCAAAATATTGTTCCGGATCCGATCCCCACTTTCATTTCAGGAGATGTTTTTGGCATCTTCATCTAGAAAAGCGGTTGTTGAAAATGAATGTTTCGTTTTATAAGTGTTTTGTGTTTCAATCACGGCAAGTATGCTACCACCATTAACGACATTAATAGTTTACAGTCTTCTCACAATCATGCAATTGACACATTCATTATTGATCGGAAGCCCCTTCCTAGGCCAATATGGGCTCAGGCAACAAGCCAGGAGCGATATCCTCATCAAAAGTCAAATATTCATTCGCTTGTCTAATTCCACTGCGTATTTTCCTTTGGCCCAAGATCCGCGACTACCAACCATCGACCTTCAGTCTTATAAATCTTTTGAAGTTCACGAAACGCTTCTCTCCAGATTTGCCTATTAGCCCTAAAGATCGAGAGATCCCTAGGTCTGGATTCAAAATCCGTGAATGAGTCCCACCCTCCCCCTGGAACAGTCAGTATCAACCTGTATATCAGGACGCGAACTTCGGGAGGGAGTTCCAAGAATGGAAAGGGCGGTTGATCGTCGGACATTGTGGACCTGGATTCTTCCGTACTAGAGTCGCTTGTTTGAGAAGACTCGTTCTCGTAGTCTTCCCAGGGATCTCCCGGATCTGAATATTCGGCGTCTTCCCGAGACGATGAACTTTCTTTTCCGTCGCTTTCTACTGGACGTACCTCGAATGTGCCCTCTTGATATCCAGAATCCCACGAACCATCTTCAGGAGGTTGAACACAATGTTCATCCTGCTGCTCCGAGGCGGAAGGATTTGGCTTCTGCTCATCCTTAAGTTTTCCAAAAGACCAATGTGGTGTTTTCACGACCTTGGCTCCTGAGCCTGTCTTGTGAAATTCCTGGTCTTTTGGCGCCATTGGAGGAGAGTGAGAGTCAATCGAGCGTGCTCGAGTCTCGAAGTCAGCGACTAGAATTTGCCTAAATTGTATCAAAGTCCTGTGAGACAATTCAAGTATTAGAGATTCTTTTCTGGTCAATTGAGATCCGGGATAGCTGCAGAGGACGATCCAAAGACCATGCCAGCGAGAATTATATATATTTAGCGACATACTGTTGGCTTTGATTGACAATGGAAGTATCAAGATCAAAATGGTCTTGAAAGAACAATGACCTTTGTCATTCTAGTGGCTGTGTCGAGCATCGGTCTCTCATTGTTACCAATGCGAGCACGGCCGGTTGGGCCTCGAAAATAGCAGTACTGGCCTGAAATAGGTCGTTCGACTGTTGAGGCTTTGATCAAGAGGAGGCTAGGCTTTGCTATGAGCGAAGTTGCACGCTCATGCTCAACGACCCTAACCTTGTACACTTGCTTGAGCGTCTTGTATCTTTCGAAAGAATAAAGTCGTGCATCGACTACATTCGAGGTTTGATCAGAGGTGCGCAATTGGAGTTTAGTGAACTTGTTTCAAAATAATTCGTAACGGGTCAAGAGCAAGGTCCAAATCTATCGGACTCATGACGGACGGAATACGTGACTTGCCCTTAGTAACATCACCACAACATATTGACGATCCGTCAGAAAACACCCACATATCTATCACTGCGACACAGCGTCCAAGCCAAGGCGCGTTTCAAGGTGAAAGCCACAAAGGCCATAAATAAATGGGTCCTGACCCTTAATGGTATAAGTAGACGCATAAAAGGTCGTCCGGTGTGCCAACCACACCAACAAGCCCTGAAAAGCGTGTTCGGCAATGCCATACGTATACTGCGGCCTTCCCGCTCCATTGTAGATGAAAAAACGAAGTTGACCTCCGGCCGGGACATCTATTAGTTATTGAAGTCCGCCATCGTTCCTGGGAATGGGTCTATCCTGAAGCTCTGGTGACCCTACCTCTGGTAATACCTTTGTGAAGAGCAGATCAAATGCGTCGGCGCTTTGAGCTACGTTTCTAGGCACACGATGCCGGATGTGTCCGAATTCGATGACGATCCTAGGGTTATCCTCGGAGACGACGTAATCTGGGTAGGTTTTGCTGTGATGTGTTAGCAGGGGTTTGGGAGTACACAGGGTGGTTGGGCATGTACTGGTTGTCGTCACTGAGGCCGGCGCTGAGGCCATCAGGGCCTTCGGTCGTCACGAGAGCACTGATGTTGAGGTTGTTGACTCCTACGGATGTTGCTGGCAGACATGTCGACAGGGTGAAGAGGAAGAACAGGGTAAGAACGACGCTTGTGGCTGAGAAGCGGTCAAGCATGCTTGTGCTGTAGCTGCTGCCTAAAGTACTGATGTCAGATACGGCTTCTTGCAGATGGTGAGGTCGTCGATGAGTATCGAGAACTCAAGTGCGCAAGGCTGTCTTGGAACCCTTCGTCGCCGAGTGTCATATATCACAAAATCTGTGGGCGCATATACCTCAGACGAAACAAAGCAAAGCATGCGCATATCAAATGGTCTCAAAATGCACCCAAACATAGCGCGGCAGCGCAGAATGCAAGACTATGGCGTATGCAAATAGATGACGCATGGCGCAAGCTTCGAGTTACAGCATGTGCACACCTGTGAACAAGACATGTGGTTCTGCATAGACGCTGAAAGGATACCCATCGTGACAGAGCGAAGGACCTGATGCGCATATGCCTGAAGAACTTCGAATGTGAGTAATCTCTTACGTCGTCGAGCAAACATCATAGGAGTGCTGAGTGATGCCGCTGATGATCAGCTCTGCTTTGTGACCGGTGCTTGCTTGAGAAGATACCTCTCGATTAAGCTGATCACACGAATCAAGAGAGACTTGTGCTATTATTCTGTACGTTCGATGAAAAAGTACTACTTCCACTTCACGGTGCTTCAGATAGCTCAAAGAATCTGTAGGAATAGTAGGGTATCACAAGAACAAGAGAAGACGAGGGCTCCAGGCGAGGTTTAGGTGACCTGCCGCTGAAGATGGCCCGGGAGAGCCCCCTATTCGCCGGTCCACTTAGCGTACCGTCTTCGTCATGGTAGTGACGCAATGCTGCTCTCCTGTTTCTATGAAGGATTCAACTCTTGGATGATAGCACATCATGCTGTCAAATATCCTTAAACATATGCTAGGACTTACAACTCACTATTCGACATTAAGTAGATCATGCAGCGGACCCACGAGCCTTTCCTTAAACACCTAAGTAAAAACAAAACACCATACGTCATCGTCAGCGCCGAGGATGCAGAATTCGACGACATCACGCTCCAAGACCTTCGAGCTGAAGGCTTCGAAACTCACTATGTAGCCATGAACGACGACCCTCCTACACGGTTCGCCGAAAGACTTCACAGGATAGGCAACCAACTCGCGGGCGTGAACGAGCGATTCGCCGTTGTAGGTACATAGTGACCCTCAAAACCATGCCAGTCCCATCCACTTCTTCCTATCTCCAGTCCCACATATCCGTCCAAGATCAACACTCATAGTCTTTCATCCCAGCCTACGGCGACGCAGCCTCCGCCCTCCTCACCCATCACCCAGCCGCCACCTCCCGCTTCAGCGCCCTAATAGCCTACTACCCCTCCACCATCCCCGACCCCACCCGAACAAGCTATGGTATGGACATCTCCATCCTCGTGCACTTAACTGGCACCAATGTCAACATCACCCGCAACCAAGAGGTCCTCGGTATCCAAGGGAAGCGAAAGACAGTCCGCAAGCGCATCGACCCCGGCTTGGGAGTCGGCGGAGAGCTGAAGCTCGCGTATCCGAGCTACAGCTATAAAGGCGTTGAATCGGGTTTTGCGGAGCATGATTTGGAGGAGTACGATAGCGTGGCGGCTGAGGTGGCGTGGGGGCGGACGCTGGGGGTGCTGAGGGAGGTTTTTGGCGTGAAAGTTGATGTGGAGAGGATTAAGGATCAATTTGTCGAAGGTATGTACTGTTGCGGTGACTTGTGGAGTTGGAGTGGCCAAGAGCTCATGGTGAATGAGGTAGATGTCGAGAAGAATCCGCAAAAAGCTCTCGCAAGCCTGCACCCAGAAGCCAAGGTTGTATTCGCACCCACCCTAGCAGGTGGCAGAACTTCCTCCCAGCTCACTCAATTCTACGAAAATCACTTCGCCCCCAGCCCAGCTTCACTCAACGCCCGTCTGATTTCCAGGACAATTGGCACGGATCGCGTCGTTGATGAGATGAGCCTGTCCTTCGTACACGATATGGAGATTCCGTGGCTACTACCACTTGTCTCGCCGACACACAAGAAGGTGGAGATGACGGTGGTGAGTATTGTGAAAATCAGGGGTGGGAAGCTTGAGACGGAGCATGTATATTGGGATCAAGCGTCGGTATTAGTGCAGGTGGGCTTACTGGAACATGGGAAACTTCCTGTCGTGGGGGCGGATGGGGCACAGGCTGTGCTGGGAAGAGATGTTGAACTTAATGGATTATTGGGAGGAGAGGGATGACTGGAGTGAGGAGCTGTAGAGGAGGTGCGTTTCGTTTGATTGGCTGATTTTAAACCTTGTGTCCGTCTCCAATCGCTTCTCAACTACTGTGACTTAGTCTCAGTGTTCTCATCTGTTTGGAATGGTGTAAAATGATTCAGTTTATTCTTCCTATTGCGGGTTCTCGCTCAATTACAAGATCTGAAGACCTTGACTGGGCAGAGGACTCTTGAGGTTTCCAATCTTTTAATACCACTACGCAACAAAATACTATCCAGGCGTCTTTAACCAGATTCACGCGAAAAAGGCACGACTGCTTGCGAGTTCCACCTTGAGGATAAGGTATTCTTGTAGCGAAATCGTGACGAAACATGTACCCAGCGAGGGCTTTTCCTGACACTAAGACATGATATAATGCCTCGCAACTGGATATGAGGATACTTGCAGCCAGCACAGACCGACAGGCCAATCAGACTCTATACCCAACATCAAAATCACATCTCTCACCCTCCTCAAGCAGTCGCACCGCCCCAGCTCGCCGCACTCTGGTTCCCCCCTCCACCCGCTGCCACCGTCCCACCACAAAAGGTCTCACTCCCCTCCCTCTCCCCCTCCCTAAACGCTCCCGTCGTATTATCACAGCACATACCCTCCGGCGGCTCCAAGACCCCCAACTTCTTCCTCACATCCTCAAACACAATCCCCATCGCCTTCCCCCCTCCTCCAGTAGCTGTACAACACGCCGTACTCACATACGTACAATTACACGGACACGCAGCCGGCACGACAGTGGTACTAGGCAGCGCCGGGCCACCACTAGCCGTGCTACTCGCCCCCCTTTCCCCTCCCAGCACTATCGAACTCAATCCCCCACCACCGGCAAGAAGATTCCGCCCAGCCCCAGCCGCTGCCACCGGCGGCGGCGTGCCTTCCACAAGCACCACATCCGCCCCCACCCCCACCCCACCAGCAGAAACATTCCCCACCCCCACCCCGCCAAAGCCCGACACATTACCACTACCATTACCACCATCAAAAACAGCACCAGCGAGCAACCCCCGCCCGTGCGTATAAGCAAAATAACTCTGCTTACAAGTCCCCTGATACCTGGCGGCGCCGGTGCCCTGCCACGCATCAGCGATGCAGCGGCACCAATCCGTCGAACTGCACAGGTTGCTGGGGTTGTAGCAGGATTGGCCGCATGTGGGACCATGCCCTCCACCCCCTCCAACCCCCCCTCCCCCACCTCCAGCGCCGTTGATGGGAGGGGGTTGGACTCCATCGTTGGTATTAGGATTAGGGGAGGGAATGGAGGCGGCGGCGGCGGCGGGGGCAGAAGGAGGCGGATGCGCGCCGGTGTCGAAATTCTGGTCGAGGAAGTCGTAGAAGGCGTCGTCGTTGGATCCGGTGTTGCAGGGCGCGTAGCCGGCTAGGTTTGCGCCGGTGTCGAAATTCTGGTCGAGGAAGTCGTAGAAGGCGTCGTCGTTGGATCCGGTGTTGCAGGGCGCGTAGCCGGCTAGGTTTGCGCCGGTGGTGGAGGGGGAGGGGTCGGAGGAGGCGCACAGGTTTTCGGCTCGCGCGAGCACGTATTGCAGGACTGTGTCCATCTGCGAGTTGGGGGCGAAGAGGGTTAGGAAGAGGTTGTTGTTGTTGCCTAGAAGGGGGAAAGGGGGGTTGTGTTAGTGGGTTTGGGGTGTGATGGGCGATATGGGGTGGGGTGGAATGGGGTGGTGTGGAGTGGGGAGGGGTGTGTGATGAAGATAGAACTGATGGATGGATGGATGGATGGACGGGATGGCTGGGTCTTACCAACTGGGATATGCCCTCCCGACGCAAACGGTTGACTCGCCACCATGCATCTGTCAATGATATTGGTGCCAGGCACCCACATACTTAAGAACGTGCCTGTGTCCCACTGCACCTCGTTCGTGATAGCCAACTTCGGTGTCAGTGCCATCATGCATTGCCCTATAGCCGCAAATCAACCGATACGTCAGCCATGATTGCTTTTCTTCAGACAAAGCAATAGGGGGAAGAGGGGGGGGTTGAATCTGCCTCGTTCATTTCCCCGCCCATTCACGCATGATCGGGGATTACCCGCTTAGCATGGAAAGGGGGAGGAGGAGGGGAAGGGAACCCCCAAGGTTCCTCAGCTGTCGACGTACCATGTGTAGCCACCACCGGCACCCGGAACCATCTCAGGTAAGTCGCGTCATCGACCCCAGCAGGTCTTGGCATCGGGCGCAAAGCGAAGAATTGCTCGAGGTGGGGCAGAGGGCGGTCTGGCCAGCCATTCATGAGCTGGTTGACGAGCCAGTTGCAGTCTGCGGTGTTGGGCGAGCCGTACATGATGCTGCAGGTGGGGATAACTGCTGAGACGGATGTTATAGCTGTAAAGAGGAGAAGGGTTAGTTGAATGGCGATAGATGGTGCCATGACTGAATTCTATCATGGCGAAGGGATATGGTAATGTTCTCTATAGATGACTGAGGAGGAGTTGAAATGATATCTTCGACAACGATCCTTGTTATATCTTTGCTCCATGCTTTCTAAATCGGCAAGAGGGCGGTCGATACCAACACCATATCAACACAGCCACAGCTGCCAACTCTCTCTCCAGTACACATATCAGAATAGTATTGTCATGAAATGTGAGTTATGGACTCATCTGTGGGCTCGTGAAGACTGAAACCCAACAAACACGCCATCTGCACCCGACGGGAGGGCGGGATGTCTAGCCGCATGAAATGATTCAACTTTGACGAGGAGAGGAAGAAAAAAGGGTCGACTGCGAAAGACAAGCCAGCCGGACATAGAAAAAAGAGGTCCAAGAAGCCCATAGCAACATCAGCTCCTTCGAAATGCGTCTACCTCTTGCTTAGACATTCACTCCACAACAGCGGACGTTTTGGACTTAGCGATGCGGCTACACGCTGTGACAGTAGCTAATCCGATTACGCGCATCGCATCGCATGGATCCAACACTTGAATTGAAGATTCGAGACTCATCCGACCCTCAACCTAGATAACAACAAGTTTTTGCGTAAAGAGAAAAAACCTTCCAGCAGGTATGAAAGAAAGTAAGCATTGACGAATTTACATACCTCATAAGAGTCAGGGCAACCAAAGCTCTGGTCTCGGTGTCTAAACACCTTCGCTGCTTTGTGCCACCGTAGCAAACGTCAGAAGAAAGAAACGTACTCCAAGCTCGACTGTAAGTGAGATCTGCAGTTCCCAGCAGCGCCCTTTCCATTCCCAATCAAGTTCCTGCACTCACAACGATCACCCGCCGCAACATCCTCCCGGTTCTACCTACCCCCCTCCTCCTCGTCCCCATCCCCATCAAACCACACAACAACCCCACTCCCCTCCCTCTTCGGCATCGGATTAAAACAATCATGATAAACCATGACATCCCTCTCAAACCTCGTGTCCCCATCCAACCTCATCCCGCGGCCCCCCTCCCTCCCCGCTTCCCTCCCGCGCCCCCCCTCCCTCCCCCCTTCCCTCCCACCACCCCTCCCAAACCTCCGAAACACACTCGCAATAGTCATCACAAACTCGGCCTTCCCCAGCTCCATACCCACGCACTGCCTACTGCCCCGACTAAAACTCGCCAGATATTTCAAACAATACTGTCCATTCGTCTCGAACGGCAACCACCTATCCGGATTGAACCTATCGGGCTCAGGCCATATGGCGGGATCTGCGTGCAAGAGGGGCGATGACATGCCCACAGGCGTATTCGGCGGGATGGTGTAGGCGTGGTACTGGATGGTGCGATCGGGGAAGACGCGCTGCAGCCGGTGCGAGGCGCCGTAGGAGAGCCGGATGGATTCGTACATGAGCGCGCGGAGGTACGGGAGATTCTCTAGGGTCTGCAAGGGCGGGATGGAAGCGGGGTCGGGGATTGCGGCCTCAAGCTCGGCCATTAAGGCGGTGAAGATCGCGGGGATCGTGAGGATGTGGTAGGTAGCCCACTTGAGCGCGTGGGCGGTCGTCATGGTGCCGGCGGCGATGGCGTTGACGGAGTTCATCATGAGGCGTTCGGCGGTCTTCTCGGACTCGGGCAGAGCCGTGGAGGGCTCGATGAAGTGGTGCATCATCGATGGTTTGTGCGTGGACTGTTTCGTGGAGAGCGTCTCGCGGTTCGCGACGATGTGGTCGGCTTGTTCCCGCAACGCGATTTGCATCGCGATGATCGTGTAGACGTCCGGTGCCGTAAGCTTTGTGAGCCACAAGGGGAAGGAGTTGAAGAAGGGGACCAGCAAGGGGAATTGTTTGAAGACATGCTGCATTTCGGACGCTTTCCGCCAGGCGTCGTGTTGGTCGCTGCGGAACTCGCGCGAGGACAGCAGGTTGAAGGATTCGGGGAAGCAGACTTCCGAGATGATGTCGGCGGTCAGGCAGGAGTAGGCGTAGATGAGCTTTGCGGGGCGGTTGGAGGCGCGGTGTTCGGCGAAGCGGGTACAGAGGGTGTCGACGGTGCTTTGGATGAAGCCTTGTAGCTTGTACATGGACTGTTTGGAGAAGTAGGGGTTCCATGCTGCCCTTCGGACGCGGTGGATGTCGTGGTCGACGGTATCGAAGAGTGATGTTTCGTTCATGCCCCAGCTACGGACCTACTTGATTTCAGCAGTCTTCTGGAGCACGGTAGAGTGCTCAGAAAGGCAGAGGTCAATACATACAGACCAGCCATATTTGTTGACTCTGTGTTTCTGACCACTGACGTAGATCTCGTCGATGAAATCTGAGTCGTTGATATGAACTTCCCACGGACTGATACGGATGATTGGACCTGAGGTTATGGTCATCTTCTGGTCGAATTACATGGGTCGGACATCTTACCGTATTTCTTGTGATAATCTCCAATCTTGAAGGTGTATCTTCCACCGAGAACGACATCATAATAGAACTCGACCCAGAGTGTCGCGGCTGCAAGCTTCGGGCCGGGGATGTGAGCGATTGGACTCAGATACAGTCGCCAGAAGATACCATAAATGGTGTATAGCAGCAACAAGGATGAGTTCAGGATGAAGAAGCCCCAGAGCGCGGGGACTGCGCCAGGAGATGCAGCTTCTGCTGCCATATCGCAGCTGGCGGACTTGCGTCGAGAAATCCCACGCCCTTCAAATCGAATACCTGATGGCGCCCTCTCTCTGTAGAGATGACACGGAGACAAGCTATTCTAAAGTGAAGGTAAAGAGTTGGATGAATGATCAGAGGCACAGTTACCTGAGCCGGCTAGTCCTGGCGAGTTTGGTGGGGCAATGACGCTTGGTCCTTGGGGGCCACAATCCGGCCGACAGTTAGTCCCGGTTAGCGACAGCGGACTCATGCGTCCCGCATCCCCGGGTTGGCTCTGGCCATCTCCGCGCCGTGAGTGACAGGAAGGGGACTCTTAGTGCTGGTCAGCGTTATCAATGGGTCTATTTTAAGACGTAACAAGAATTGGATCGAGATTGGTTTTGAGAGCAGGTGATTGTAGGAAGTAAACAGTAGTCAAGTCGAATTCTTGCTTTTTGGCCATATGAGGGATGTCTGCACGCTGGTTTCAACACGTAAATGCCGTGAGAGGATTACATATCCTATCGGCATCACATCTCGATTGGATGGTCGGCGGCACTGATCTTGAGAGCGAATACGTGTTCGTTGCCAAGTTTCTCAATCTTCATCCCGCGAGAGAAATGTAGTATGTATGGCTTGGGAGGCGAAAGCTTCAGGTCATAAGCAATCGTTGTGGCGCTGACATGGATGTGGATCAAGGCTGGAGCCAGGTTGGGACGCGGTAAAGGCAGATGCAATCAGCTTGTCTCTAATGTGCTTCGCATCTATCTTCTGCTATTGCAATGGGGAAACTGGAATGGATCTCCATAACATCGTCTTGGGTGAGGGGCGGGCCTCTTCTTCGTTGGCGATGGGATTGAGATTCATCATGGCGGGTATCATGTCTCACTGTTTGTTTGAGTTGACCTACCACCCACGACATTGCATTCAGACCTAATTGCTGAATGCTCAATGGTTAGAACCGGCCTGGCAAGAGTAGGCGCTGTGTGGGCAATGGAAATTGAGGAGGAATAAACCATTGCGCACAAATTGTTGATATCTTCCGAGACAATGTCAATTGAAGGCCAGAGATGGTGAGCCCGATTCTCTGCGCTGGAAGCGTAAGGCTTCGGTAGGTGATTCGTCTGCAGGTGTTTCAGTCATTTAATAGAGCGATGTCCAATTGTTTTCAGAAGGAAGCAATTATACTCGAGTGAGTCCTTTTCGGACTGTCTGCATACTGCGACAATGGATCGGTCGAAGGCGCTCAATGATGCGCATAACGCTCTCCATGCTCGGGGTGTCTGAGAGTCGCTCGCAGTGTCTCACGAAGCTGTCTCTGGCATGCATGGCGGAGAGCTAACAAAATCCCATGTTGTTGACCTTGAAGCCATGCCATCGCGAATGCGTCATGAATTGGAAATGTTGGGTCTCAAATTTGTTGCTGTCGTTGCTATTTGTTTCTGAAGGCGATGCGTTCGCCATCGTGAACTGCACACGAACGTCCTCAGCACTCAGGGGTAATCCAACGTAGTTTATCATCAAAGTACCCCAAATCAGGTCTATCGCTTACCCACATCAGCACCTACAAGATCAAAAACTCCAACATGAAGCTCTCCGTCGAAGACGTGCAGGATGCGCACCCCATCGACCGCGTCAACGGCCGCGTAACCCTGCTGAAAGCCCTCCAGTTCGTCTGCACCTTCACCGAGCCTGAGGCCGGCTTCCTCGACGCCTTCGACTTCCATCACGGCGGCGTCAGCTTTGACCTCATCAACGGCCCGCCCGAAGGCGGCTCAAGAACCTTGGATTGGAATGATGCTTGCAATATCATTAGAGGCTTTCTGGGCTTCTGGGAGAATGTGGTGCAGGATTTCGAGGAAATGGAGTTTTTGGTTCTTAGAGGGGGAAAGGTGATAGGGCATGGGGATGTGGAGGATGACGATGAGGGGGAGAGGCCTGTGGCCGCTCAGGCGGTGGAGAAAAGGACGCGTAGACGCAGAGATTTGGACATGTCATGCCGCAGGTGACGTGGGAGAGTAGCCCCTCTCCAATTGTACTTTGAGCCAAACAAGCAGCCATCTTTGTACCCCGAATGAGGACCCCAACAAGACGCTGCGTAGGGCCACTCAAGCCTGGCATTCTTCCTCACCGCTCAAAACCACGCACTCATGCAATGCTCTACTGGTGGTAGTTCCATAGACAACGAGTGTTCACATGCATTCACCAGCAGCATTCAAGCCCAAGGTCCTTGGACCGAAGGGATCCTTCTACTCCATGCTCTTCCATTCCTCGTGTCGTTCCCCTCCAGCCATGTTCAGAGGTGTGAGACCCAGTTCATTTTATCTCAGCTCTTGCTACAAAAGGCATGCGCGTCATTGCGCTTGCTCGCCTCACGCGTGTTGCGCTTTTTCAATCATGATTGGGCATGTATCTCATCTTGTCTTTGCTTGGCTTCGGAGAGGACCGGCATTGAGGAGGCAGGATGTCAAACAAGGCTGGTGGGGGAGGGAGATTGATGAGCGAGCTCAGACGAGAAAAGGTTGGTGTTGTGACTATTGACGCGTGAGAGGAGGATAACTTTCTCAGGTCGTGGGCTGGAGGGAAGGGAGGCGGAGGCGCGGGAGGAAACTGATACGGCTTTTTCGTAGAGGCTGAAGTCAGCTAGACGCAATGACCTTATGACGCTTGTGGACTGTTATCTGTCATGCGCTTGACGGCAGGATATGGGCGGGGTGTGAGGTCAGTAGGGTTGATGACGATTTCCATGTTTACAGTCTTCCTTATCTCCGTGAGATTATCCTTTAAAGCCGAAATTGCTCCATTCTGATTCTTCTGGAGCCGCAGGTTCATCGAAACTGTAACCTTTCGTTTTCTTTCCTTTTTTCTTCTTACTGCTGCCAAATCCCCATCCATCTGGAGTCGCTTCAACAATTTCTGCTTGCGGAGCAGCTTCCAGGATTACATCCTCTTGGGCTGTGGGCGTTGCAAGTTCGGGTGGAGGTTCCGTATCCTCGACTTCTTCATCTGTTGCGATGTGAACAGGGCTCGGAGCCCTCGAAATCGAACCAGAATCTTCGAAAGACGCATGTTCATTGGTACCTAGAAACCGCCGTCAGTGGCTACAGGAATCTGGTCTTCGGGGCGAACCTGAAGCATGCTGTCGACCGAAGCGATTGAGTATGACAAGACCATCATTCAGTGTCCCTACTTTCTCTTGAGTGCGTCGCCTCTCTAGCTGTGAAGCCTCGGTCTCTCCCGCGATTGAGTCGACCACAGTATCTTCGAGCTTCAAGATTTTCTCTGGCGAGAGTACGTCCGTCAACTGATCCAAAACGCAGTTCTCGACGGCAAGCACTGCAAAATTATCTACAAAGACTTTCATCGCAACCTAGAGATCATGTCAGCTGCTACCCTCTATAGCTACGCCTGATACGGTCAGAAAAACGTCTAACCTTGTAATAAGCTTCCATGCAATCACTTGCTTCTGAACACGCATATCGATCCATGTTCTTCTCGGACGGTTGGCCTAGCGAGTCGACTAGTGCTCCGGTGTCAAATTCGCTTGGGTCGGTGACATGCTGTGAAGTGCCAACGGTACGACAGCCGAAGAATTTATTGATGCGGCGAGTCTGATAATCTTTTCGAAACGCACGACGGGCGTCTTGGATAGTCTCGGTGAAATAATGATTGTAGGTAATTGGATGACCACGTTGATGGGGTCGAATCAGCTCCTTTACCTTGTCATGCAGCGTCTGCGAACAGCCTTCAACAGCTGGATACAGCAATTCAGTGAGAAGACCTTCCGAAGTGGTCGAGTCTGCGGTAACATCTATCATCAGCTGCAAGGCAGTCTGTATAGCTTCGAGGATCCGTTTGCAGTACTTCTCCGCAAGCTTTGCCCAGGGTTTCGACTGCTCGAAGAACAAGTCGCCGATGATTAAAGGATTGAATGTCCCGGGTAGCTCACGCCCCCGACTTCTGCTCATTAGCTTTCCTACATGATCGAGATAATCTGATCTGTTGATTTTGTTAGTATCATGTAGGTTGCTTCGAGATTCGCCGTCCACAATGACTTGGCTTTTGCCTTTCAAGCGCACATCTTCCGCGAACTTCAACAAAAGATTGTTGACACTCGCTCGAAGTCTCTTGTTGTATCCATCGTCTGTCATTGCATCCCCAAAGAAGTCGTCGGCGTACACCCCGTCGATAGCGGCCTTAATCAGACTAGAGAATGTTTGACTGACTCGAACCAGGTACAATCGCCGCTCAACAATCGTTTCTCGTGCGACTCCAAGCTTGCTCAGACGGCTGTCACAATCGCGAATGCCGCTCTCAACATCCGCAATTAAACTTGGAAGCACTGCTAGAATTTGATCTCTCAAGACATTGCTCAAGCGAGACTGTAATGGCTTGATACCTAGAGAGGTCGCTGGAAGAGATGTCCAGATGCCATGTGCGAAGAATTTCTCCTCTTCAAGGTCGCGCTGTGCAACGGTATGGTCTTTTGTGTCAAAATCTCGGTTACGTAGCACGTGCCAGCCAAGTCGAAAAGCTACATCATCATTTCTGGCAAGACCAAAAAAGGATCTCTCACTATCAGACCCCGGAAGAAGTGTATCGGGTTTCGTGATGATACCCAAAGTTCGGGCGCCGTTCAAATCGTATTCACGGGCCATGTCAGTCACCAGTTGGTTTGCGTAGTCATTCTTTGCAGTCACTACGGCGAGTATAATGCTCCTTTTATTGGCCATGTACGATCGCACTAAGTTCTTCACCAGAACAGCGTCCTCAGCAGTCTGTTGCTTGTTTGGAGAGTGGAAAAGACCTGGAAGATCGACGAGTGTGAGATGGGGTTGAGTTGGACTAGAAAGCTCAATCCGAAGGATATCCTCACTGAAGCGCATGCCTTCAGAACTCAGACCCATAGCATTTTTGGCTGCTTCGATGAGATCTGAGAGTCTATCAACATCAGTGGTCGGCGCTTGGAAATCAGATAGTCTCATCTTTTCTTCGGCGCTTCGCTCTTCGCTCGGTCGGATCTTGACGCTGACGCTTGTCGCTGGGTCACGACGAAGAATCAATTCTGTCGCAAAGCGAGTGCAAAGAGTTTCTTTCGTGGGGAATCGGACACCTGATATGGCCTCAAGCACGGAGCTCTTGCCAGAGTTTTGATCACCGCAGACCACAAGCTGGGGGAGTGGCACATGACGGTCCATCCCCAAGGAACGCAACTGGTCGATGACATCAAGAAGTTGGCCATGATCTTTCGACTGCAGTATTGGAGGCTGCATCGAGTCACTCTTGTCGTTGCTGTCACCCATGACTCAAAGTGTCACAAAATAAAGTAGCTGAAATGTTCAAGTCAGCGACGGATCTTGCTCGAGTTATATCGAGCAACAGCAACATTAAGATCTCTTCAGAGCACCTATTGATTGCGACACTAGATCAGGTTTCTTGCTTCTCTTCACAACGTCGATAAGGCAGCAATGTGGGCAGCCGTCATGAACGCACGGACTATCCACTCCTGCCTTCCTCTTCAGCCAAAAATGAAGCGGGAGCTTCTACGCGTGGCTGCCAATAGCCAAAAAAATTGCCCCACCATCTGTACGTTTTAGCCTGATGCAGCTAGAGCCATGCATGAGGACGAGTATGGTAATGACTTGTCACTGCACACGAGGAATCCTGCTTTGAAGGTCGCTGCTGCCTGCTTCAAATTTTCGTTGATTGGAGGAACCTCATTCTATTGCAGATGGTAATCTCATTGATATCGATCCGGGTGGTCGGGCTGATGTCTTTGCCTACGCCGTTGTTTTTGATTGGAAAATGACGTAAGATGTGTCTACTTGGGACAAAGATGCTGTAGGAGCTTCTTGGTCTCGAGACATATTTTAATTGAACTCGCGGTAGGATTTGATCAGAAGAGCTTGCCACCATCCAATGGTATTGATGCATATATACCATGAATAGAGGAAACAACTACCCAGAACAGGAAAAAATATTGAGACTGACTGTGTCCAAGAAAGGGGACCTACCTGGCGTGGTGAAAGCATTTCAGCCCAATGATCCGCATTCTCCGGTCAGTCAGGGAATTACTCATGGGGCTATATCTAGTGATGCATACGATACCATTTTTCATCTGCAGTATTTGGGAACTGGCCCTTGATACCCATTTGAGAAGAAGTCTATTTTGTTGTGAAACACAGCTGTCAACTTTTGTGACATATAGGCCATCATTTGATGACGAAGATGCGTGTCCAGCGATACGCCTTCGCGACATGTTTTCTGACCGCAGAAAAGTATAACAATGACCATAGACGCATCAAGATTGTAAAGATATCGTACCATCCTAGCGATTGAACTCAATTTCCAGTTAAGAAATAGATGGACGCTTGCGGCCGAATGTGCGGCAGCCGCATGTCGTACGTCGGGACCCACGAATTGCCTCTTTTTGATTTTAGCAATGAAGCTCTCCCGGGCTTGCGATCAAGAGATTCAGAGTATCCTTCAGTATCGTGTCGGTCGAGCCAAACTCACGGAAGGCTCCAGCTTCTAAGCGGTATCCACGACGAGCGCCGCAGCCGAAAGCGAGTCAAGATGGACGCGAAGCCACCTACTGTAACCCACGATCTCACCCCAGTGCTCGACCCCCAACATCGCTGTCCGGACACCACGCATAGAGCCTTTGGCTGATGGCGTCTTCAGATCGGAGGCTAGACGCAACTCGAAATCAAGGGCGCGAATCTACAACACTAGGACGTTGCGGTCTGTGGGCAAGCGCTTTACGGTTGCTAGCAGACCACAGGCTCTAATTGGGCTGCCAATAGATGTATCGGGCATGATTTAACGACGCAGGGGCAGGCGTCTTTCAGAAAGGATGGTCTGAGTCCAGTGACGGGGTCCGGGAATGTGACGCTGCGTGAGGATGCGACCACAAACTGGTAAGTAGATGCTGGGAGGAGAGTGGATGATGGGCGTGGGGCCTGGCTGTGTTCGAATGTCGAGCGCAAGTTCGGTGTGCCACTCAATCCAGGCTTGAGTAATAGATTCAATCGTGTGGTGGTGAGACATGAACGAGCTGAAATCCTGAGACCTGAGTAGATTCTTTTGCCTAGTGACATGGGTTAGGACTAGTCTCTATATATCCCTAGGGAATGGAATAAGACATATATGTTCTTTTTAGTCGGGGTTTGTTTCCCAGATCTTCCTCTCACAAAACCCTGAGATCGAACACGAGCTTGGCAAATCGTGCATTTAAAACCCTCGATGGATAGTTCCTTGAAATACGCAGGAAATACGCCGAGAATGAACCATCCCTATGTATCAAATTTCCAGAGCCGCACACTCGTCACCAAGAGTTTGTGTTCAACTCTCAGCAGTCCAGATGATACATAAAGCTCAGCTTCAAGAGCGAAGCTATCGAGAACCGACTCAAGACTGCTTCTATCGATGACGCTCGCAACTATTTGCACGAACAAAACGTCAACAGGCCTGCACTGCGTCAGAAACTCGAAGAGTCATACAATATATCGGTTTCTATAGCCGCGCTCTCATCCCTGATACTGTGACGGGAATGAACATACTTCCAGAATGCTCTAAAAGTAGACTACTATCTTATCAGGGGTGTGGGTAGGGAATGATGTTTGGGCTTCTAGGAGGGTGGTTGAGAAATTGATGGGGGCGAAGGGTGAGAGTAGGGAGGCGGAGGTTTGGACGGGGGGCACTATGTGTGAGGAGCCGGGGAAGAGAATTGAGCCAATTGAGGTGATTGGAATACTGCAGGGCTTTGAGGGATAAAGGGGTAATGACTCGAACTATTTCTCCAGGTGAGACCGCCTTGCCATACGATTGTTGTAGCGCCAAACTTTCATAGGTACTCAAAGAGCCATATAATGTTCTTGGCGATGGATACCTGAGCTTACTTATTGGTGTCATGGGCGAGGAAGGCTCTAGAAATAACAAGTCTCAGCCGATAGGTCCGCTTGTAGCTGACAAACACATCCGAAAGACCCGTGGAACGGAGAAGCGGTGAATCTCGACCAAGCCAACGTGAGTCCCTGCCAAGAAAAGTGCTGTGATGCTGTCATCGGGCCTGGGTGTGCCTCTCGCTTTAAAGCATGCATTGTAAGACAGAACTCGAGGCCTTTTGTTCGCGTGCTGCGAACCATATAAAGATGCGTCGCTCCGGGGAAAGGCCGTTCCAAAATCGTTAGATGACCGCGGCCTGCTTGCACGTGTGCTCGAAATTCCGGCTGCAGAGTACGGAAATCCAACAGAACACGGAACTCCGAGCAGATTGCTTCAATATACCAAATCCTGGTAAGCCACTGTCGCCATGCTTCTCGCGTCACGAATCAACACTCGTGAATGACAATGGTGGCTTGCCTCCTCACGCAGGCGGCTGCTCAAGATGCGAAGCACCAACTTCCCTTGTCAGCAACATCCCCAGCATAAAATAACCCGACAATCCTCACCTCCATTAGCAAAAACCTGCCCAAACTCATCAATCTCCTCCAACCACATCTGATTCCTCCTCCCCACATCCTCCGTCCCATTCCTAATCCCCATCATATCCATAACCGTATGCGGATTCGTCCCCCACCTCAACTTCCACTTCAAATACTCCCTCAACCACTCCGTCTCCTCGCTCGCCGCCCACAGCAGCTTCGGCGACGGCGTCGGCATGAACGCGATCTCCTGGCAATTAAACTGCGGATAGTCGTTTAGCACCGACCAGCACCACATCATGGTGTGCGTGAGCAGCATCACGCGCCGTTTGGTGTCGAAGTAGATCCATTCGCGGTAAGTGGGGATTTTGTCGCGGGAGGAGGTTTCGGCTTTGAGAACCAGCCCCGTGGAGGCTAGGTGCAGGCATAGGTCTTGCAGGGCCAGGATCACGCGTTGGTCGTCTTTGTGGCTGCGCTGCTTGCTTTGACCCCCGGCGAAGAGGACTTGGATTGCGTAGAGGCTGTAGGCTTGCGCGGCGGCTAGGAGTTTTGGCTCGTCGTACGTGGTGTACTGTGGTAGGGGTCAGAGGCTGGTGGTAGGTATCTCAGCGGGTTTCTCGATCAACGGGTGGCTTACGGCGAGGATCAGGCTGTCCATTTCTTTGGTCAGGGCACGCGCGGGATCGCCCATTAGACATGCAATTTGGTCCTGCGAGGCTTTTAAGATCTCCTGGCATTTGGTGAGGAAGGGATGGGTTGCCGCCTCATCCTGGGACGAATGAATGAACGGCGGCCTCTGTTCATTGGCGTACATGCGAGCATACGAGCGGAAAATTCTGATGGTGAAGTTGGCGACATATCTTGTATTGTAGTCAATAGCTTCTTTGGAAAGAGTGTCGACTATTGAGGGCGCGTATGAGCTACGATCTTGTTCTACAGCTGCGTTGAACTGAGCATTGGTGTCAGGAAAAGGGGGATCTTCAAAGCTGTGATCTGCTTCCGATGACCCATTGTACGCCGAGGGAGAAGTGTAGCTCGCTAGCTCAGACGGTGTATTTCGCACGTGGCTCCTCTCTTGATTACTGGAGTATATGCAGTCTACGCCTCGTCCAAGGCACCTTGCGCAGCTGGGACGTGAGAGGTCGCAGCGGACCTTGGCGTGCGCACAGCTCTCACAAGCCTTTCGCCGCCCAGGTTTGACTCGCTCGGTCAGACATCGCTTGCTGTGTCTGACCAATGATGACCCTGGTTTGGTCAATCAATTCTTGTAGAAATACTGTTGCCAGACGCACGTTGTGAGAACTGCCTATTGCATCTCCCGCAATTTAGATCTTGCACCTCAATTGCCATTGAGAAAATATCAGTACGTTTGCAACTCGTTTCAGCCTCTTCGGATGTCGATTTTGTGGTCGGGATGACACGGTCAATTGCTTAGGTGCATCTAAAGAAAGAAAGTGGCGCACCGAGGGCGTCGTGCCAATTTGTGCCCAAGGGCGCCAAGATGGTCATATGCAGGGCCATTTCGCCGATGCACCACGAGAAGCGGTGAGTCGTTTAGGGTGGGGATCGTCGTACTTAGTCTCACGCCAGGCATGCAGGTTCATGCGGCTCCGGCATTCATTGTCCTGGGTAGGAAGAAAGCTCGGAGGATACGGAAAGTAACGAACGTGCTTCAAAGGGACATTTACTGAAGTTCTCTTCTACGAGATCCGGAAATGGAGCTTGTGTGATAAAGCTCTACCGGACTATCTTCCGACATGCCAAACACTGGTAGGCCTGCTTCGGAGCCAACAAAGTTTCGACAATCGAACGTGTGTTTTTCCTGAGGATGAGAGTGCTCACTTGGAAAGCAGAAATAAAAGCTTTGTAAGCGACCGACAGGTCAGCGCGGATCGATGTCCAAAAAGGGGGCCTTCAGATATCCGTGGGTACCACAAGATTTTGTAATACTCACTCCCAGAGTCTCGTCTGTACATCTAGTTGCGTTTGGTGATAATAATATATCGGAACCACTAAGACGTTGAATGGGTCTGTCAACATCCAAGTGCTGAATTAAGTATGAACATTTCCGGTGTACCAAGACGGTAGATTGGTTGGTCTTAACGATAAACGACTTATTCATAGTCTTCTTCATATCAGAGTACAGTCGAGTTCAACAGCCTTGAGTCAATCGAGCCTATCAATAGAGGTAACCTAGATGCAAAGCATAGAATGTACGATGAAGCAATTATTTTAGTTTTCATCACACTCACTTGACTGCAGACTCCCTGGATCTGAGTCACTTAATTCCGCGCTCAATCTTTTTGAGACACAGCTCACCCCTTCAGAGGGGCCAATTTCTATGTCCACAACCCACGTCCATTGCTCAATAAAACGAGGGTACATAGGGTCGCCACGACTGAACATAGAGTGGTAGACGTCTTCTCTTCCGAGGTGTAAGGTCACGCATAAGACCTCAAGTTTGCCGAAGGGGATTCGAAGGTATCTTACCATGTTGGCCAACTCATAAGAGTCATTGCAAGCTTGATCTCCAGCTGAGATACAGAATACGAACCTAGGGCCCATGCCCGAAGGGCCAGATAGTACCTCCAGTTTGATTGCTCTGCCATCGGTTTCGTGCCGCCAATGGAAGAGTTTAGAGAAAGAAGATACAAATGAGGAGATGATGCCGTTACCATTGGCAAGGACCCTGTGTGCCCTCGTCCCGTCATATGGGTGGTAGGGCTCGAAAGAGAACTGTTCTTCAAAATTTTTCGCCAACTTGATGTCCATGCGTTCCACGCTCGTCAGGGAAGGGGTACCTGGAATGGTCATATTTCGATCTTCGAATGTAGTCTTGATTCCGAGATAAAAGGTGTCTGTCAATAGGGATATCATATGAGCACCCTTATCAAAGAACATTTGGTCAGGATGCAGTCTCCATACAGCCCCTTGGTCTTTTGGGTTGGAGGGGTCCAGGATAAGCATGTAAGGTTTCACATTGGGATCAGACAGTCGTGCGCATGCAAACACAGCGCAGATTGTGTCCGGATTCATAGAGCCCAATGATGTCGGAGAAAGCGTATTCCCATCAAGCGTCTCGTACTCGTAAGTATTTTCGCTCAGTATGGATAATATTTGGTAGTCCAATTGCATTTTCAGACCCATATTGGTCAAAGAGTACGGCTTTACCCGGTGATATGGAATTCTAATGATCTCGCCGGACTCAGCAAAATCAGCTGGAGAAGTTGCTAGAATGCCGCTAATGCCCATTGATGGATTCTTCCAAGCAAAAATGGTCTCATCACTCGAAGATCTGATGATCTCGGCCTGTAACCGAGCAAACGCTTTCATACCTTCACCGTATAGCAAAGGCATGTTCACCTCAAAAAGACCTATCAGGCTGTACGCAACGTCTTCAGTCCTAGTAGTCTTTCTCGATGAAGCCCAAGATATTCTTTGGGCAACACTGGCTGCGGCGGGATCATCGATATGTTCATGGCTAATCCCCGTAATTGAAGAGATTTGACTCTGCAATTCCTGCCGAGTGCCAAAACTCACCCAGTTTCGATCGTAGAAGATTACGTTCGAAGGTGCTAGAAGTTCTTGAAGGGTCCAGCCACGTCGAAACCACCTACATTCCTCGATCTTTGGGGTAATTTGATCCGGTGGGCAGTCTTTCCCAGCGTATTCATGCGGCTCTGGTGCAAAGTCTGCCAGGTAGGCATAGCAGACTTGAGCATCCGCATACCATCTAAACATTGAGTTGATAGCCTCGGATAGCTCAGCACTGCTTGTTTTGTCAATGCAGCAGGTGTCAGCCCAAGCGTAATCGAAGCCATCCTGGGCCGCCAATCCACAGAACTTTTGAACCTTAATGTAGCCGTCCAATGTGGCTGATTCAGGTAGGCAAAACTTTTGGAACGAGACCTCCTCGGATCCCCAGGTATGAGAGAGGATTGTATACTCGGGTATATCTTCTCCGACGAATTCCACCAGCTCTAGAGTGGAGGTTTTGATGAGGCGCATGTTCTTCCTCAAGGCGGTCAAGCAGTCACTTGAGGACAAAAGCGACCCTTCTGAGTGCGACCGCAACTACAATGAGCCTTGAGCCTAAATCTTTTGCCGTCCGGCGTTTTACTTTGTAGTTTGCAAGATACTTTCAGTCACGGGTAAAGTGCGCTTGACAAATCAGAAGCGTGTTGAGAGTCTCTAGCATCAACAGTGCGTATGTCTTCTCTCACCCAAAGATAGTTGGCGGTCCCTCGCTGACGGCGGAGGAGGGAGTGGGACGGAGAGCAAGACGAAGCGCCAAGACCTTAGTACTTGCTCGGACTTTACGGACTTTACAAGGAATCACGTGCTAGAGGCTGGCTGCCCACTTGCTGACATTCCACAAAACATTGCATTTGCCGGTACAAGTCACCTCCAAGGTGTCGAGTTTGAAGACACTGAGGCACTGTCATCAGATGTGATGAAGGGAATGACTTGTCGAGACCAGACTGTGAGCTAGTAACCCTTTTCATAGGCATTTTCTTGGAGGGCAAGGACGACCTCGGCAAGGTATTTGACCGCTGAGCTTAGATCGTGTCTTTGAAGGCAGAAGACTGTACTCCAAAGCTGCCCTCTTCAAGCTTCCATATGGAGTCCTAGCAAACATCTGTGGTCACATCGCCAAGAGCTCACTTGCCTCGCTCGCTCTCGTCGATTTGTATCCGCCTGGATTGGAGCTTTGCTTCTTTTGACATCATCGGAAAGCTTCTGCGAGAAGCTAAAGAACGCAAGGAAAATGGAGGCTTGACAGAACGACACGCTTTAGGGCCGTGCATACGTCGCATCCTGGTGGCCGCTGATAGCAGATGGATCACCTATTATTACGGAGTTGAGCTGGGTCGGAATTTCTGCAATCTTCCAAAATCCGAGCAATCCCAAAAAATGGCAGCGGCACGAAAAGCCTGTTGTCGCGTCCACCTTCGAAGCATAGAATCTGTACTGTCGGATCGCACTGCTATTCTACAACTGGAGGCTTTGGAATGGCGGGATAGAGTCAACTTTCAGCCCTCGTTCTTTGAGTTTCTGAAAGATCCATCCATCCCATGGCTTCTGGAACGAACGCACAGGGTGAGAATAGGCAGGCTGCCTTCTTGAGCGCAAAGAGGGATGGCTGCTACACACTGCTGGGAGAAATGTTTGGATGGAAGGGGCTATTTCGGGCTGACTAGTGTCTCATGCATTTGCGTGTACTACGGCGCAAGTCAGACGTGACTTGACCCGGCTAGAAGTCATTATAGTAATAAATGCGCGACTTTGGGACAACGATGTGTGAGAAGAATCTCCTCACTCTTCGAGACCTTCACATAAATTGCAGTTCAACCAATGCCTTTCATATCATCAAGTCAGCCTCCTGCAGCATTCACTCGTAGCGATTTGTGGAATGTCCTACACTTGCTACTTCGACCAGCCATGTGGCTCCGACAACAGCTACAACTTTCCTTCTGGGCAATTTCCCACAATACACCACGCTCTCGCCTTCAAGACTTTATATGGTGACACTCGGCACGAATTTACTATTATTCACAACACTAATCTATCGCTTCTTCATTATGTCTCAATGCGTATCCGCTGCCTGATGACATTGAACATGTACATGGAATCACTTCACAACGCCTGCTATGCTGAAACGTCTACTACATTCACTTTCCCTCCCACTACACCACGAGCAAGTGTCCGACTTTCGCAGCCACCTTCTAGGCCTTGGCATGCAATCATGCAAATCGTCGCATGCACCTTCTCTAAACGAGACGGATTACCTGCCGGTGAAGCTATCTTATCCTATTCACCAACGATCATGTGGCGTAACGAATTTTCCGCTATCACCGAACCAACCGCAAATTCACTAGTTGCGGCTGTTGACGGCCCTTCCAGGCCCTCGGCGCGGAAAAGTGGGTCGTACGGTATGGCGCGATGGGTGACACTGGAGGACTGTGGTTCGCAGCGGGATAGCCAGCTTGGTGTGCGCAATAGTTGACTGCATGGGAATGCAGTCCCCATCACCTACATAGCACCTCCTATCGCATTGATGCATTGCTCTAACGTCCCCCTTCGCATCGTCATTGTGGTGGTGGGCTGGCGATGAGGGGTGGCTGCCACATTTGCCAAAGGAGATTACGAAGAGGGTGAACCACTGAACCTCATTTCATTCACGCGTAGATACGCGTAAGTCGGTGGGGTCATGGCGCGTTGGTGCAGCCGAGCTGCGAATTGGAGGTGGTGTAAGTGTGTTAGGAGTGTTGCAATGTGTTGAGAAGATTTACATGGACTAGACTGTCCGGCCCCCCATTTTTCCCCCAATTTCTGTTTTCTTCTTCTGTCTTCCTCCATCGTCGCACCACTATCGTTCTGACTCATCTTTCTCTCACAGATCATCGATTGTACATCGTCAAAGCTGTTGAAACTTAGCGACAGTCATCATCTTACTTCACCATTCACAATCTAGCTTTGCAATCCAATTCTGCCATTTCATTTTGCCATCGAACTGAAAGCCATCACGGTGAAGGGCCACAATGCCGCTGAGTCCTGTCGTTCGCGGGCTACTGTGGGTGGGTAGCTACCTCCTAACGTCTTTTCTCACCTATGAACTGTGTAACAATGGTCTTGCCATCATTCCCGGATACGGCCTCCTCGTCAATGAACCTGCTCCTGTTACAATGCCTGATTTCTCCAATGGTATTTTCGAAGAGCTGTATAGAGTTCTACATGAAATGCCTACCTCATCGGAAGATTCGAATATGCCCATCGCTTCATCGATCACATTAGCCTTCAACACCACGTTTCCTCTTGCCAACACTCTAGATCAAGAGTACGACTTGCCACAGAACTCTCTTCGCGATACCAACGATACATTAGCCGTCGGCAAACAGCCACAAATTGATGTCTCCGCCACTATCAACATGTCTATTCATGACTCGAACTCTGCGAAGCAGATGCTCAAACACAAAGGCAAAGCCATGAGAATCTTACTTCTCATTACCAGTTACTACAAAGTTTTTGACGACTTCATCAATGAATCAACCATTCTAAAGCCAATTTTCCAGTACACTATGTTTATGACAATCAGAGCCATCCATTCCGTGTTCTACCACAAGCTGCTCCTCGTCAGCGTTTGGGTAGAGAAGCATCTTCGTCAAAAATTCTCAACCGCTACAGAGAAGACATTTTCTTGGGATTTCTGGAGATACAGCGACAAGAGCATGTTTTCCATAATCAAAAGAAGAGAAAGAGGGCATAATACAAGCAAGACCGAGGATTCTCAAGACCGAGGCACCGACTCTTCCGTCACGCTATACGAATCTGACACCACTGGAAAGGAAATTGGACACAACGAGTGTAGCCCTGATCACAAATGCTCACAACCGGCAGCCCATGATACGTCGACTTCAGTGACCACCCTGGATCATGATTACCTCGGTCTGCAAGGAGACGTAGCTCTGTCTGATGACACTGATCCAGTGTCACACTCTCTTGGCCCATCAAATCAAATATTCGAAAAGCAACGTCGCAACGATGAATTAGAATTGACGCCTTTACAATCCGAATTTGGTTCTGCAGACTTAGCCAGCCTTGTCAACGACAGTGAGGGAAGCATACGGGCATCGGATGCAGAGTCGTCAGTTTCTACGAACATCCTAGAAGAAGGATCAACTACATCGTCAACCCTCACGACAACTGCACAGTCTAGTCAAGATTACAAATCTACGACTACATCGGAGCCAGACCTTTTTGAAAAGGGCGGTACAACCCCTCCGTCAGCCGCTACCGCGACTGTACAGTCTAGTCAAGATGATGGACATACCTCCCTCTCGGAGCCAGACCTTCCCGTAAAGGGCACTGCACCAGCCCCGCCAGCCACTACCGCAACTGCACAGTCTAGTCAAGATGATGAGCCCGCCATCACTTTGGACCCAAATCTTGAAAAGCACTCTACTTCACCTCCGGCGTCCACGACAAGAAAAGGGCTCACAGATGAGCTGCTAGAAGCAGCTGGCGCAAGACCTCTCGATCGACAAGGGTCTGTCATTGATATACCGCCTCAGAATAATTCGCCCCTCCCCCCACATCTTCGGGGCCTTGGAATGGTGGCTTCACCTAGGCCCAAAAGCCCCGACAATCGACCTCCAACCCCGTCTATCCCGCTTTGCCCCCGAGATCTAGGCTGCACTGACAAAACGTGCAAGATGGGCCACCATGGGCCAAGAGTTGCCGCCTCCAAGCCCATCCACTACAACGAGTTTTGCTCTTATGGCAATAGGTGCACGCGCACCAATTGTGGTCGCATGCATGGACCTCCTCAATGGAGGCCAAGAGGGTATGTCTACTCAAAGCTCAAGATACTCAAGACTAATACCCCTTCCAGGAGACGTTGAGTTTAGGGAGGCACCATCCCATGAACGACTGGTCAATCAGACCGGTGGGATGGACAGCAGTGCGTACGGCAGTCTTTGCTCAAGAGCGACCGGTCTCAGACCGGCTGAGCAAATGACTTGGCATGTACATCACTGGCTAAGAGCAGGTTCGGGAGACAGAGGGGAGGCGGCGAGCACAGCGGTTGTTGTCTTGAGCGACTGGTCTAAGACCGGCTAGACAATGACTTGGCGTGGACCTCGCTGCCGGGATCATAGGACAGGATGGGGAAGGGGGGGGAGACTGGTAGTTTCTACAAAGCAGCGATTGTTACGTCGCCGAGGACCTGTTTGCGTGGTACTTGTTATGGAATTAGTCGTGTATTTGAGTCGTGCGATACTGTTTGCAAGTTTGCAATGCGAAGGAGGGCACCAAGAGTGCCAGATACAATTAATGATCATTTCCTTCCCTCATACCTCATTGATCTTCATTGCTTTCTCCAATCTAAAAAGTCTTGAAAACGTGATTGACTTCGACTTGACGTTTGTTATATGATTTCTGCTTCCTCATTCATTGATACCTACTGCGACCTCCTCGTGATGACGTCCACTCGAGCCTGTGTTGCGAGGTGCGTTTGCGTCGCCCAGCAAGTCATTCACTTTCGAGCATGATTCTCCGAACATGTGAAATAACTTGACTACGGACATAGTTGAGACACGGTATCAGTCGCCGCTTTCGTGGAGTGACTCAATTATCTGTGGAAAGGAGGAACAGTCACTACAGGAGGTTATGCCCAAGGGAAGAAACCTCTCCGCATAAATCACTACGTCGTTACGATGGCTACGATTTGTGTTGATAGTCCAAGGAGTACCTCTACAATTCCAACTCGCCCTTTACAGCATGTGTAGCATGGTTGGTAAGACACCAAGCCGGTGTAATCTCTGTCCCTGGAAAACACTTCACTAGCTGAATATTCACCTGCTGTAGATTCGAGACATGCCACTAGAATGAGACATGCACTTTTCTCATGATCGTTATCATGTGTGTCAATAGTCCCGAGGCATGGGCAAAGACAAACACATCTAATTCACAGTCAGTGAAACCTGTGAGACATCAAGTCGGTGTAATACCCATCACTCGAGAACACACAACCAGCTGACAGTTCACTTGCCAGTAGTTTAAAGACACGTCATCTAAATGAGACAGAAACTTCTCACATCATTACGTGTGAATACTCAAGATGTATATCACACGAGAAGGTAACTCGTGACTTGTAAAGTGTAACGCCTCAGCTCGTGCATAAATACCAGCTCCTCCTCCAGGTTTCCTTTACTTCTTCATCCTTCGCTCAAGCTCGTGAGAGTTGGAGCCAAATGTCGGTCTTGCTCGATATGGAGGATCACTAAATATATATATACAGGTACACCAGCTCGAGGTTTATTGAGACACGTAGTCGTCACACACTTCGTGTATCGATATCATTACATCGGATCAACAGCCGCGATCACCCGATGGGTAAGATCAACTACATGGAACAAATTCCTTATCTGCCTGCAACCAAACCAAGGAGAAGACTACCCACGTACTCGCTATGACCCGTTCTTGGAGCGTATGAACGGTCATGATCAAAGGAGAGAAAGCAGTTCAACCGTAGAACACGGAATTGAGCGTCTGCAGGCACCCTTCGGGTCCTCTCTCGCTGACATCGCTGTTGCCAGGATTCCTACATCAACGCCAACACCGTTTCTGCTCCCCTTACTCCTGGGATTAGTTGCATTTCAAGCGTACCGATGGGCAACGAGGCACCTCCAGAGGATCAGAAAACTAGGGTTTCTACGTCCTTTCTCGAGAGTTGAGAGCTTCTTGGGAGCCCTTCGTCGGCGGACTCGCATTGGGAGGCGAACTCATGTCCCACAGTATCTTCATCCTCTCTCACGAGCGCAATCTCTCACACAACAAAAAACCCAGCGGCGACGGTAAGAGAGACGAGCGGGGAGCGTGGGGGGAGATTTGGAAAACACTGCGATCTTCAGAATCTAACCAGAGCTTGAGACAAATCCTCGGCTAATCTCTCTCTGAAAACGCATTCTTCGTCTGCAACACATCTTCAGTCTGACGACAGGATTCATGTGAGATTTGTGCCGTATTCAATATCATTAAAGCCTGCCCATACGCCTAAGCCACGCCGCTCAGCTCTTTCAGCCGCGGCAATCAAGACGACGGCCCCCTCATCTGAACATGCAAGTCATGTCAAGGCTCATGCAACTCCCCGCCGTGATATGAGTGCGCAAGGGCTACTTCATGCGCGTGGTGCCGATACAAAATTGGCTACAAATAAGTGGGGACCCCTAGATGGCACAGATTCATCTCCTCTACGGGCTCCTTTGCATAGGCTTAGAGCTCCATCGCCATCCAAGTCTGCGTCAGCACATCAACATCATTGTTTAACAAATCTACCTCGGCGCCCCCAAACAATATCTTCCACGATAACGGCGGAAGAGTTGGGTGGAAGCTGTGCGAGAAGGACAAAACATGCTCGCTCGGATGAAATGCGCCCAAGGGTTCATCATGGAAGCCAGCCAAGCTATGCAGGTACCACGAATTCTGTTGGGCAGCAATAAGATGCACGAGACCTCATTACGGGATGTACCCATAACTGAGGGTGAGGAAGCTCATCTACAAAGTCCTTGTCTCCCCCAGATTCTTTGTCAACATACATCCGGGCGAAGACCACGGTGTCTATATCACATGATGAGACTTTAAATATACATATATATACACATGCATTGGCATTGAGCAGCAAGCGATAGAGCAACGAGGTGCTGATCTGGACACTGCAGTCAGCTTCGGCTCTGTCCATTCCTGGTTCGGTTGGGGTGAAGTCCGAGCATGGCTTAATTGAAAACTGGTGACAGTCCTCAGGTGATCAGAAGGCGCCTGACAAGCAAAAGACAAATAAAGGCTAATGACTAAGTTACTCGTCATTGCAACATAATACAAAGTCATTGACGACTTCATCGAGGAATTCACCACACCGGAGGCAATCTGTCAATACACTATGTTCCTGACAATAGTCCGCTATCCTGATTCTGAACGACTTCAGTCCCGCAGCAGATGTACAGAAATATCTCGATGTCGACAATCATTGCCACCAAGGATATAGCGCTCTCTCGAGAACATAAGAGCGGAGAATCTACGAGTGCTTTCGCAGCCTCCCTGATACCGGAATGCTCTCACCTGGTGTGCGAAGTACAAGAATCAGAACCTCCACCAAAACAGCGAGCGAAAATACCCGAGCCAGGAGAGGATTCAAACAACCCACCATATTTCTAAACATTCGACAAACATGGGGCATCAAGACTCTCACAATCGAACCATGCCACGACCCTTGGCCGTCGTGACCGCTGGGTAACGCAATGGCACCACCATTTCAACCATAAGAAACGCCTGCTGTGACATTAGATGGTAGAATAAATGACGCTGAGATATTTGCAGCTGCCGCCCTTCTTGGGAAAGTCTATGAGGCTTTAGAAAATCTTAATGATGCCCCCTTCGAAAGCTCGCAAATGTCAAGATTGGTAACACTCAATATAACATTCCTCGAGACTCTTCACCAAATGCTTTATAAGACCTATACCAGCGACTCTGGAAATGAGACCCAAGTTGGACACACCCCCACACCCACCACAGTCAATTTCACCGTGACCGTTTCTTCACCAGCTAGTGGTTAAACGCAAACGAATAGATGAGGGCCGCTACATGGAGCAAGCCAATCCATTTCAAGACACTCCGAGCCTAGGCCCCCGCCGCTCCCAGTGGCCATTGGCTTTTCTTTCCATTACAATCTTGATCTTGGCTATAATCAGCATTGCAACATTGGTCTCCAACAGAATCATCTGCTTCGCTGAGCTCCCTAGCATTATCCACTCTGCAGGCTCTCTTCGCGCCCCAGAAGTAATTGGATCTGCAACGGCAGCTTGGGGAAGCTCCGCTATCATCTAATCTAAAGTCTACAGCTCCTGCAACCCTGCCCATTAGTGCAGGTCCGGCACTCCTGGCAATACCTTCCAAGAGACCACAAAATGTGCTAGGTGGCGCCGGTGCCCAGACGATAAAGAGTGTGCGTGCAAATTCTGTGGGAAAGTCCACCATGGCCCACGGGTCAATCCATCCAAACTTTTCACCACAGAACAATTCTGCAAATTTGGATCAAGGTGCACCAAGCAGAACTGTGGCAGGTACCAGACGTCGCCTGCATCTACTTGCTGAACTTGTACCTCCTGAACCCTCCCTAGGTCTTTACATTGCGTATGATTACGGTTGTAGATGAGGCAAGTGATGATGTCGAGCGAGAGTTCTCGAAGCTGTCTTCTGCTGAATCGCACGAATGAACCACGACGTGCAGGGGATTATATTTGAGACACAAGCTACTACAACAACGACGTGAACATACAAGAGTGCGGTGAGTACAGCAAAACAGTCAATCACTTGCTACGTGACAAAACGAAGGCAGTTGGCAGCCGAATACGCTGCTTCACGCAATTGACGTCACACTATGTCTCAAGACATACACTCGTGAATGAACAGTTGATTGTCTCACGTGAGTCTGTGAGTGTCGGAACGCTCGTCTATAAAGTCTTCGTCCTCCCCCGTCTCTCTGTCGGTCTACACCCTCACGGAGTCTATGGTGCAGGCATCATAAAGCTCGTGCTCGACTCGGATTTTCTCTACTCAGGTCAACTCCATTCTAAGACGACCTAACATCATGGATCTCTAAATATATATATACGCAAGTACACCGCCAGTTGATCCTGTGTCAACACACCCACACCTTCACGGCCCAGGAATGGTGGCCTTATCGAGACCCAAAAAACCCAACAATCGTCCTCCGACCAAGCATATCGAGCTTTGCGCTACAGACATAGGCTATGTTGATGAAACATGCAAAATGGGCCACTTGATATCACTATTAGAGCCCACCCTATATGAGCTTGCTCTCACAACGGGCCAAAACTTAACACCGCGAAGCCCATCCTCTACAATGGATTCTGTGATTACGAAGATAAGCTCACTCGCACCAACTGTGGTCGAAAGAGGATATGGAGGACGGTTGAGTAAGACTGCCACGACTGTGCCTGCTTTTCTTATCATCCTTCTTGAAATAGTCAATAATGCGAGCTTCAGTCTCTTTCCGCCTCAACACTCTCTCACAAGACCTCAACAGTCTTCTCCGCGATGCCACATCCTTCAAACACGACTTACAAAACGAAACTGACGTATTCTTTGGCCCTTTGCATCTCCACTAAGCACTCGTAATTACACGCCCGCTGTCGATATATGGTCGTTGGGGGTCATGAGTCTGCTCTACACGTTTCGCGTTTCGATGCCGGTACAACCTCACACCGAGCTTTTAGCTCTCCTCAACGACCTGCACCAGACCATCGAGACCGTGCAAGAGGCGCACAGCAGCTTCTGGAGCTATTTTAGAGTTAGCAAAGGAGAGAAGAGATACTGGCGGCGTATTGGCCGGAAGAAAAGCACTTCAGGCAGATCAGCAATCCGGCGCTCTTTCCGCTCGACTACTTCCTCAGATCAACGAGATAACATGATTGTCCGCCTGCTCAGTTCTGATGGCAAAGTTATCAAAGTAGGGAAAAAGGGGAAGGGGAAAATTGAAGGAATTTGGAGGCTGGGAGAGTGGGCTGTGGGTCTTTGGTTGCATTGAGATCACCGAGGGAGAAAACCATGGACCTTCTCAATCAAGACCAAGAGGGTGTATTTGTTCGAAGCTTAGGATGCATAGCAGTGCGTACAGCATTCTTTGCTCGAGAGCGACTGGTCGAAGTGAGACCGGCTGAGCAAATGCCTTGCTATGACTTTCACCCGCACGGAAGACGTTGGGGAACAGAGTGGGTCATATACAGGATGAGAGAGCAAAAGTACTTTTGACTGAGCTTGGGTGGAAGATCATCGACTACATACGTGCATCATATTCTGTGTTGTTGATGAACGATACAGGCCGATAAGACAGTCGACGATTACACGAGTCAGCCGCTTCGCTCTCACCTCATATTCAAATACCGAGCTATGACAGATTTTGACTTAGTTTGTCAAAACGCCTACGTAGGGTTCAGATTAGGCTAAACATTCCACAGGCAGAATGGATGTAGTCAGTCTATCAATCAATAAAGGCACTATGAAAAACCTGGAGAGCCCCAAACCGGACCGAGTCAAGACACAAAACCAGCGATAGTTGACGTCGGTATCCAGACACCGGACTCCTGGATGATTCAAACCCATGTTCACGAATCTCAAGACAAAAGCGACGATTCAATGAGATACACTACGGTATTTCGGTCTTAGAAAAAAACTTGAGCATCATGACGCGGGACGCAGGCGCTGATCAGATGTCCACCAGAGAACGACAATGATCCGCTGCAGATTGCGGATAACGGACCTGCTCACTCTATGCCGATATCTGTTACGTCCAAAGCGTCCTTCTCGGGAATGGAAACATCGACTGCATCATCGATCACTAGCCTTGAGCTTCAGACACCAGTATCGAAAGCTTCACCACCATCAAAACCACTCCCTTCACATGTGAGATATCCATTGAAGGCTCCATTAAGCCAGTCGCAAAGTCCACCTACTAGTTCTACCTATCCAGAAGATACTGTCATCGAAGTGAACGTCTTGGAGAGCACACTCTTAGTCTCTATGATGAATACAGCCCACTAGCGGTCCAAGACAGCTGCTGACGCGTACATAGCGATGGCGAGCTTGTTAGAACCTAGGTCCGTCTCGGAATCAATTACTCCGAAAGGGGATATGACAAATGGCGAGCTCTTTACGGCCAAAAAGCCACTCGTCCCAGCCTCAAGCCATTAAAGCTCGACGACTGAAGAGAAAAGTCAAGGACTTCCCCAACAGACATGCCTCTTTTTAGACCTGACCGATTGCCAGCAGAGGCACTGAACTCTCTACCGAATCACCTTTTCTGTAGTACGAGTGGACTAGTTGAAAAGAGTCTATGTCTCGGAGGTAGACAGCACAGAGAGCCAATGTGCGATCTGTGACTAACATCTCGGGCGCTATATCGATGTGAACGCGCACTTCAAGATCGCAAATACAATATCACCACATGGGAATGCTCGAATTGTCTACTATGAGTCAATTATAAAGTGTAAAGCCTTTTCCTCTGTGTACATAGATTCGCATAAATGAGGAAAGCGCTACCTATCTTCTTGAGATTCTTGCTCAACTAAAGGAGTGCATAAACATTAACTCAAGCTTCCATGTTCGCTCAAAAAAGCCCTACCCCTCGCTTCTACTAACCAGAGATTCAAGAAAGTCCTCAACGTATAAAGCCTTCCAGTGAAATCAAGCAAAAGGCAATTCCTTAGGCCGACCATAAGCGTCACAACAAGAAAACCTCCAAGCGCCTTTGTACTTCCGGAAATGCGTCCAAGGGAAAATCTGCATTGCGTACCACGGAAACGGTGGCCAGACACCTCGATGGATTCCCTTTTCGTAGTCAATGTCCGTATTGCTCAGAACCAGTGGGATGATGGCGTACTATTTCGATTAGTATGCTCTTATGTTCATGCATTATCATGGTGTTGGGGATTGTGTACATACTGGATTCGGCGTATTAACAGCATGCTCAGTCACTTTCTTCATCACCTCCGCCCACGGAACATCATACTCCTCCAACTTCAACAACGTGTCAATCTCATCCTCTAGATGTCTGTGTAACGCCGGTGCGAAGCCCTCCACAAGCCTCATAACTTTTTCCCCATCGTACTCAGCTACGTCATTCTGGATCTGCGTTAAATAGATCTCGAGATCGTGCATGCCCTTGTGGAATTCGTCATGCTGAACGACGTTCTCATCCAGTAGTCCTGCTTTGCTGTGCTTTTCGAAAAGAGGGAACATAAGTGTCTCTTCTGTGTGGTGGTGTTCGCTGATCGTTGCTATGACATGCAGGCTGAATGTCACGAAGTCTGCGACGTCGTTTGCGGTGCTTTGGGGAACGTTGCGCGCTTGGAGGAGGATGCAGTTGATGGCCCGGAGGAGGACGTCTACACAACAGGTCTACATGTTAGTATTTCTGGGAAATTCAGACCAAGGAGGAGATTTCTCACTGTGCACGTTGCACATCTCTGTAGCAACGGTAGATGCATCGGAGGCTTCTTGGCCTTTCTTTTCAGCTGTGAGCTACATGTCTCTGCATGATCTTCAATCGAAGAACAGTTACCTTAAGTTTTGATTTGGGTGTTGGTATGAGCTTCAGAGGTTCGTCCGCCCAAGCCTTCGTCAAAGGATGCTCGCTTGCATGCATTTCTCCAATCAACTTGAACAGCATGTTTGCTCTGACACGCGATAAAACCTATCGACCCTATCGAGAGGCATTTCATAGTATTCTTATATTCTTCGTCCTTGCTTACTTGTCATTGAGTTTGATGAGTGGCGTTGAGCCGGCTATGTTGGCTTACTGCTGACTACTGATTTAGTTGGCCTAGAACTGGGCAAGCTTGGCGAGGCCGCCGGTGACAACCTTGTCCCACGTTCGAATGGCAACGTAAAATCCCACCGTAACTTCGTTAGTGCTCACCCAAAAAACTCTAGCTAATGAAGCTTACTTTAAGTAGTTCCAATGAGCGCTGTACCTAGATTCTTAATTTTATTTAGACCCATAAACATGAACCCCCCAGCGCTATAAAAGTGCGAGTGAGCACTTGATGTAAGACAATGATTCAAGCGGGACCATGACATACCCAATTTTTTTCCGTTAGATAGGATTAGGGCGATTTGAAGCACAAACATGATGACAGAAGGAAAAGGAGAGAGCGGGAACCACTTACGCCAAATATCGATCCAAAATACGACGATCCAAATTGCCATTCTCAGGTCTATAGAATTAAGGCTGCATAGGCGAAGGTATCTCGTGGCGAGCTTTGTATTAATACACGACCCTAGATCTTGAGTGAGGTAAATGGAGCCTGCCAGATTGCGGAATCTGACAAAACAACAACGAATCGATCAAGGAAAATGGGGTTTGAGTCTTCGAAGCGTATGCCTCTCTCGAGGCTGGAGGCAGGGTTAAGGTAAAGTTCCTGGACGCTGGGACCTATCAATAGCATTGGACCCAGCCTCCGACCCAGGCACGCATGTGATACCTATTTGCCTGAAAGCAATCGAGATGAGCGTTGCCAACAAAAAGAAGTCAATACATTAGCATCGCCATTAATTCGAGCGCAGACTGCATGACTCGGGGACGAATCCTGTGTTGAATAGACTGAAACAATCTTCTGAAGTCTCGAATCATTGCTGAGGTGGCAGAGAGCTCTCCTAGGAAATTATGTAAGAGCCGGCTAAGAGCAAAGGCTGAATAGTCAGGACTCCTTGCAGTGCCTCACGTGGCCAGGACTCTGCCAGTGTGGGGTGGGCCACACTTTGCAAGTGATGAAGCCAATGGCAGTGTTACATGCAACGTCTGGAGGTGGTGCACCATCACACTCAAGCGAGGTTAACCTAACAATTCAATGTGCGATTAGATCATGTTACATACGTAAGCTAGAGGTTAAGGAGTCATAGAAGTGGTCTGGAGCTTGGGTGGATACCTCAGCCTGCTGCAGGAATCAAATTGAGGAAAGAAGAAACGGCCAAAGGCATTTCGTATCCGGTACTATATCGTTTGCTTGCTTGAAGATCAAGTCGCGGACATGCCAGCTGGGAGAAATGACTCCGCTCCAACACTACGTTTGCCGTCGGGCTATTTCACCTGTATCAGAGATTCATTCATCGTGACCCAAGTGTGTATGCAAGGCCGATGGCAGAAATAACGAACAGTGGCGTTGACTACCACTCAAAGTTAGACCGTCTGCACCTGATCTGTGCCCCACCACTGCTTCTTATGATCCTACAAGTCGCCTCGCGGCGGGTGCATTGCGTTTGGTACTCGTCGCATAGCCAGTACGAGTCTCTTCTTCCACTCTGCATTGAATGCAGCTCTGCGGCCTTCTACAGTGCAATCTGGCTGCCTGACTAGGTTAAGAGGATCTCGATTGGTGCGCATCGAGCCGTTGTTCTTTTCTTGGTATAAAGCTCAGTGATTGACAGGACCTTCAGGCATATGTCGACTGATCAACTCACTGTACCCTACCAGATATATTTATTTCACGTAGCCTACTGCGTAGGGGACTGCAGAATTAGACGGGCTCAATCAAATGCACATACATCTAGAACCGAGCCTTGGGTGTTTCCTGCCTGTAGATGTCTTAGTGCGGCGATACCCCTACGCTGGCTAGCTGCTAATAGAATGACATAAATGGCTTACTCTTCAATTAAAAGCGCAAATCCATCTTTCTACCAAGTTTTGTTCTGCGTGTCAGAGGACCACCGCATGCCCCTAAACGAAGATGAAGACCGTAGGGCTGTACTAGGATTAGGAGTCTGATATTGGGATGCACCATCGATCACGCTCCTCTTTGTCTTGTATGTCAATTACGATTCTTACACCTGCCCAGTCAAGACTTAAATATCGTTTACTAAGTTCGTCAGGGACAATATCGTTTCGTGTAGCTTTTGTATTATGAAGGAAATGTCCCTGGTGACTGTTTAAGTTTTACCTCCAAAGTATTTGAGATCGTGTTTTCATGTAGCAACTCGCTTGAATCCATCAGTGTCTAAATATCTAACTCTCGCTATTCGTTCTAGTGTTTCTGCATCACGAGTTTCCAGTGTTATAATCCAATGATGGTTTTCTAGGTCTATCGCGTGCTTGAAAATCTTAGTCTTTCAAAGTTCAGGCTCGATATCGCGAGACTTTCCAATGTTGACGTGTTGGCACACAAAGCTTCCATACGTTGAGACATACAGCGCAAGCCTCTGGCGACTTACTTGAATTTCTCATGCCGCAAGATGGTTCCGGTATCGAGCCTGAGTTGACATCATAGAGACTTGTGTAGTATGGGATCAATCGGCAAATGCGAAGTTATGAGCATAAAAATTAATGGTAAAATTATTTTATCGTATAAGTATTCAAGTTTTACGCTGAGAACTATATTGAGAACGTACAGTTTACAATCCGATGGTCTACCGGCCGACTTGATCTCCCTTTAGGCTCCATACATCCTTCGGCGACCTATCATTCCGAGGAAGTCAAAGGAAGCAAGCCGCACGTTGGACGATGAGACATTGACCCACGAGCTACGCGATAAATTCTAGATACTGAAGACTCCGTTAGAGCACCACTTCGATGTTTGGACCTTAGTAGTGAAAGTCGAACAAGATGTTGACGAGGACAACGGAGAATCTTATCTATAGCACCTTACTGAATGAACAAGTGGCTGGAGTCCGCAACAATCGATAGATGCTTTGCATAAGCGCGGATAATCAAATGAGATGAATTTTAGAAACGATCTCAACCATGAGTACGACGCGCGAAAAGAGGAGATCTTGATGAGTACCTCTAATCCCTAATCCTCAAGTGTTGGCAAGGACCGGCATTGTCAGCAGCACATATTATCCCAAACCGACACAGCAATGCCGCTTCATCTCAGAAAAAATTGGACGGACTCCACAACGCTCGAAATGACTTGTTGATGACGAAGAAAACAAAGCAAAGCAGCGTTATGGCAAAGGACTGTTCGCTGTTCTACAGGATCTTGATGTAAATGCAGCCGTAGAACTAATTGGTGACTGCCTGGACCTTTTAGGTCAAAGTCTTTGACTTGGATGACGAGTCTATGAAGTCTCCGATACGCTGCAACCGGCATCAAGGCAAGACATGGAGAAATTCGGATAACAAAAGGCTTGACTTGGGGGATGATAGTCGCCTGCATCTTGACAACTTGTTCTTCCTGTATCTGCACTGCATCCACCAAGCTGGAGTAAAAAATGGTGGCGCAAAGACTTCCAAGTAACTTCGTTGAAAGATAAGTCACCTGTCTTGAAGCTCCAGGGTTCTTATATCAACGGAAGATTCCTCGTCACCTAAGACATTTGAGAGTAATAATCATATTGTTGAGATTCGTTTGGCGTGGATGTCAAAGCTGTTGGACTTAAGATGATTTGGTAATCATGTTCTTATTATTCTTAGGTTAAGGAGTCATTCTACATATGGGAGGAGGATCCTTATGTAGTACATGATACCTTACACGCTTAAAGGAGCAAGTATCACGTTTGCAATGTGTCACTCATCTACGTGACTTACGTGACACCCAACAAAAGCTGATGCATCGGAGTAATTCCAATCTAACAGATGGAATACGTACATATTAAGCGCGACGAAGCTATGTAAACACTGCTTGGGAGTGACTTACTTGGCAAGCAAGGCATAGAGGGACAATTCGAAAAGCCGTAGTTCGAGAACGATCCACTCACACTTTGCAAAACACGAATTCGGATTTGCGCCGCTCCTCTTGATGTGTCCACGTCTTATTTGTATTAGGTATCATGCGGATCTCGAACTTCAAAAGAACTTCTGCGGCAGTGAACTTCAAGACTACGGAGACATCACAATCGTTAGTCACAGCTTCCCGATGGGACAAAACACAATCTTGAACAGTGAAACAAGAAAGTGAACACTTACTAGCCATCACGAATTCTTTGCCTATACACGCATGTGGCCCTCTTGAGAAGGTGAAGAGACACCTCATCATCTCCGCGTACTGCTCCCTGCACCTCAGCCAGCGATCTGGATGAAATCTCATAGGTTCAACAAAGATCTCCGGCAAATTGTTGATTAAGTATGGCTGTGTCGATATGACAGTCCCAGCTGGTAGATGGTAGCCTTCTATGACGCGGCCGCCTCTGGGAACAAGACGTGGCTGATAGGTTTCAATCGTGTTCACCATGCGCAAAGTCTTAAGAATCACAGCGTTGAGAAATGGCAAATTGTCAATGGTTGCGTTAGTCCATTGGCTTTTATCGGGAGGCAGATGTTCGCTAAGCTCGCCACGTAGTCTCCCTTGAAGTGCTGGATATTGGCAAAGATTCTGCAATAGAGCCTCAAGGGTGCAAGGTATGGGGTCGAGGCCGGCACCTGAGCGAAAATCGCTAGTCAGCCTTGCTCTGACACTTTACGGTCATGTTGTTGTGACATCAAATCAACCTATCATCACACAAACAATGCATCTTCTTACCCATATGGTCCATGATCTCGGCTGCCCGCTCTCTCCACTCGAGGCCCCGCCCTGTTGCTGGACTTTGCCAAGTGAGCAGTCGCCAATACACGCTCTGTTCTGCTCGACAGCCATCCTCCCGCTTCTCCACAGAGGATCTCGTTGACTCATATCTTTTAATGAGGACGGAAAGCCAGTCCTCGAAGCACTTGTGAAGCAAAGGGCCCTTGGCAGCCATAAGTCGACTTACCCAGCGGAACTCCGGCTCCCGCTCAAAGAAGAAGAAAGCCTCGCGCAGGTCTTCAAACCATAGCTCGAGATCGCCCAATGCAAGATCGGCCATACTATTCGCCCCTGAGTGAAGCTTGCTCAAAAATGATGTTCCCACAGTAGATGAAAAGGCGAAGGCAGTGAAGATGTCGACTGTGAGAGCTCGAAAGATATTGCGCGCGATGAGTGGACCGCTTTGCTTGGACGAGGACTGGCGTATTTGCTGGTTCAGGTATTGAATGAGTAATTCCACGCGTGTCTTGACCAGGCTTTGGACACGATCGCTCAAGACTGTTGACCGTGAGTAGGCTGGGCCCATGATCCGCTTGCGGTCATCATGGAACCTTCTGCACGTGGAAGAGAACATATTGACGGCGCCTCTGGACTCAAGTCAATCAGTTACAAAATACACTCATTGCCTGCAAGATCGTATTGGCAACAGTATCTCTTTCGACCCACCCAAAGTTGCGAAAGCTTGCATAATTCTCGGACTTCTCCCAGCCTTCTTCGTACACTTTCCGCATAGCATTGATACTCATGACGGAGACTTCATTCGGGCCGATGCGTATCATAGGCAATACACCATATTTTTGAGAATATCGTACATGTGCATCGTAATGAGCATAACGTCTCCGATCACGGTAGATGTGATATAGGATCCATGACCGTGACCATGGTGAAGACCAGTGCGCGTTCGGTACTCTTGAGAGTGGGTCGGATAGATAAGAGTGGAGTAAATAGAGAGTGAAAGACAAGAACGCAAAAGGCGAAATAGTACGAATGAGAATAGGCAGAAGGCTTATCATAGCGAAGGGGGTAGGCGTGATCATCTAAAGACAGCTTTTCAAAATTTGCAATTAAGTCCTCGAACGCACACTATATTCACACCGCTCCAATGCGATCCCATTGCCAGCTTCACTCACTTGTCCAGTACCAAGCGTCCACTAAGCTCGATTAGACACTGTGCACGGTTGACCACCTCTCCGTGCCTCCTTGAGGGATTCTTTCTAGCGCTTACTACAAGTGCGTCGAAGGATTTGAAAGAAGTGCACTAATTCATTAGTCGACTGAAAATCCTCACGAGGAGCTCCAGATAGCTGTTCCTGAACCCGGCTTGGATGCTGTACGTCTCTAACACGATTGTCCATCGGGTTGTACCCACTAATAGGGTCCTAAGAATGCCTGATTATTTTGATAGTGCTCTTTGTGAGTACACCGAACCGCTGAAATATTTGTCACGGTCAAGAGACAGCCATAACGGAGGGGTTGGTGTAGGATCAAGCTGGTGTGTGACGGTCTAAACTTGCAGATGGACCAGCTGATGGTGGCGTCGAGAAATCGGCGATATCGCTTTTCGACCATAAGCAGCCTCATGGTCTATCCGGCAGTCCCTGCAGAGTCACATCAAACTCACTTTGCACCTAGGTCTGTCTTTCCCTGCAATGGATTCGGCCGTTCTTTGAACCTACCCTAACCAACAGTCTCTCGTTCTCAAGTGCATGGCCAATTCCACAAAGCCCAACTCATGTCAACCTCTCAACACCCCACCAGCAGTCGATATTCATTTCCCACCCACCATTTTCACCTTCCGCCTTCCACCTCCTCACTTCTCTCCCAAACCCTCCCCTTGCCCTGAACAATGCATCCCCAGCCTCCCTCCCCACCCCTCGCAACAACCCTCGGCATCATCTCCACAATCCTCTTTAGCATCCAACTCCTCCCGCAGATATACCATAATCACCGTCAGAAAAATACGTCCGGAGTGCCTGCGTCTCTAATGCTACTGTGGTCCATCTGCGGCCCTCCTTTTGGTGTCTACGCTATCGTCCAGAAGTTCAATGTTGGAGTGCAGGTGCAGCCGCAGGTGTTTACTGCTCTCAGTATTGTGAATTTAGTTCAGATACTGAGGTATACGCATAAGTACCGATGGGTGATAGCGGGGATGGTAGGGGTGGTACTGGTGGGGGTTTTGGGCGGTGCGGAGGCTGGATTGGTGCTGGTATTCGAGGTGAGGTACTTCTGTGACGGGTAGATTATAGCGTGGACGCTGATGGAGTCTTGAGTGTGGGTAGATGGAGTATCGAAAAGGCAACGCGACACCAACATTAGTGGCTGGAATAGTTGCTGCAATTTTGCAGATTGTAGGTTTCGTGCCGCTGTATTGGGAGATCTGGCAGCGAGAAGGAAGAGTCATCAACATAAGTACATATTGATGTCCCTTTTCTTACTTCGCTCTGATTGAGTGTGACAGCCACATAATTGCTAACATCTGGAAGGTTGGCTCTTCATCACAATAGACACTCTCGGCGCCCTGGTGGCACTGGCGTCCCTTATCGCGCAGAGATCCTTTGATGTGCTAGGCGGTTGCAGTTATATCGTGCTTTTGGTCGCGGAGACGGCTGTTTGGGTCTCTCATCTAATCTGGCGTTTTCGGGTGAGGCATGTGAGGAGGGAGGCAAAGACAAAGGGACTCGGGTATGATGAGTATGTAGCAGGCCGTGAGAGGGGTAGAGTAAGCAAAGTAGAAGAGACTAAGGAAGATGTAGAGGTGATAGTGAGTCAGAATGGTGATGCTAAAGTGTGAGATTTTGGTTTGAATTGAAAGGAAACTCGCCCGCAGCGACGAGTGTGCATGGATTAACGAGGACTTAGAAACACTAAAACAAATAATCGTGATAACGTTGTTGAGACTCAAAGAAACTCATTTGCTCTGTTGGTACCAATGCTTTCATTTCCGAGCAACGCCACAGTCATAACCATCGTCCACCTCCATGGTCTATCGCTCTTTCACTACAACAACCCTCCAGCCTCCAGAAACCCACCAACAATCTTCCCCGCCGATTCCTTCCCAACAACGATTGGATCATACTCCAAACACCCAGTCACCCCACCTGTCTCCGACGGCCACAACTCCAGTGTAACATCAAACATCGGCTCCAACGGCTTTACATCCACCCTTCTAACCTCAACTCCCTCAATCTCCCAGTTTGGCACCTCCAAGTTCTGCCAAACGAGTAGGACTTGCAATAATGGGCCTTGGTACCCCGGGTCTTCGGCGCATCTAGCTGCGAGAACAGCCGGGCTCACTGGTGCATTGTGTAAATATTCTTGCCAGATGTCTGCCATCGATGGTGGCGCAGAAGATCCATACAGGGAAGGGATGACAGTGGCATCGACGGGTAGGATCGGCAGATGGACGTAGTTCCCCAGCGTGAGGGCGAAGCGGGGATCGTTGCGCCCACTGTCCGTGACGCCAATACGGAAAGGCTGGCCTATAAAGGCGTGGATTGCTTTGGTTAAGGCATGTAGGACTAGTAGGAAGTCTGTATTGGGGTTCTGGAGTGTACTGTGTAGATGATGCTTCCACTCCGACCAGCGGGAAGCCGTCATGCTAATGGGAATGTTTGCGTATTCAGGTACTGTGTTTTGGTGGAAGGACTGTTGATGGGAGGCCCACTTTAGAGGTGGTAACGCTGCCAGACGTTTCGACCAGGCATGAGGGAACTCTTCACTCGTGCTTGTGTTATTGAGCAGAGGTTGATGAAAGGGCACTGCTGGCGATCGGGTCTTATTCTGTAGAGCAGCGCTTAGCTCTTCTACCAGGATAGCTTCGCTGTGGCCGTCTAATGTAGCGTGGTGAGCAGCAATGAGTAATACGACACCATCGGCCTGCAAATTCGCCGTCACGGTGATGATGGGTCCTTGGCTTAAATTGACTCGCCGCATAGTATTTGCTGCATGCTCTTGTATCTCTGAAGGATCAAGCACCCTGTCGTGACAGTATGTTCTGTGGAAGCTGAGCGCCTTGGCCACAGATATCAGGCTTGAGCGAAAGCCGAAGTGCTCGGCGCTATACCATACTGTCGTATGAAGGACGTCATGGCGTGATACAACGTGTTCAAATGCCACATGAAAACGTTCAATATCTGACGACTGGTTGAAGTGATACGCAAATACGTTCAGACATGCCTCTTGTCGGTGAGGTGCAACCATGCCCGTGAGCCATTGCGTTTGAAGCCAAGGGGTAGACCATTCTTTCTCGTCAATCTCTTTTGAGACTGGGCTCCGAGATACTTTCGCATCAAAGGTTGTCTTCGAACGTTTGAGTTCTTTTGCATGAACTGCTGCAGCAAATCGACCTGCAGTGCGGTGCCGAATAATGTCACTGGCGAGTATTTGACGGTCTGGAAAGCCACTACTGGTGCGGCAGGCAAGCCGAAATGCTCCCAGTGAGTCCAATCCTTTTTCCAGCAGATCATCGTCAATGGAAAGGGATTCGCATCCCAACAAGTTGGTGGCATGACCCAATATGACAGTCGTCAGGTATGCGCTGTCACATTCAGATATCCTAATGTTTGTCGAAGGATGGCGAGCCGGACGTTCATCGTCACTCATGCTATAATTAGATGGAATGGTCAAATTGCTGCGATCGACCTTGCCTGTGGCGGTCAATGGAAGTTGGGCTATTTGCACGATTACCCTTGGTACTTGATATGCTGGCAATACTTTCGCAAGCGCTTCAAGCAGAGCTTTTTTGTTGACTTTGAGCTCACCATTAGCCGCAACGACGTGGGCAGTCAGAATTGATGACCCTTTCGGAGTTGACTGTACCGACACAATGCATTGGGAGACAAAGTCTGTGCTTACGATCGCAGCCTCGATCTCAAGTGGATCTACACGTTGTCCATGCAATTTAAACTGGAAGTCTCGTCGACCTCGGAACGCAAGATTTCCTTCGATGTCCCAAATGCCCAAGTCGCCACTAAGATAATACAGTCGCTCGGTACATGCCTCGTCAGCCTCTGAACCTAATGTCAGTGACACCGAAAAACTCTCATTTGCCTTGTTTGACGTTTTGGAATATCCTTGGGCCAAAGCATCGCCCGCTATCGCTATCTCGCCTTGTTCTCCCTCTTCTGCCAAAACCACTGTACAATCCGTGGTTCTGCGCACTAGTCGAATTTCAGTACCAGGAAGAGGCTGTCCGAGGGGAATACCATCCGCTCTCAAACAGTCCGACAACTGTATGAGGTGAGTCGTTGCCAGCATGTTGGCTTCTGCGGGACCGTATCCATTGATTAGACTTATGTGAGGATGCCTCTGAAGGAAAGCTCTGACATGGGAAACAGACAGTCGCTCGCCACCAATGAGTAACTCTTTAATGTTCTTGAAACAATCAATGTCCTCGTCTACAAGCACGTTGAACCGTGCAGCCGTCAGCCACGCTGTCGTTAGACCTGGCGTTTTGAAAACTCGGGGAGTCAGCTCACTGATCAGCTCACAAGTTCCTCCATGTAGGAGTGGAAACCACACTTCTAGCGTGAACATATCCCATGGGAGAGCGGCTGTGCATACCATTACAATCGATGGAAACACTGTTGGGTACCGTGGTGCAAGTAGAGTTCTTAAAACTCCACGATGAGTTGTGATGACGGCTTTTGCCCGTCCAGTCGTGCCAGAGGTGTGATAAATACAGAAAGGTGCATCCAAGCCCTCAGTAAGTTGCAAGTGTTTGGAGTCGCTGGTTACTGCCTGAAGTTTAATCCTCGCCTCGACTTGAAGAGATCCCCACGCATATGTCAAGACCTCCACTGCATCGATGTCTTGAAGCACTTTTTCAATCCATGTTGCTGGCCAGCGTTCGTCCAGGATGCAGTATGGAGCTCCTGTCATTAGCACTGCGAGCATCGTGACAACGAGATCCAGACTGCGCGGAATGCCAATAGCAATAACATGTCCGCTCCTTAGCCCTTGCTTCGACAGCTTTTGTGAGTCGGCGCTGGCACGTTCTACTAGTCTCTCATAAGTCAGGACCTCACTTCCCATACGTAGTGCAATGTCTTGTGGCCGTTTTCTGCCCCATTCAATGACCGCGAGATGCACTGAACCTGTGGTATAGGTGACGTCTGGGCCTCGATGTCGATCCTTGACGTAAGCCATACTCAATTCTTCCTTGCTCTATGTGACTTTGGGAAACGATGTGATGTTTAACAAGAATTAATTTGGCAATCATGTTACACCACTCGCACTTGCGATAGAATGCTCGAACATACATCTGACATTCTTCTTTTCACTCTTAGCAGCATTTAGCCAGCATCACTGAGGCTTCGTGGCAAGTTAACCCAATGTTTGCGAGACATTTTGACTAAGACCAACATCAGCAAAGATCGTCACCAAGAAGAATATTGTCTATGTCCCCCCTTGTGGACCGTGTCAGCTGATGGTAAGCGAATATTCCACTTCAAGGAAAATCCTTGAGTTGCTTGCCACGATAAATTAGCGCATAGGCGGTTAGTCCGACTCTTCACTCGTGGATCGATGAAGCTACGTGATCACCAACTATGCAGAACAGCCAACTCCAGCTTTGCAGAGTGGCGCAAGATGGTACGCTTGTCGCCAAGGCCTTGTTGCTCGGGACATTTTCGTTCCCTCTCGACCAATGACTGGGCGAAGATTGATCTATCACGGATGGTAGCGCTGGGATCAAATCCTACGACACTTTGCTATGCGACGCATTGGAAGAATCGCCATGTGATGAAGGAGGATTTGAGAGCACGTGGACAGCCCTAGGAATATTTACCCGTGCCGCTTGTCAGCAACGTTCCTGCCCGGTCAGCACTATTGGATCCTTCATAGTCGGACATTGTGGTCGAATCGATGCGCTCAGCGTAGTCGGCTATGTTCACCGTCCTACGTTCTAGTCATACAGAAGATACTCGAAGAAGTATGTTGGTGGCTGATAAGCCGAATAATGTATAGCCGCAATGTCTCCGGAGTAGACAGTGAGTAAAGCCGATATCATAGCTTGATTAGATGCAACTTTTCACGCATTCTTTGACACGGTCTTGTTAGAACATTCTATTGAGAGAGGTAAGCGAGAGGTCAGCTTTCATTATATATGGCTTGGCGCATGCAACAGCAAATGCCCGATTGTCGTCGGATCCATGCTGTAGGGCCAGGGAAATCTTAAGGCGATGTAGATGATCGCAAAGGCGCGGATGAAGTGTTAGAACTTGGTTGGTGGCTGGCGTCAATTCGTTTTGAAGACTCTTCATCAGGCCGCAAGTTTTCTAGAAAACTGACCGTTCGAAGGCGACATTATGACGCGATACTCTCTTATGGAGGCGACATTTCTGTCTCCTCCGCCCAGCTGAAGTCAGCTGTTATTACCGACGATACCAGGTTAAAATACATAGTTGAAGATCACAGTCCCTTATTTACCCTTTTGCGGCACGGTGTTTCAGGCGGGATCTTACCTGCATCCACTATATGCATGTGCATTCCCATGAAGACAGAGTTGCACTGCCCTCATAACGATACAGAATGTTGATGCATTATGTTTTAAGCAACGAATACGAAGCTCTACATAGATATTTCATAACAACAACATGATCCACTCGCTGTGCCTTGACCCAGCATATGGACTGGCACTTTCCCTTCATTCGCCTCCACGAGCGCCAGAGACCAAACAATCATTCAGAAATACGGAGATGGAATGCAAGGGCTGGGAGCCTGCATGGGATCTACACGCCCTTCTTTGATCAACTTAAGGAGCTGCAAGAACCCCGGCGGGAGCGAGCAATCAGGGCAACATGGAAAAGATGACTCGGTGAAGCCTTCGGCATAAATCAGGTGATCGAGATGTTTTGGAACTGCATTCTGGACACTAATTGGGGCGGCAATATCTAGAAGGACTCCTGAGGCTTTTTGATAGGCTTCGCGAGTCCATGACGACGCAGGGAACTGGACCCACTGCTTGTGCATTCATGGCCAGCCTATCTGTTCCTCAGCAGTTCATTTTCCATTATTTTCGCTGCATCTGCAATCATCTGCAGTCAGCCCGGATCAGCATTGCAGATACCAGCCGCATTACCCAATCTATTGGCCATGGGCCTCCCATTGATCTTGTGGCTTTCAAGAGAGGGCTATACAATCGAACAATTTCACACCTTGATTTGCTATTAGATAAGAATCACTTATGCGTTATTGCTAATGACTGATGCGATGGGCTGGCGTTTGCGGCGCAGCGGGTTTGGGGTATGCAATCGTCTATGATGGGCTTGAATCCTTCATCTCTTGGTACTCTTTCATTGTCACATGGTTGGCCGTGGTATAAGCATTGCCAGAGTATTCCCATGTCTAACAGCCAAGAGCCTCCCGAGACTGGACTATATGCTACTGCATCTTCTTGTAAACTCAACTTTTGTTTCGTACATACAATCGTGCAGGGAGTATTTAATATTTATACAAGTTTTTGGTCTGTCATACAAGTCATGGGTTAGATCAACATCATCCCAAAGATTAGTAACCGTTTCCCAGCCTTGTGTGTACTGAGCGTAATACTACTGGGCAATAGTAAAGACTGTTGAGCGTCGATTTTTATCATGTTACCTTTTCGCCTCTTGCTGCTATATTACAAACTTCAGCTTATCGACAATTACCTGGATGACAGTAATATAATAGGGTCTAATAATAGAGCGAAACTAAAAGACTTAAGCGAGATAGGAAATTGAAGAGCTTTGATATTAGAATAAGATCTATAGAGTTGTAGCGCTATAGTATATAATAGTTAGCTATTTAGTATATTTAAATAATTATATATAGCTCTAGACTTAATTTTAATAAGAAATAAGTAGATCTTCTTCCTCTTTGTCTAGTGTGCCTAAGACTTGTCCCTAGGTTAAGCCTTAGATAAAGTATATATTATCTACTTTCTAATAGATTTAAGATAATTTAATAATTATATTCTTATTATTATTAAGTTAAAGAATTATTCTATATATAGGAGGATAATTATTATATAGTCTTATAATTCCTTATATACTTAAAGGAGTAAGTATTATATTTATAAAGTATTACTTATTTATATAACCTATATAACTTATATAATATTTAATACTTTTTTTTAAACTTAATTCTATTTATTACTTATAATATTATAAGTTATAAAAACTAAACCTAATTTATTTTAACTAATTTTAAATTCTTTTTTTTTAATAATTTTATTAAAATAAACTTAGCTAGAATATCCTATCTTAAGTCTAGTCCTATTAAATATTTTAAAGTTAAAGAAAGGCTACTTACTTACTACCTAGTAATAAAAATTATTAAAAGATAAAATTTCTTTTATAAAAAAACTTTATAAAGGGTTTTCTATTTTAAAAACTTTAAAATAAAATTAAATATTTAATAGGATTTTTTGTTTTATTAAATCTTAGTTATAATAAAAACTTTTCTTCTACTTAAAAAGAAGCTTAAAAAAGGTTCTACCTTGCCCCTAATATTTAATAGCTTTTAGGACTCTTTTTTTATATAAGGTTGTTTTTTACTTTAATAGCTAGGAGCCTTAAGGGGCTCTAGAGGGCTTAAGCCTAATAATAGTAGCTACTAAGTAGTTTAAGTAAGTTAAGCTAGTTGTTAGCTAAAAGGTAAAAAGATTATATAACTACCCTTATAGGTAGTATAAATATATAATTACTTTTATAAGTAAGACCGCTTATTAAGCTACATAAGCTTTTAACTTCTTTAATAATATTCTATCTCTTTTTATAATTATAACTATTTACTTTTGTTACTATATATACTTTAAGAATACTATAGCTTAATTATCTAGTATACCTTAGCTTTTAAAGCCTTTTAAACTTATTTAAATTTTTTTATAAACTCTACTAGTAGTTATATTATAGTTATTACCTAAGCTATTGCCTAAGCTATTGCTTAAGCTATTATCCCTTTTAAATAGCTTTATATTTATACTTATAAGTAATATTATTAAAGTACTTAATAGCCTTTTTTAACTTATACTTATTTATAATTAGAATATAGCTATAGAGCTAAGCTTTAATATTAGCCTTCCTCCTTTTAAAAGCTTTTATATTAGTAGCTTTTTTTTACTTTTAACTATTTATACTATATTACTTTTTAACCCCCTTAGAAAGCCCCTAAGCTATACTATTTAAAGGGGTTTAGAATCACCTAGCTTATATATTATTTTAATAGCTATTATTTAAAATATACTTTTAATTAGCAGCTAAAGTAATAAGCCCCCTATATCCTTAAATAGCTTTTTTTTTTAGTATTTCTAGCTATATTTTATAGCCTTTACTACTTCTCTACTTATAGATACTTCTAACTTATTTTAAAGAAGTAATATATTATTAGAGACTAATACTTTTTAAAGTTCTTTAGATAAAAGTTCTAACTTAAAGTCTAAGCTAGAATATAGGTTTTTATTAAAAAAAAATTTAAACTAAAACCCTTTTAGTTTAATAACCCTTAAAGCTTCTAAAAAAAAGTAACTAATACCTAATATATTAAAGATAACTTTTGAAATATTTATCCCCTTTTTATAAAGTAATTATTTTTTAAAAGGTAGCTTTAGATCTAGCTTTAATAAAATAGCAAAGAAAAGGCTACTAATTAGCTATAAGAGCTTAGGTAGTAAATAACTCCTCTACTATTATAGAAAATAATACTTTTATTATAGAAAATAATAACTTTTTTATTATAAAAGATTATTAAAGTATTATTTTAAGCTTAAGTACTTTATTGCAACCCTAGTATTTAAACTAGTAAATAGTATTAGCTAATTTAATTATAAGTTAATAGGTTAATTCTCTTAGAATATAAATAGTAGTTAAATAACAAGTAAAAATAAAATAGCAAAATAGAATTAAGTTATAACTATTTTAGATTTTATATTAAGGAATAAGATTTATATTAAATATAAAAAAATCTAGTTAAAAAGGGGAATAAAGGGTTTATTATAACCCTAGTATCTAAACTAGTAAATAGTATTAGCTAACTCAACTACCCT